TAATTGACATATTTATTATATTCAGTTTGGAAAAACCGAGTCTGGAAATTCCATAATCTTTAACCTTCTGGATAAGAAATGAGAGCACATCTGAGTATAGTAAAGTCTGCAAACAATAGCGCTCTTAATTTATTACATGCAATGTGAGGTAAACAATGTACGTTTAAGTAGGTAGGTAGGTACCTCAGATCATATTCTCTTTCTATGATCTGAGGTAGGTACCTACCTATATTCTAATGATTTATAATTTTACACCAACATTACCAACGTAGGTACATTTCTTGCGCAGTTGGGCCTGGAAAACTATAGAAAATTTTAGGATCAGTCATTTCGAGAAAAGTCATTCCTAGACTAAATGGCGCACCGTGTGAAACGCGTAATGTAGGCTACGTACGTACTTATTATGAGTACCTATATCTAAAATAATAACAAGTGGGTCTAGACAAAGTGCAAATTATAATCGCAAACCAGTCGAAAAGTGGTCGAAAAGCCCCTTTTTTGTATGGAGTTTTGACGGATTCGATTTTCGATTCGATCAAAAAGTGCGTTTTGTCTAGTAGTCCAGGTTCCTATTAAATTTAGGAGTAGGTACCTAGGTACGTAACCTAATGCAAATTGTGATAACTGATAATAGGTAGGTAGGTACCTTTTTAATGTAGTGGAATCTACCATTATACCTAGCTTATAAATTACTTTGTATGGTAGATAAAATCAATGTACCTACCTACTTTTCAGCAACGTTGCCAAGTGGTATGATCTGGCGCCGCACTGTGGATCAACCCCAAACGAACGCCCGGACATGACTATATTATGCGTGGGATTATTAATATTATTATCGTAATAATTTATGAACGCTTTGACAGAAATCCATGATTTTTTTGTAGTATTGAAAAAAAAACTAGCAAAAATAAATCCTATTACCTAATAAATAATTAATTGTTTTTGTGTTAATTTTATTGTTCTAAAATATTCACGTACATCCATTTCTTACATTTTAACTTATCATGTAATTTTGCAAACTAAGTACCTATATGAATCAGTCATAATTTGTCAACCGAAAGTTCAAAATAAAACATAATATTTTTTTTTCTCTAGTGCCTGATTTTCTTTTATTTGTTTTGCTCATACTTTATTTTGGTCGATGTCACAAGCTTTCTATGGGGTCGAACCACAGTGCGCCGTGCTATAAGCGTTATAGAAATATCGCTTAAGGCCGGGTAGCAGTGAAAATGGCGAAAATGAGGTTTTCATTTTTCATTTTTGAGGTACTAAACAGTAAAATTAAAGGCTAAGATTTTATTTAGGCATAGTTGAGGATATTTTCTAGGGCTATTAACGGATGGAAACACGATTTGATGAAGTTGACTCGATAGAATAAATTTCCAAAGTTACCTCTATTCGTTTTCTATTTATGGTTTTATTTTTAAAATAAGCGATTTCAGATTCTAAATCTTTTACTAAACTAAAGTTCAGAAATAACTCGAGGGCTTTTAACGGATGAAATTTTTATATTGCGTCTTATTTAGTTACTATGTTAAAAAATGTGGAAAAAATCGTCCATGACGGCTTGGACAATCTCAATCAGTCGCGCGGTGGCGCTTACGGAGGACGGACGCGTGTCAGTTTTTTGGACGTGACAGTTCGCGATTTGTCAATATTTTTGACAATGATGACTTTGATGAGTCACAGTATAATAATATCAGTGTTACTGGAGAAAGCTAAAATTTTTGATAATTAAGAATTATCAATTTTGTCTACCTATTGAAATTTAAATCTTTCGCATCCTTTTAAACGAAGACTCTACTCATGATACATAGTACATTCCTCGAATATGAGACAAAACCAATAAGTTAAAATTACATTTTAATAGTACCTACATACAATCGTCTTACACTCTCTAGAAGAGCACACTGATACAAATAAATAATAAAAAGTAAAAATACGATCAAGCGTGAGCCGCATGTAAAAGGAGATAAATTAAAAAAAAGGTTTAACAATTTATTTGTCACATATCGTCATAAGTTAGCCTATATGTTAATCTGGGTTATAAACAATAATACTGTAAAGTTTCAACAAAATCCAGTAGCTTTTGCGTGAAAGAGTATTTTTATTGGGGTCAAAATTGTACGTTAGGGAGACCATGGCAAGGCCTATCGATGGTTACAGGGTTATCCATTGTTTTTGGGACACCCTGTATATAGGAAACCAGATTGATGAGCAATATTCTAAGATACTCCGAACTAATGAGCCATACAGTATCATCCATGATTGCCTATTCTTGAAAGTTTGGCCGTACGAGATATAAATCCCAGCATTCTATTGGCCTTATTCACCATGATGTCATAATGTGCTCTGAATGACAGGGTTGAGTCGAACATAACTCCAAGATCGCGGACAACATCAACTCTGCCAAGGGCCTCTCCGTCTATTTGGTACCTGTACAGGTACCGATGCTTGTTCTTGGTAAACGTTATAACCTGACATTTCGCTGCGTTTAACTTCATATGATTATCAGAACACCAATCATGCACGGAGAAAAGATCATTCTGAAGAGCATCACAGTCCTCCAAGTTATATATTTTGTGATATATTTTGACATCGTCGGCGTATGCCAAAAATGGGCTGTGGATTCGATAAAAAAGGTCATTCACAAAGAGCAGAAACAACTGAGTTAGTATCTAAAATTGTTAATCGTTTTTAACAATTACTTGGCATATATTTTGCTTTTATTAAGGCCATAATTTAAGAAATATCAGGCTTAGATGATTCCTAAAGGAAAATGTTGATTAGGGTACATATGATTTTTTATTTTGTGAGACTGTTTCGATTCATCAGAAGTTTTCCTAAGGACGTTATAACCCAGAATAACATGTAGGCTATAGGTAATTTATGACGATGTATGACAAACTAAATTTCACGCGGGTTTTGATACGTCGCGAGTTGCGGCCTATTTACCCCTATGAAAGCACGTGTTTTAGGATTTTTTCTTTCACACGTTGATCCATACACATCTCCGCTTCTTTTGACACTTTACCTGGGATTCTACACCTTCAGAAGCAGCACAAATCGTTGCACTATTGCAAGAAGGGCTCAGCCAGCGGGCTGTCGCACGTCAGCTCCACATTTAAGCCAGTCTTGGGTTTCGAAAGTTTTAAGACGCTTTCGGGAGACTGGTGGCTTTATCCCGAGACCAAGTTCTGAACAGCGTCGGTGCACATCGCAGAGGAATGACCGTTTTTTCATGTCAACCTCTCTATGAAATCGTCATGTGACTGGTATCGACGTCCAGCAAGAGTTTTCAATTGACTCGTACACGTCCTTAGGAAAACTTCTGATGAATCGAAACAGTCTCACAAAATAAAAAATCATATGTACCCTAATCAACATTTTTCTTTAGGAATCATCTAAGCCTGATATTTCTTAAATTATGGCCTTAATAAAAGCAAAATATATGCCAAGTAATTGTTAAAAACGATTAACAATTTTAGATACTAACTCAGTCTGCCTACGAACTACATATGAGCAGATAGAGNTATGACGGGGTAGAGGCATTACTGAGTGGTACCGACTGGCCTCCATCCAGGACTGCCTGCACGACTTCTGCCAGCACTGCCTGCCGCACAACGTGTTCCACATGCTGCCCGAGGACGTCACCTACATGAAAAGGATGGTGCCAGGGTCTGGACCAAGTGCTGCCCAGAATCAACCCATAGTGCATTTTGTTCCTCAGGCCAATACTAATGTGTAAACCGAAGTGCACTGAAATCTATCCCTGGAGTTAAGAGAAAAAAAGAGTTTTGTTTTGAATTATTAACATACAAAATATCATCGATGTATACGTACTTCGCATAAGATTTCGCGATTTTGGCATTAAATAACACTCGATATGTTGAACTTAACCATACTGCATCCGTACACCTTACTTTAGTGCGACTTAGACATTATTTATAAGCGATCTAGCGCTGTTGCAGTAATTTGGTTAGTTGACAGAAATCATTATTTCCAAAATGAACCAAGAAGTTCGAGTTCTCTATCCTTGCGAAAAATCTATTTATTGGTGTATTACAATCGATTATTGAAATTATAGTAAGCTAAAACTTCTTGCTTCATTTTGGAAATAATGATTTCTTTCAACTAACCAAACTACTGCAACAGTGCTAGATCGCTTATAAAGAATGTCTAAGTCTCACTAAAGTAAGGTGTACGGATGCAGTATGGTTAAGTTCAACATATCGAGTGTTATTTAATGCCAAAAACGCGAAATCTTATGCGTAGTACGTATACATCGATGATATTTTGTATGTAAATAATTCAAAACAAAACTCTTTTTTTCTCTTAACTCCAGGGATAGATTTCAGTGCGCTTCGGTTTACAAATTAGTATTGGCCTGAGGAACAAAATGCACTATGGTTTCATTCTGGGCAGCACTTGGTCCAACTTCCATACACGGATTGGCACTGTCCTTTACATATAAAATTCAAATTTTTGCGTCATCTATGTTTTGAAGTAGATGATTCTGTCTCTACCGATTCTGACTCATCAACATCAGCTCAAGAAATATTTGACAATATTTATATTAATAAGGCCAAACGCAATTTATTTTGAAATTTTGAAGACTGTACTACTAGAATTTAAGTTTAATGTTTTGTTTTGTTTATTTAAAGCCTATTTTGTCATTTTAAAATTGATTATTTTGTTTTAAGATACTGGGCAATTACTGTGCTTTGATGTGGGCAATTAGTGTAAGTAATGGGCAATGACTGTACTTTTTGGGCGATTTTAAATTTATTTCAATATTTTCTAAGTTACTTAAGTTTTAACTAAGAACTGTTAATATTCTGTTTAACAGTTTATTGAGTTATAAGAAAAAAGTCATAAATGGTCGATAATTAAAATACTTTCTTTAATTTTTCATCTCAATGTGTTTGAAATCTTTAAGTGGGCAATAGCTATACGGTTTACCCTACGAGTTTTTAATAAAGTTTTCTTTTATTCCTCAGGATCAGGAGCATCTGAAGCCACCAATCGTAGGGGGGCTCGCGAACGCGGAGCTGTACTGCCTCGCGCTCGCGAACATGTACTCCGACCCGAACTACCACAGTCTGAACCACTGGAACATCCTGCAGACCCTGGCCAGGAAGGGCGTGCACGTGCCCGACCCGCCCGACTGTGCGCTTACCGAGACCGTCCTCATACAGACCAACCCGCTACGAATGGTGAGTGTGCTACCTTGTCTAGTGTCACCAGCTGCTCAGATGGTACTAGTGTCAGCTACCACAGTCTGAACCACTGGAACATCCTGCAGACCCTGGCCAGGAAGGGCGTGCACGTGCCCGACCCGCCCGACTGTGCGCTTACCGAGACCGTCCTCATACAGACCAACCCGCTGCGAATGGTGAGTGTGCTACCCTGTCTAGTGTGACCAGCTGCTCAGATGGTAGGTACTAGTGTCAACTACCACAGTCTGAACCACTGGAACATCCTGCAGACCCTGGCCAGGAAGGGCGTGCACGTGCCCGACCCGCCTGACTGTGCGCTTACCGAGACCGTCCTCATACAGACCAACCCGCTGCGAATGGTGAGTGAGCTACCCTGTCTAGTGTGACCAGCTGCTCAGATGGTACACTAGTGTCAGCTACCACAGTCTGAACCGCTACAGCACAGCTACTTACCCTCATGAGACTAACAACTCGAATGGTACTCTTGCGTCAGCTGTCATCGTTGAGATCACGGGATTACTCGAGGAATAGCAGCCCAAATTATATAGATTCCCTTGAGACCAACAGTTTTGATGGTACGGGTGTCAGCTGTTGTAGTTGTAACCATTGGAACATACATCAATCCCAATTTATAGATCAGTTCTTGTCGAGCTGACTAAAATTATGCTCGTTGTTACCCTTTTGGTGACACCATAATCTTTTGAAAGATAGACTGTTATCTATTTATACACGACGTATTGATCCGTCAGATTCAAGTCTAAATCTTTTGCGCTTTAGCTACTCCACACCCCCTAAACAATTTGCAGGCAACTGTCTGCTTCAGTTATTGATAACCATATCGCTTGCCAAGAATGGCGTGATACTTGCCCCGATTCAAGCTTTCATAAATAAAATATGTATATGAGTGATCTACAATTTCATCGCTCGTCAATTAATAAATGGTGGGTAGACTGTCTTATAAATATTTAATTTAATAATGTGAGTAACGGCTGTGTTTTTTGACTGTTTACGCGTTTGCTGCGCCCAACTTATGTAAATACTGTATCTGTATCTCTACTGGTGCGGTAAAAAGATCCCTGAAATACACTGAATTCAGTGAATACCTGCGCTTTGCGATTGACATACCTTTTATGAGCTGAAACTCGGTTCTCGTATGGATTTTGTATATGGGAAAGACAAACTATGACGTCACTTTTTCCGCACCTTAATTGACTTTAATGTTTTCAAGGTGTAAAGAAATATTCTCCTAGTACAAAGCCGAATATTACCGCGAAGCTAATTGGGTCCAGAATTATTTTGGGGTCGAATGGTGTTCTCCTAGTATTTGCCCGCGAGTTCGCAGATCCTGATTCAGCATGCCACTACTGTGTAGTGTGCTCAGCTCAGTTGTTTTATCTTATTACATTTGGGTCACTGACGTCACTGTACTCCACGTATAGCCTGACCAGGAACATAAAAACCCTCGCCATGTTGCGGAAAACTAATGGTACTAATTTCTTTTAATGGCAACAGTAACTGAAAACTTCATTGACATGTCACCTTGCATGTCAGTATATTGCTGTCAAAGTGTAAACAAACTTTATTTTAAATGTGCGCAATTGATTTTGTGAATTAAAATGCTAAAATCTTTTTATAGTCGTGAAAGAAAAGTGGTTCACAATGTGTTAAATTATTTGTCGAAGAGAAATACTAAGGGTTCGGACAATATTTTCATTGAATAATGTTTCCGACAAAGGTTGTCAAATTGACTGACATGTTTATCGCATAGTACAGTCCACTATGAAAATTAGCTGTGGTTTGTTTCAACTACCTATTTTAATTTTTTTTTTTCAATTTCTAAGTGTTGAATTTTATGGAATTGGGAAAGAAGTACCGAGTTTGAAGCGTTCATAAGCAAACATTGCAGTTGAATATTCAAGTTCTGAATTTGATTATTGATGAATAATAAAATAAATCCTACTAGCTCGATTGATGGTTTCATTTAATTTATTTAAACCAGGTTACTTACCTATAATAATATTTTTTCGTTAATTTATGAAAATATCAAATTAGCCCGTAATCCTGAATTCTGATACATAAAGTTAGCCAATTAATTTAACTCAGGTACGACTGTACTCAGTGTTGCACTATCAAATGCAATTGACGCGCCTCTATGCCAGGGTTTTTATGTTTCTGGTCAGGCTATACTGCAAATCCAAAACCAGTGGGACATCTATGAGCTAACTTAATTATTTTTACTTTACCAAGCTTTTCTTCTTTTCTTTCAGAGCGCACACATGGCGGTGGTGGAAGCTCTAATGGTGCTATACGCGCGGGAGGTGGTGACACCGGACCGCGTGTCGGCGGCGGCGCAGCGGTTCGGCACATCCCAGCCGCCGCACGCCGGGCCCTCCGTGCCGCATGAAGACGGCATACTGTGCTGGATAAACGCGGCTTGTGCAGCGCTTAACAAGGCCGAGGTAATATAGCAGCTGTATAACAGCTGCTGTAGTGGTAGATAGTTATTTGCATCCAGCAGTCATGAGCCTGCAATCGCTCAATAGGAAAGATAAATGGAGGACACTTAATAGAGCGCTAATATGGCGGTAGTGGAAGCTCTAATGGTGCTATACGCGCGGGAGGTGGTGACGCCGGACCGCGTGTCGGCAGCGGCGCAGCGGTTAGGCACCTCGCAGCCGCCGCCCGCCGGGCCCTCCGTGCCGCATGAAGACGGCATACTGTGCTGGATAAACGCGGCCTGTGCAGCGCTTAACAAGGCCGAGGTAATATAGCAGCTGTATACTAGCTGCAGTAGTCGGAGCGCCTTGTGGGAAAGCGCTGTATGCGAACTGTTTACAACCGGCCAGTCTGGGAATAAAAAGTCAAAGTAACGCCTGAGACTATTCTATATTAAAGACTGAGACAGTGGGTGTTCTGATACTGAAATGATTATTATGGGATTTTGTCTAAGCAAGGCTTTGCATGAATGATGCTTAAAGTTTTGACAGTTCATCAAGTGTTAGTCTCTTGACTGATAAATGCGGCCTATACAGAATTAAAGAAGACTGAGTGATATAATATTTAACTGTCTTCCTAAATGTAAATGAAGATGTGACCTCAAGCTTAACTAAATGAAGACGAGGGCTAGATGAAACACAATCAGTAACTATTACTTCATATTATGCTGTAATGTCTAACAAACTTTAGAGTGAAGCTGAGAAATATATCATGCTTTCTTGTCATATCAGTTAGCAAAAAACTGTTCCATCAGGCACCAAGTGATTTTCATTAACAGCCAGATTACAATATGTCATGTAATTGTTGCATTGTTAAATTATTTCAACGTTGTTTGTTGACATATTAAGTTACAGTTGAGATACCAAACAGGTTAATTGTTAACCTCCTTGACTCCTTGAACCCAGTGCCAAGACAATATGATCGCCTTGCACTGCGCTGCACTGGATACAGCACAAGGACATCTTTTTATAGTGCATTGCATTTGTTTTGTACTCTACATAATACACTTTATGTTCTGCTTTAGAAAGGTCACATGTTGAACTTAAATACAGGTTGCTTTTAATTAATCTTCATTAAATACTTTATTTACTTATCACGATAATAACAATGTGGTATTTTCTGCGAAGACTTGGAGAGGAGTGACCTTGTTATTACAGTTTTGACAGTTCATCAAGTGGCTTTTGTTTCACTGATGGTTTCGTGTTTCGTCCTGTTGTGTTGTGCCCCACTGATCATGGAATAAAAATAGCTTTAAAATTACTTTATACTATGACCGTCATTATTTTAGTCTGTAGCCCTTCAGGTACCCACAAATCCAGACACATTAGAAATCAATTATTACCGCGTCCTCATGCGACTGCTTAGGATGGGATGGGATATACTATGACTGAATACCCTGTTGACTCCTTAGATAATAGGCAGTAGCATCCTGCACCCAATGACTAGCCACATGTCATAACTTACAAAAACATTACCTACTTATGACAAAGCTATGAAGTTCAAAAAAGGTATCAAAAAACCTGAAGGGCTACTCTAAAACGCTATTTACGTAATTTCGAGTCCATCTGTCACAGTCGCTCATGCTGGCATCTCGTTTTGCGTGAGAGGGATGGCAACATTCGAAACTTCGGATAACGTTTCTCGGAGTAACCCTGCTGATATCTCTATCAATCGTTCCACGCCGATGTAGTATCTAACCCTAACTAGGCTCCAAAGAAAGTAATTGGCCCTACCTTCACAGTATAAACTTCAATTTGATGTGGGCTCTGGATACCAGAGCCTGATCAAGGGCGTACTTAACTGCTAGATACGTAACGATAAAGTGTATATTTCCAGGAGGACTCGTCCCAGCACGTGCCGATGGTGAGCAGCCTGCAGGACCTGTGCGACGGTACGGCCCTGGCGGCACTCATCTCGTTCTACTGCCCCGACGCGTTGCCGCGCGCCGCCGTGCGAGTGGGCCGCATGGCCTCCATCCAGGACTGCCTACACAACCTCATGCTCGTGCACGACTTCTGCCAGCACTGCCTTCCGCACAACGTGTTCCACATGCTGCCCGAGGACGTCACCTACATGCGAGGGTGAGTCTGACGCTGCACGAGACCGGTCTGACTGGCACCGACTGGCCTCCATCCAGGACTGCCTGCACGACTTCTGCCAGCACTGCCTGCCGCACAACGTGTTCCACATGCTGCCCGAGGACGTCACCTACATGCGAGGGTGAGTCTGATGCTGCACGAGACCGGTCTGACTGGCACCGACTGGCACTGACAGGGTAGAAGGCTTTAGTTTTGCTTGACTACGTAATTCTTACTGGCACCAACTGGCCTCTAAACCATATTGCCTCCACGATCTCATGAGACAAGAACGAAATCTCACGAGATTTATGTAGATCCTGAAATACAGGATATGGAGCGTGGTAATTATTGTGGGAATAGTAACGATACTGGATGTCATTTCACACTTATCTACCTACTATAATTTAAAGAAGACCCCTATTGAATCTGCCATTCACAAAGTATGTGAACATCCTTTTTACATTCTTATTTTTTTTTTTTTTTTTTTTTTTTTAAAAGATTATTACCAATTTGTCTTGCCCAAATTACTAATAGTCCCATTAGCCCCTCGTGGTAAGCTAAATAAGCTTGTGTTACGAGTGGGCTCACCACAATAGTCGAGCGGCGGTGGGATTCTTATGCAAAACACTAATGCCAACCCTCTCGGGAATGCTTTGCCCCTTCACGGTATGGCTTCGTAGAAGAACTCCTTATTAAGTTGTTCAATTATGTATTGACGATATAATGTGCTCGAACTAAATACCGATCGACATGCGTGTAGAGTCACTTGTTCCTACTTGATAACATTTGCGGCTTGGACTAATGTAGCGCACAGATATGCGGAATGCGTGTAAGGCGCGCTAATTACGGCGTTGACATACTTTGCATGTCCCTCTCAAATTGTTCAAATACGCTTGAGTTTAAGCTCAAGTCAAACTTAATAAGGTATAAATTAGTACAGCTATTGTTTGGTAAATTCAAGTTTGTGTTGTGGTATTTGTGTTGACAATAATCAACACGCATGATCATACTTATGCAACGGACAGCGCACGAGCGTAATATTACAGAGGCAGTTAAACCCACGAATATTTCCTTATATTTTCGATTACTACTAAAGCCTGGTCCGTGAGCACGTAGAATTTTGTCCAATGACCCCAAGCTACCCATCCTTATCGCGCGCGCGTAATTATATTGCTGTCGGGACTGTGCGACGCGCGCCCGCAGTGAGTGTGCGAGCGCGACAGCAACATAATTACGCGCGAGCGATAAGGATGGGTAGCTTGGAGTCATTGGACAAAATTCTACGTGCTCACGGACCAGGCTTTACTACCTACTTTTTCCCCAACTGCGCCAGAAGGAGGGTTATATTTTTGATTGGGCTCTTATTAATTGTAATTAATGATTATTCCAGGTCAATGCGACAGAACCTTGTGGCGATGCTAGCGGATCTCTTCAACATGCTAGAAGTTCATCCAGTGAAGTCCGTCAAACACCCAGGCACCGGTGAGTACCGAACACTCAACATACCTCGTATTGCATGCTATAGACCTCTAATGGGAGTATGTGGTCATAATATCAAAGATTCTCTACGCCTACTAATTAAATGACGCGGAAAAAGCTTTAAACAATCTTATTAATGCTGAATTAAGTAGGCGAGCTGGGATTGTGGATCGTAAAAGTAAAGAAAAATGTATTGACAGTAAATTTTATTTGCAATTTCCGTGTACTTATTTATGTCTTTTGTAAAATACACTTTTTTATTGCCAAAGTTTATTGAGGTAAGTAAGGTAAATTTTAAAATAGATAAAAAAGAAAACGCTTGGCTACAAAAATATTGTCACCCTGTCTTGCTTTGTACGAGGCCGTACATTCGTGGCTGAAGTATTAGCGCATGAAATTAACGTTTTGTTTTCAAATAACACGAGTTTGTGACGCTTAAAAGTGTCTACAGGTTTAGCAAAATCACTTCGAGGAATAAAGGTTTGTAGGTGCCAAGCCATTTATGGTAAGTCAAGGCAGGGTGACCAGTCACCTAATTGGCGAACATTTACCGATGTGACAAAGACATTAAGTGCGTACTTTATGTGTGTTAAATAGTGTCCGTAAGATTTAAATTTGTGTTTACATACTGCGTTTCATATGTGGGCAATACACGCAGGAATACGTACGTAATACGTGTCGCGTGTTTGTGTGGGTACAGCTTATGAACGGGGATGTGTGGGTGGCGCGTAAACATATGTGTGAGTCTACAATGTGGCTGTAATGTGGTTGTGTGCGTTCCTCGGGTTAGCTTACGTCGATTGCAGGGTATTTTAATGTTGTATTAAATAAAAATCGTTGTTTATAATATCCACATCTGTTTTTTTATTAAAACTAAATTAAACTAATGAAATTTATAGCGATATTAGTATGATTAGTCTTTCAATGAATGAAAAAGCAGATAATTTTGTACAGATTGCAGCCATAAATCTAATTTATTGCTTGATAAATTAGCGATATTACCTAATTTAACTATTTAAAAAACAGTGTGATTTAACATGATTAATGGTTCATTCGTTTGCCTTTTTTTGTAGTCAAACGTTAAATTGGCAAATAATTTGCGGTATTAAATACTTACCATCTTTATTAAGCAATATTTTATTTACTGGGTCAAGAATATCAGTAACTATTTTTGGTAAATTTTAATATTTAACCAAACAGCTAAAACTTGTGATGCACGGTTGCTATGTTTATTTATTTATTTATAGAAACTTAAATAATATTTAGACCGATAGTATAACTAGATAACAGGTTTTCCTCATTATGAAAAAGAAATACAGTGGAGCAAACGTAAACGCAGCTGTCACGGTTACCGCCCCCCGCGCACCTGAAAAACAGTTAACCACCAAACTAATTGAGTTTTTGGTCCACCATACTGCAAATAGTGCTTCGTAGTATGTGTTCTCATACGAGAGCAAGGGCACTATTTGAGTGGTTGTTCCACATATGTCACTAGGTGCTTCGTAGAGCACGTGACGTTGTTGTAACTTTCCATTTTCCCAAACGAGCTCGCTAAATAAACGTACACTATCCCTATGTTCTTCTGATTAATTTCGTTGCGGGTCCAATGACAGTTTAACTTGACCTTCACTGGTTGGGTTTATATTGGCCAAACCGTTGATTGGGCGTGGACACGTGACGGCGTCGTGACGTAAGCTACCTCAACGCGAGCTTCGATTCGCGGTCTCATGACGTAAGCTACACCAAGCGTTTCGATGACTCTTTTATAATGCGAACAGTTAGGGACTGGAATTTGCTGCCTGCTGCCGAAGGCTATAATCCGGGCATTTTCATGGCGAGAGTGAATAGGCACTTACAGGGCAGATATGTACCATCCTAGACTGCATCCCACTTAACATCAGGTGCGATTGTGGTCAAATAACTGCCTAAATAAAAATGAAAAAAAAAAAGCGCGTGCGCCGTTGTCGCGGGTGAAAATAGTCCTGGTATCCCAGTTACGCCTGTTAATTGGTCGTGGCCACGTGACAATATCGTGGACGTAACTGACGTAAACTATTTCATTCGTACCCGTTGAGTAGGCGTGGCCACGTGACGGCGTCGTGACGTAAGCTACCTCAACGCGAGCGCCGTTTATTCGCGGTCTCATGACCTAAACTACCCCAAGCGTGTTCGCCGTTGTCGCGGTCTCATGACGTAAGCTACCCCAAGCGCGTGTGCCGTTGTCGCGGTCCTGTGACGTAAGCTACCCCGAGCGCGCGGAGTGGTCGCGCCCGCGTGACGTAACAAGCCTCGCGCGCGCTGAGTGGTCGTGGGTCCGCAGCGTGCTCGCGCAGCAACGTGCACGGCGTGCGCCACACGCGCGGTCTGCCGCCGCCGCCGCCCACGCCGATTCCGGACCTGCGAGCCGGCGAGCCCGCCTCTCCCACGCCGCACCACGCCAAGGCGTTCGCAGGTACCCGCCTATGTGTTCTATAGGGATGTAACGGATATTTATTACTTTTTGGTTATGATAAAAAAAATGTTACTTAATGTTAATTTGTTAAGGGAGAGCGACTCCTTCTGGCACAGGTGCCATTGCACTTACAAGAAAGAGTCAACCTCTAATCCTATTACTTGTTGTTGTTAACGAAATAAACTTTTTTCATTTTAATTTTAAACGGATATTCACATTCGTGCTTGAGTGTGTTCACGTTTTTTTGCATTAGTATTGTTAAAGTGAACTTTACTCAACATCAGTATTGATGATTTAGCTCTTATTAAACTCGATTATTTCAACTTTTACCTGGTAATGACAGAATTGGTTCCACCAAATTTTTAACTTTAGTGAGATAACATAAGACTCAAAACAAAAAATATTTTTCCTTAAATCAGTGAAAGGGTAATGTTCGGTTTAAATATCCAACATACCCTTTTGTGTTTGATAATAATTTATTTTGAAAATTCGTATCCGGTAATAATCAACCCAACATTCGTTACATCCCTATCAAATGTCGCTGTCTGTTCACGCGATGCTTGGTGGGGTTATTACTTTGACACATGACATGTTTTAGGAACTGTAAAAGTTGTTATTTTAAGGTTCGGCCAAACCAGCGATGGCGACCAGACCTAAATGCATTGATCGCCATTGCTGCACGCCGGTTGATCGCATAGTGATCGCGTTGGTTTGGCCGAACCTTTACATAAGTTTTATGGGCAGTAAGAGTAAATTAAAAGTATAAAAAAAGGCCAATGAAACAATAGCCTTTCCAAATACAGTTGATGGTCTTCGTTTGTGCCAATCTGCAAACATGTTCAGCATAATATTGAAACCCACCAGCACCTGCTTTAATAGACAACGACTATATTCGTCCAGCGTGTGTGTGGTTGTTCGTTTTGTGCGTGGTCAAAACTTTTATCGCCGTTTCTTTGTTTTTCCTTTTCAATGTTTTACGTTTTGTTTGTGTACTTATACTCCCGACATTTTATTTTCACCAAACGTGTTTATTTCAGAGTATCTTTATTATTTATCAGTACTTCACATAGCCCAGCTACAACTTAATATGCTTTGCCTTCGTTCGTCCGGTTTTTGGTTCTAACTCTTTTCACACACAAACTTAACCTCTAGCGCTTTGGCATGCGACTTGCAGGCTCTTGCTTTATATTTAAGCACACTAAACATAGACAAGAAGGAGTCGTTGACATTATGTCCTCAGGACTCCCAAGATGCTACATAAAGCACTTAAACATGTATCATGATGTAATTTTATATATCATGTTGATTTATCACATCAATGTCCATTTTAGAATCGACAGAGAACACCATAGTAGTGTTTTACATCGTAGTCAAACGCGTTACAATTTTTGAATTGCATTATTTGATATTTTTATTATTAAATATGTACTTTGTGTTTTATTTTGATGTTGTGTTTGTGGTATTTGTAACTAGATCACATTACATACACCGCATAGTAACATGAACTTGAATTGATACACCAGCCATTTACATTAGAAACAGATTTTTTTATGATCCAGGCTTTCTTAGAAAGGTTGCTATAAGCTTGAGTTTCCATAGTTTGCGATAACGACTGCGCGATAAGATATAATATAGCAACCCCGTGTTACGTTCAATTGTTTATGGGAACTGAAGCTTATAGGTGATAGCTAAGGCCGCGTTCCCACTATGCCAGACCGGCAGATTTGCCGGATACTTGACGCCGGACTGAGTGTTCACATTACACCGGATCCCGCAAGAAAATAGGACAGTCAAGTCATGCCCGTTTTCACCATCAATCCCTAATTTTTAAGTGACCCCTATGGTAACATATAACAAGAATTTTGTTTTCAAAGGGGCCACTTAAAAGTTAGAGATTGATGGTGAAAACGGGCTCCTATCATGAAAATATGCGAGCCGAATGACGCGAGGGGAGTTTGGACCTATACCGGACAAACTCGTTCACTGCTCCGTTCCGGTGGTTCTGCCGAAACTTCGCAGTGACACTCGGCAAAAATGCCGGATCCGGGATTAATGTGAATACCTTCATATAAATGAACATATAAGATTTTAAACTTTCGCGTTCCATTTCAAATAAAATAGTAAGACACGGGTCTTAACGCGATGTTTATTAATGAGTCACATTATGTACTCACGGCTTGACGTTTCGGCTGCGATGCTGCAGCCGTGGTCACAAGCAGACTGACGGCTCGTGTGACTTGTCACATCAAGCCGTGAGTACATAATGTAACTCGTTAATAAACGTCGCGTTAAGACCCGTGTCTTACTATTTTAATATAAATTGTACAGCCACTAAAGCCTGGTCCATGAGCACGTAGAATCCCGTGCAATGACCCCAAGCTGCCCATCCTTGTCGCTCGCACGTAATTATGTTGCTGTCGCGCTCGCTCACTCACTGCGGGCGCGCGTCGCACAGTCGCGACAGCAATATAATTACGCGCGAGCGATAAGGATGGGTAGCTTGGGGGTCATTGGACGGGATTCTACGTGCTCACGGACCAGGCTTTAGCCCTTCCGGAGTTTTACCGGTCCGGTAGATTTGCCCTCCGGCGTAGTGGGAACCGGGCCTTATTTGTTCCTTGCTAATGTGACTGGGTGACACAGTGCCTCGGTCGCCGTCAGCCCGCGGCGTGGCGTACGGGCGGTCGGCGTGCTCGACGCCGGAGCGCCGCAGCTGCAGCCCGCAGCGCGAGGAGTTCGTGGTGCACCGCGGCCGCCAGGTCACCACTTTGGCCACTATCGCGCGCCAGCACGACGACACAGGTATGACAGGACTTGTAATGTACAGTCGACAATACAACAGACAATGGGTGCGTTTTGCTGAAAATAGCACTTGGAAGCTATTATAAGAAAAATAGCGATCGCTAAACGGTAAGCGCTGTTTCTGCTAAAAAATGAATGAAACACGACACTATTGAAGTTAGCAAGTAAACGTGTCCTCGCCAAAAACTGCCTTGGTGATCGCCATTTTGCTTATAAGCGCTTTTGTCTGCCAAACGCACCCAACAATGTGTTTCTAAATAGATAGATGCGCAATAGCAATTGGATCGGCGTACTTGACTGAGTTTGCAATCCAAAGAGTTGAAATAGAAAAATATTTAATTACAGCGATAAATAAAACAGGACAAATATCATAGTGTTACAGAGTGAACTGTGCGATAAATACTTGACCGCGTAGTTGTTTATTGTAGATATAGCGGTGTGTAGAAAAAGCAGCGTCCCTCCGGGCTAGGATGACGCGCCGTGCTAAAATCTTATCGATGATTATCGTTAAAATGTGTGGACTTATCGCGTTATATCAATAAAATGGCGCGACAAACGCTTTTCACGGCGCGCATCCTAGACCTACAGAAGTTTTCTCGATTATGATTGGGCAGACAGAGGTATTATTGCAATTATAAAGAAACCACTAACCTGATTGTTCTTGTTGTAGCGTCCGTGACGTCAGAGCCGTCGGCAGCGGCGGCCGTAGCGGCGGGGCGGCCTTCGTGCCGCGAGAATTCCGGTTCGTTCGCGGGCCGGCGCTCGCGTCGCGGCTCGGTGTCAGACGACTCGCAGCTCACCGTGGAAAACTTCGGCGGCTCGCAGGACCGCTTACACTTCGCTGGACGCAACCCCGAGAAGGAGTTAGCAACTGTTGCTAACGTGCGGAAGATCTCCGCGCCAGCTGGTCAGTTTATTGTGACGTTTAACGCCGGTTGCACACCTCTGAGACAAATGTACGCACACGTGACGTCATCGCGTTAGCTTCCCCATGTATAGATCGTTTCAACCACGAAGTCGCGCCCCAATTTTTGGTCGAGGGAAGCGCGGGGTGCGGGGAGTTTGATCCGAGCAATCCGAGCGTCATTATTGTAGTGTGCGACGTGCGTGTACACTCATAGATAATTTAGCGTGTACCGATAATACTCAAACAGCTACAGCTTCCGCTAGAAGAAAGATGGGGCGCGTCTTCGTAGATGAAATGATCTATAAGGATAATGAGATGTGTAATGAAAAAATAAATCTTTTCGCTCTCTTCTCGCTTTCGTGGCGGTGTGCTACCGGCGTAAAAGTTGCTCATATTGCTACATGGCACCGCGCTCGTTTGCCGCGCTGTGTTTGGACACACCTTTAGAGTAGAGATAACATTAACTTGCGTTCTGAGTTTCAAATGCTTATCAGTGTTGCTAGATTTTTGTGTTGCCATTTTATTTCCGATCTTCAAATCTTTGAGGAGTCGCCACACTAGTCCTCTCAAGATTTATGTAGATGATTTCTTATTGTACAACTTGTAAGAAGAAGCTTCACACTTGGCACAGTTATAATAGGGTGAATTCGACCAAACAAGAGTAAATATTAATCTCAGAATAAACTTGTCATTGTGACATATTTCCCATACTAAAACTGTGTCAATTATACCAGGAGTTATTCTCGGATAAAAGTTTGGTCGAATCGGGCCTTATTTTCCATAGGCTAGGGTTACTAATCTATCACGCAGTCCGTGTTGATTCCAGGCCCGCTAGACTACAACCCGCCTCTGCGCTCGTCGCGGCAAGACATCCGCGGCTCCATACAATTCTTCCACGGGGATTTCCAGAACGGGTCCCAAGAAGAAAAGCCCAAGATGGAGCGGCAGCAGTCCCAGCCGCAAACAGACAGCGAACAGCCCTACTTTCCTATCAGAAGACAGCTCAGTAGTGACACCATAAGCTTGAACCAGCTAGGGTTCAGCTATAAGGGCGGCGGCGATGGTTTCTTCCTCAACGACCGAGACGCGACCGACGGCGACGGAACCAAAACGAGCTTCGCCGACCTCAATAGGATTAGGAGTAATGGCGATCAAGGTTTGTGCTTTTGGAAAATGGGAGGGTACAAATAAATTTATAAAAAAGTCCTGATAAAATTGGAAATATTGGAATGCTCTGAGATCGTCTACCTTCGATATTTTAATAGTGACGCGAAGTCCCATTAACTAATGAGTGACGATGTGTCACGAGACAAAAGTTATACTTGTTAAATCAATCAATTACTTTTTATGGCTACAATAATTGTGCGCTTGAGCACACTGTCACCAACGTCACTTGTTAAATCAAATAGAGAGAACATTGCATATTTTTAAATATCAAATTGATAAATAATATTACTTTTTTTTACAAAATTTCGGCAGGTGACGATAAAAACAGAAAAAGCATCCAAATAAACCGTGCAGTATGATGACATTCAAATGAGGGATGTATAGACTATCTGACATTAACAAAAATTGTGTATGTTTGACTAGTGCCGTTTAATTTTCTATCTACACAGTACTAATTTGTTGCTTATAATTGTTTAAAACACTGCTGACATGTGGTTTAATTTTCGCTTCTTTGTATGCGCTTGGACAGCTTAGCGCTATGTTGTTGTCGTTCGTATAGCATTCGACCACATATTCCCATTGTCAAAATTCAAAATTTATTTTACACATGACACATCTACATTGATATAAATAGGACATCAAAAAGAAGATCTATTGTGTGACTTGATGAAGGCGTGGTATTCTAATTTTGATTGTTATTACATAATTTTATCGCTGACATAAAGTGTCGCACCCTGTATTTTCTGATATATCTTCAAACTGTCTGTTGGCCTCGGTCGATCTTCAATGACTCATTAACAGCATTGTATCAAAAACGCCGCGTTATCAAATCACACAATAGACCTCTCTCACTGACTTAACTAAGATACGACGCTCAAAACTCGATCCTCAAGCTTGTGATTGGTCTGTAATAAATTTCAACCAATCAAAGGCTTCAATTTGTCGAGTTCTGACATTTATTGAAGGTCTAAAAGTGTATTTGGTTTCCGCAGGCGTGCAATCTCCTTTCGGCAAGGACGGCGGCGGCGGCGGCGGCGAGCGGCGGAAGACGTCGTTCTCCACGCCGCCGCCTAACACCACCACGTGGCAGCAGCAGTTCCTGCAGCAGGAGAATCAGCCAAGTTAGTTGCTTTATTTGTATCTTACATTATTATAGCTATTCAATTTTACCGCAGTGACCAAATCTATTAGTTTTTTGAACGTCTGATATTTATTTAGATATTCAAAGTAACGTAAAGTATATCTATACTATCACTCACCACTATCTCTTTACAAACACATACCTAGCGAGGGATGTGTTATGATGCGTAGCGACGCATCCACACACATCTCTGGTGGAAATGCAGCCCAAGTGTCGCCCCAGTAGAACGCTGACGCTCAAAAAGTGCTAGGGGTAGGTGAGCCTTAGAAAATCTTACAGTAAGAGCTGTTAAAACGTTTCTCCGTAGAGTTGGTACTACAGCATCAAGTATGACGGCTCTTTAAGTAATTTGGACTTCACTGATTGCGATTTTATTAGCGTTGACCGCTAACTAAGACCGTAAGTCCTTGCTGCACAAGAGATCCAGCAGTGGAAACAGTTTCTTCAAATTTGGTTATCATTCACAGACGGCGACGAGCTATCAGACGATGGACAAGCAGGTGGCGGCGGCGCGATGGCAGCCCAGCTCAACAACATTCGCCTGAAGTTAGAAGAGAAGCGACGCCGCATCGAGCACGAGAAACGCCGCATGGAGCTCGACGTCAGCCGTCAGAGGCAGCAGTTAGGCCAGCAGGCCTTCCTGCAGGCCGTCACGAGGGTAAGCCAATACTACCGCTTAATATAATAATCGAAGCGCTGCTGGTAGGGTAAAAAGATTATGAGACATGTAGAGGCTCCTTAAGAGCAAAATGACGATTTGTAAGAACTATTTATTAGTCTAAACAAATAAAGAAATTTTGACTTGACTTTGACTTGAATACTCTAAAGCCCGGTCTGTGAGCACGTAGAATTTTGTCCAATGACCCCAAGCTACCCATCCTTATCGCTCGCGCGTAATAGGGACGATAACTGGGTAATGAAATCGAAATTCTATTTAGTCCGTCAGACAGATAATAAAAAAATTTTGGACACATATTTTTGAATGTTTTTCATAATCGAATAATTACAGTATTATATTGAGTTGAAATGTCGCGTGACGTCACTTTTGAGTAAAAATTCTACTCAAGCGTGACGTTCGCGCCATTTCAACTCGATGTAGCACTGTTATTATTTAATTATGAAAGAAAATAAAAAATACGAGTCTAATATTTTCTAATTATCTGTCTGACGGACAAATAATTGAAATTTTGTCATCTAGCCTATTATATTGCTGTCGCGACTGTGCGACGGGCGCCCGCAGTGAGTGTGCGAGCGAGACAGCAACATAATTACGCGCGAGCGATAAGGATGGATAGCTTGGGGTCATTGGACAAAATTCTACGTGCTCACAGACTAGACTATACCTAGGATGAAGTACGTTCACTGCCACGTGGTGCCACGCCCCTTATGTGTGACGTGCGTATGCTTACGTAAGAAGCACGCTGCGCGCGCGCCTCTGTGGCAGTGTAATGCGTGGAAGATGCATATTGCATATCAATAGTAGTGAGCTAGACTGACATAATTATGTACGATTGTGATTTGATGTACAATCGCGGTTAACGTTTGAATAATTAATGATTAAAAGGCCCTTGTTAAAGAACTTTAAATGCAGTGTGCTTATATTTCAACCCTGCAATATCTCTAATACAATGTGTTCTATGTCAGTCTAGTTTACGGTGAATAGTACGAACTATAGCGAAAGTATTTTCGCTATTTTGAGTGTTGAACAACGGGAGTTGGGATGCTATGTAAAATAAATTAAAAACGTAACTTCATGATAAAATATTTGAGTAACTAAATAATTAATTCGTAGTTTTACATTTATTTTACATTTGCAATGGTTTTGTTTGGGGGTTTGAATCTTTGAATGTGTGGTAGATGTATATTTCCATGGGTATTGTTTAATACACATTGGTAATAACTAAAAAAATGGTGAATGATCAAATTATGTGTTGTTGGTAATGGAAAAGGAGAGTGCTCGTTTTGTAAAAGATTTCTTTAAGATCTCATAAATGTACAGTAAACTCAATACGAGTTGGATTAATTGATAATTATATTTCAGGTACTGGATTAACTAATGTTAATAACTACTCAAACAAATACACACATAACTTTCGTCTAGATGTTTCATAAAATTATATTCGCTTTTTTTATTGAATAAGAAGAATTTTATGGAACTGACGGATCGACAGCACATTGTTACTAATCTTATGTTTCGTTATAACTACGTTTGTCTATGGAAAATAAAGTATATGTTTCTATTTCATTAGGATACATATTTGCAATACCAGTTGGCCTCCTTGGTGAGTGGCCGGGTGAACCTGCGCCCCTTGGGTTTAGTTTAGTCCTTTATTAATTTTCATTTACTTTTTTACCACTTTGAGTAATTTTATTTTCATTTATTGATCGATTTTCAATCAGTTCGCTTATACAGCTTTCATTGAAGTACATACATTGAAAATACCATATTTAAAAAACTTTTGTGATTTAATCATTTTGTAGACTCACATTGACATTATTCAAATTAAAGTAAAAACATTACATATTGGCTTAAAATGCTTAAAAATAAACTATTGCCTAATCTTTTATAGTAGATTGAGGCGGCTTTATTATAAATCATTATTCTATTATTGCGTTGGCTCGCGTATACTCCATTTGGGGTATTAGTATTGTTTAATTTTTGAATCTTATTTAGGATAACATGAATCACAGTGTTTATATGGTCTGTTCACCCCCACTCTTAGTCCAATCACCAGGTAAATAACCCTAGTTGACACGAGTCCATGTAGGGTAGGATCCAGCAAACAATCACTGTTGTTTAAGTGTCACTCGTACGTTAGATTACACTCCCAAAGCATGTTTTTGTCGACTGGCATATAAAGGTTGATGTAGTCCCATCCTAACGGTAAAATGATAAAGATACTTTTTGTCAATTGAAATTGCCGCAACGGTTGCGTTTCATCAAATAACATTGTACTTAAATACCTATATGCGTTTAGTTTTGTCTGTTTAGTCTTGTCTGAAATATTGGATCTTTTCTTAACAATACCAGTTTAAAGTTATCAAATACCCTAAAATCTATCATCAAAACTTCTGATTATAAATTATTTGACTTATTGAAAGTTAAACAGATATAAAATAAGTAAGCTAGCCTGGCTACCTTGTAATAATATTGTCAACCACTAGAAACAGCAATCTGCAGAAGCAATACTCAAAAATCAATCAGTTAATGGATTTTGAGTCATAAGTCCAATATCTAATATGTTTTTGTCTACAATTTTGATAAATTAGTAAAATGCAAATAGGCATCCGTTGCGGCGAAGGTCTTTATTTCACTCATTCATAAGAACCTAGACAGTAGGCGGTATCGTTTGGATTGAAACGTGACGAACTAAACTTTTTCGTTAATTCGCGTAATTTTACTAAAGTTCTCGTGCCGCGATCGTGTTAATTTTCAAATAAACAACGTATACTCACATCATGACGTCACGTAGTGCGCCTTTATATGCCAAGCGCATTGCATGCTCACTCGCGCGTGTTGCAGGGCAAGGGCGCGCGCTCGCCGCCGCACGACGCGCCGCAGCCGGAGCCCCGCGCCGCCCAGGTACCACCCACCTGCAGGCCTAGGATGCGCCACGATAAACTTTTATCGAGGCCTTCTATCGATAACGATAAGCCCATATACAGGGTGATTTTGTTATCAGTATCCAAGTTTTTTAAATGAGCTCTATAGAACAATTTCAAAATACAACTTCATCTTAATTATTCTCAATCGCGATATTTTTCGCGAAAAAAATTATTGAAAATCTAATTTGCAGGTGCCCCACATCTTAATTTTTGAAGGTTAAGGCTTATTATCAAATAAGCTAGACGCCTCTAACTCATTATGTCTATTAAGCTTTTGTAGTAAACTGTGTGTACGTATTTTTCTATGAACGAAGCAAATTATACACGTGAGCCAAATTTGAAACAGCGCGCAGCGGATAAAAAAAAATTAAATATGAAAAAAAAAATATTTTTACGTAAATCGATTAAGTTACTGATTCTGAGTCGCTCCTAAAAATTTGGATACTGATAACAAAATCACCCTGTATTTGTTGTCTAAAGTCGTTGATAAGACTTCGAAGCATTTTATCGTTTTTTCACGATACATCTAAAGACGTCGATAAGATTTTATCATGGCGCGGGTCCTAGCTCGGCTGTCTAGCGCTCCTCGCTTGGTATAGGACTTCCTTAGCTATGAACACTCAATGTAGCCCACGGGAAGCTTGTTCCTTGATCGTAGGCTGAATATCGCGTGGCAGAAAGTATATTCTATCTATGACGTGTCACCCTGGTGTCAGCAGGGCTACTCCGAAACCAGGTTTACGTAGTTTCGTTTCTATCTCTCACCGTCGCTCATGCTGGCATCTCGCTTTGCGTGACAGGGATGGCAACATTAGAAACTTCGGATAACGTTTTTCGGAGGAACCCCGCTGACCTACCTCTGATATGAATCAATGAAGCCTACAATTTAAAGTACAGAATAATGTAGATTTTCGGATAATAAAGATGTTGTCCGTAGCATGGATTGAAATTTCTGTTCGAAAAATCGGGTTGATTCAAACCCTCAATATCCTATCCATAGTGATCTTTCACTATTCTCTTGAATACACAAAATGATTTTTCTATTTGTATCCCATTTGAGAATCGAATGACAGGTCAATCTTTAGTCATTAGTCCGCGAAGGCAATAAAGCTCATTCAGTCTTCCTACGATTATGTAAAATTAATAGCTGGCACTAATGTCTATCCAATATAGCTTGATTAGAATGACAGCTGCCATCAAAAGTAACGACATAACTTTGTAGTAGCGATCAATGAGAGCTAAATATTGGCGGACAAGAAATAATTCACGTCTGACCTACAAACAATATTTTCGACGACAGTGCTTCCAATAAAAATGTTAATTTCGTGTAAATGCAGCGTTAAATTACACCAATAAGTAGTAATTCGAAATTATAAAAATCAAGCTAGAGTATTAACGACGTCTCTACAAGGTTATCTCGAGTTACAAAAATGTTAGTGTTGGGACATATCGACAAATGTCATATTAAATTAAAACTAATTTTTTAACATATTTAACAATTTTTTTTTTCTAACTAATTTTTTAACATATTTAAGTCAAGTTTACGTTTTTCTAAATGTTCACTATTAAAAACCAAAAAACATTTCATTCTTAAATAATCAAACATCGGAAATCAATCACCGGTAATTTTTTGGGTATTCATAGCACCGATGCTCTAGAAGAGATGCCCACCGCCCTCTAGCGAGAGGAAAAAACCACTGAAAAACACTGATGATAATGACTACGACTTAGGTTGTACACCCTTGACATGAATTTTAAATTTTACTGTCTTTAAATTTAAATCATAATTGTCATTTTTATGAATACAGATATGAAGACAAATTGGGTGCATTTTTTTATATCATTTTTTCGAAAACTTATCGATACATCTATGTGAACCGTACGAAACATACACAGCACTAGTCACATTCGTTTGACAGCCGTCATTCTAATCAAGCTATATTGGATAGACTATAAAATATAATTTTTATAATACTTAGTTGAACTTTTTTTAAATTATATTTTTCACCAAAGTTTAATAAATTGGTATGTAGGCACATGAGTTCGTAGTTTATTGTTTGCTATTTTCATTTGCATTATTTTGGTAAATTATATTTGCTAGCCCAAGGAGGTCTTCAGTCATTTAACCAACAACAAAACTATAAATTCCAATAAAAACAATCTTATGACTATGTATCGGTCTTGATTTACAGTTAAAAAAGGTTGGTGGGTTTGCATGTGATTGTCCAGCTAAGGAAGTTTTATTGTTTGAACGACGAGCGTTGGAGAGTCTTGTACATCAGCATGATGTGTTTTAATGGCATGCCAATTGCAAGTTTGAGTTTTATTGGTGGTGGAATATAACTTATAATGAGGATAATTATTTGACACTTTGATTCCTCTCCTGAAAGTCAGTAAGCCTATAAAAAGGTGTGAAAATCCTTTCCAATTTTCCAACTGGTCTAAAAACATTCCAGAATGCTTATTATATTACTAGTTTAGACTCTGCAGATTGCTAATATTTAACTGTGTACATAGGAGGATGCGCCGAATCAAACCGTGGACACTGTCGCTTTGGAGCAGTACCAACAATCTATAGCCAAGTAAGTCTTTCAACATTTTCAATACACCGATACTTTCGATTTAGAATTAACTTGCCATTGGAAGTTGTGATATGGTTTAGTAACGCGTTGTCTTTTGCCCGTCTAAATTGTATTTGTCAAAGATTTGTGGCTTGCCTTTAGGCTAGTCAATCTAAAGTTATTTAAACTAGGCAAAAACGTTAACTTAATTAGGTTTTCTTTACTCGAACTATTAAAGTAATCCTAATATGAATATCCACTCTAACGTAAATGTTTCATGGCATACTCTTTTTCAAATGCCATATCTTTTACACCTTGTAAAAATTTTCACGCAATTTTAACTCAAGTGAGACTGATTTAAAAAAAAATCTGTAAGGGACTATTCCCATTCCCACCGCTGCAACTCCTTTGTAGCCAGGATCTACAGCTTGACCGCCAATAAAAACCCAACCAGTGAAGGTCAAGTTTGTCCCGGGGGAAAGTTAAACAGTCATTGGACCCGCAACGAAATTAATCAGAAGAACATAACGTCGCTTGCCTCTCTAACTGACGTATCTGACATTTTTTTCAAAACTGAGTTATCTACACCATCTTAATCAATTTTGCAAGACGAATCGATCTGTCTAATCGCCTGAAAATTTTGCAAAATGTCAGTAACGTCAGTTAGAGAGGCAAGCGACGATAAGAGTTCGAGGTTAAGTTTCGACTTTCGCGCCAACGCCGATCTTTGTAACAAACTTAAAGCACAAGTCCGCCCAAATAACTTCCCAGAATGAACACCAGCTTGCAAGACATCCAGAGCGACATCGCGCGGCTGGCCAGCCAGCAGAGCCAGATACAGCAGCAGCAGCACCAGGCCCAGCAGCTATTTCAGCCGCCCGCGTCGCAGCCTCCGCCCTCGCCTTACCAGTACCAGCATCAGCATCAGCAGCAACATCAGAATCTGCAGCATCAGATGCAGCACCCGCACCAACTCCCGCCACAGCAACCAAACATTCCACAATTGGTGAGTGGATATTACAGAACACCCGTTGTCTTAGGTGAGCGACGGAACGGGCACAAAGCGACGTGATGCGACGTAAAGGCGGCGGTTCGCGCTGCGATAGAGACGAGAGAACGCGATCGTTACTTGACTTTAAGCAGTGTATAAGCATTAGTTCGCGAGCGAGACAGAGACAGTAGACAAAGTGTTGGTAACCCAACAACGTACGGGAGGAGACGTGCGGGCGGCGAACGATGACTAACGTCACCAAGGGACCAAAGCGTCATCATCGGCAGCGCTCGGCTCGCACTCTCGCATTGGGACACCATCGTTCGTTCGTTTCAGCCGAAAGACGTCCGCTACTAGACAAAGGCCTCCCCTAAGGATTTCGACAAAGACTGGTCCTGCGCCGCTCGCATCCAGGCGCCTGGGACACCATCGTCGATGCACGATTACCGCGTACCTAAGATGATAATTGTAAATTAGACTGCCGAGAATTACAACACTTATTTTTATACATTTATATTTCTATTACTAATATGACCCTATCAGAGACCTAAGGCAAGTAACGGTCGCAGTGTCCCGTCTCGGTCTCTTGTCTCTGTCGCGACGTGAACCGCCACCTTTATGCAACCAATACATTCGTGACGTTTTATACATGTCATGATTCGCCACTACGTAGGCCACTATTAAACAGTCGACCTTCCGACTGACTAACACACACTTCCAAGATAATCCTTCAGGATTTTATACATTGCAAGCAGCAAGCGCCAGTTTAAATTAATATTATGTTTTAATTGTGTATTATATCATAACCATACCTAATAACCAAGCAAGCATGTAAAAATATATCCGCCATACTAATATAACATAGTTCTAGGGACAACTAATTACAAAATGTTTTATATTACACACACTAACAAAACCTCGTTTTGTTTCACGATTTTTTTAATGACTACAAAAACATAATTAGTCTATGATTGAAACTAGATGGGATAGTCAAGGGTTTTATCAAAGGCATCAGTATAAAAAACTACAACTTTGTACAGTTGTGTTAATATTTCAAAGCTACAGCATTCGCGTACACAAACAATAGACACTCATTACTTTCGAGACGCGCCAAATGCGATCAAAAATTGCAAAAGGTCAAAGTCTCTTTCGACGTTTGCAAAAGCTGTCACAAAAGTGTAAAGCCTCTAAGGACCAATTCGACCAAACTTTTATCCGAGAATAACTCCTGGTATAAGTGGCACATTGACAGTTTCAGTATGGGGAATATGTCAAAATATCGCATAACTGACTACTTATTTTGAGGCTATCTTTCCGCCCGCGGAATTTTGTCTGTCACAGAAAAACTATATCGCGCGCGTCCCTGTTTCAAAAACCGGCATAAAAACTGTCCTATGTCCTTTCCCGGGACGCAAACTATCTTTATGCCAAATTTCATCAAAATCAGTTCGGTGGTTTAGGTGTGAAAGCAAGACAGACAGATAGAGTTACTTTCGCATTTGTTATGTAGTATAGATAGATTAATATTTACTCTTGTTTGGTCGAATCCACCGTAAAATCGTGAAACAACAGCTGACGCGCGCGTCCGATTGCAGCACAGCCAATTCAGCTCACAGCACAACGTGTCGCGGCCCGCGCTCGCCGCCGGCTTCGGCTCCACGCCGCATCTGCCGCGAGACTTGTACCAGGGCCCGTACTACGAGCCGCACTTGTACCAGTATCGCGACATGGAGCCCGAGCACGGCCGCTTCTACCTGCACGACGCCGCGCCGCAGCGCAAGACATGGGCGCAGCACGCGCAGCAACAGCACCAGCAGCAGCAGCAGCAGCAGCAGCAAGAAGCGCAGGAGCGCGGCTGGCAGGTAGGACGCTACTCACGCTTCTTACACGGTAGCAGGGCCGTCTTTAACATACTAGGCGCCCTGGGCACTTAAGGATCAAGGGGCCCATATCATCTGGAGAAAGGTCTTTGGAGTAGACAGGGGCCCCCTCAGTCGCGGGGCCCTGGGCACGTGCCCAAAGTGCCCAGTGGGAAAGAAAGGCACGATAGGCAGGATTCACATTGACCGGCGCGAGTCAACCAAAAATGCGGTAGAATGCGCGCGTATCGGCTGGAATACGCTCGGAGCCGACCGGCTTCCGACGCATGCTTGCGCACCGTTCGGACTGAAATGTCAGTTAATCAGTTGTAACTAATTGCGACTCTAAGAACTGTTAATAAAATACTATTTTCTTTACGGCCGTGTAAGTGCGCTCCGACGTGCGCCGGTCAATGGGGATCGTACCATACGGATTGATATGGCTGCGTATCCACTGGGGCGGAGTTTTGAGTTACATTTAACGTATTTTAGCGACGTGCGTACGTGTACTGCGCTTAGCTTTAGTGGAGACCAGCCTCACATAATATAAACATCAATTTAATCTACTAGTGATGCACTTGGTAATCAACGTTTACAGCGATGACTCAAACTCAATAAATACTTTGTAGATAAGCTGAATGAATGAGGCACCGTACACATGCTTATTTTGTCCTCGCCTTGCTAACAGGACTCAACCGCAACTGCAAATAACAATACGGTTTTGGTCACCTGTAGCCATAGGTATATTAAACTCATACAAGAGCTACAACCTCCGCCTAAACTTTCAGCTCCACCAACAAAATCACCAGTACCAGCAGCCGGCGGCGGAGCCTCCGCAGCGGTCGTGGAAGTCCCCCTCCCCGCAGCCGCCCGAGCGGAACTGGACCCCGCAGGGCTTCGTGCTGCACGACCGCGCCAGCCAGCCCTTCCAGGTCCACTACAGCACCGACCGCTACCAGAACGGCACCGAGAACGCGCGGGATCCCCAAAACCATTTAAGCTACACTGTGATAAACCCCAACCAGTACGTCTCCCAGTCGCCTCCGCTCGCGGCGAGTCCGCAGCGCCGGGCTAAGACGCCGCAGCGCCAGGGCTCGCTGCCCGAGCGTCGACCAGACGCCGTCAGCCTGCAGCAGTTGCAAGCACCAGCCCCGCCGCCTGACGATATGGAACCTCAGAATATTTCCTTCATCGGCAACGCTGAAGACGACGCGCTGCGACAGGGCATCAACCGCCTCAACATTTCCTCGGGCACGCGCACCTATCGCATCCCGTCGCCCACGCGGCCCTCGCTCGGCCGGTCCTCCTTCCAGCAGCCCGACGACGACGCCAACGAGAAGGGCTTCTACATCTCCTTCGACACCGACCAGCCGAAGCGGCCGAAGCCGCCGTTGCGCGCCAAGCGCATGTCGCCCAAGAAGGAGAAGTCGGAGCTGAGTCCCGACCGGAGCCCTGAGAACACGTGGAACGAGCGAGTCGACCGGGTGGACCGTGTGGACCGGGTGGCTAGCCAGGAAGAAGAGTTTGTCGTGCACCGGGCGAATGTGGAACCGTTGCGAGCCGCGCCCGAACGCAGGGACGCGCCCGAACCCGCCGCTCTAGTCATTGGCGAGCTCAATCCTGACCCGGTGAGTTCTTTGCACACGTCACAAACAGGGTGCGAAAGGATAATTATCAATGATAATTATCAAGATAATTATCGAATAACAGATGGATAATTATCGGTTAATAATAACAAAAAAATGCGCAAGTGAAAGTGAACTGTATTCGGAGTTTTCGAACGTGTATTTCCGCACTTGCGTCTAGTGGTAGACGTTATTTAACATAGATAGTTCTAAAGCCTATCTATTTAGCTACACAACGATCAATCGTTAACTAGCTTCAAAATATTTATCTATTTTCCACAACACTTTATGCAACTAGCGATGGATAACTTGACAACAATCAGTAAAACATAAAGCAACATTTTCAATGTAACATCAGAATTTCTTATGAAACAATATGACAAATATATCTTATACTGTTGATAATTATCACAAAGCGTTTTGCAAATTTCGAACCCTGGTCACAAATGTCGCACGCACATATCAATGTTAACGCCCCACTCATCACCGTCCTATCACTACAGACGTCAGCAGAAGAAATGGAGCGCAAAAAAGAGCGCATTATGCTGCTGTCTCTCCAGCGAAGGCAGCGCGCAGACGAGGCGCGGGCGCGGGCAGAAGCGGCGGCGGCGGCGCGGCGCGCGCGGGACGAGGCGGCCGCCGAGCTCAAGCTGTCCCGCAAGGAGGAGCAAGCACGCCGTCGCGAGCTCATCCTCCGCCAGTACAAGCTCAAGAAGGCCATCGAGGAGGCCGAGAGGGAGGTATGTGTCGCATCATGCTGCTGGCTGTCTAGTGACGGCGCGCGCGGGACGAGGCGGCCGCCGAGCTCAAGCTGTCCCGCAAGGAGGAGCAAGCACGCCGTCGCGAGCTCATCCTCCGCCAGTACAAGCTCAAGAAGGCCATCGAGGAGGCCGAGAGGGAGGTATGTGTCGCATCATGCTGCTGGCTGTCTAGTGACGGCGCGCGCGGGACGAGGCGGCCGCCGAGCTCAAGCTGTCCCGCAAGGAGGAGCAAGCACGCCGTCGCGAGCTCATCCTCCGCCAGTACAAGCTCAAGAAGGCCATCGAGGAGGCCGAGAGGGAGGTATGTGTCGCATCATGCTGCTGGCTGTCTAGTGACGGCGCGCGCGGGACGAGGCGGCCGCCGAGCTCAAGCTGTCCCGCAAGGAGGAGCAAGCACGCCGTCGCGAGCTCATCCTCCGCCAGTACAAGCTCAAGAAGGCCATCGAGGAGGCCGAGAGGGAGGTATGTGTCGCATCATGCTGCTGGCTGTCTAGTGACGGCGCGCGCGGGACGAGGCGGCCGCCGAGCTCAAGCTGTCCCGCAAGGAGGAGCAAGCACGCCGTCGCGAGCTCATCCTCCGCCAGTACAAGCTCAAGAAGGCCATCGAGGAGGCCGAGAGGGAGGTATGTGTCGCATCATGCTGCTGGCTGTCTAGTGACGGCGCGCGCGGGACGAGGCGGCCGCCGAGCTCAAGCTGTCCCGCAAGGAGGAGCAAGCACGCCGTCGCGAGCTCATCCTCCGCCAGTACAAGCTCAAGAAGGCCATCGAGGAGGCCGAGAGGGAGGTATGTGTCGCATCATGCTGCTGGCTGTCTAGTGACGGCGCGCGCGGGACGAGGCGGCCGCCGAGCTCAAGCTGTCCCGCAAGGAGGAGCAAGCACGCCGTCGCGAGCTCATCCTCCGCCAGTACAAGCTCAAGAAGGCCATCGAGGAGGCCGAGAGGGAGGTATGTGTCGCATCATGCTGCTGGCTGTCTAGTGACGGCGCGCGCGGGACGAGGCGGCCGCCGAGCTCAAGCTGTCCCGCAAGGAGGAGCAAGCACGCCGTCGCGAGCTCATCCTCCGCCAGTACAAGCTCAAGAAGGCCATCGAGGAGGCCGAGAGGGAGGTATGTGTCGCATCATGCTGCTGGCTGTCTAGTGACGGCGCGCGCGGGACGAGGCGGCCGCCGAGCTCAAGCTGTCCCGCAAGGAGGAGCAAGCACGCCGTCGCGAGCTCATCCTCCGCCAGTACAAGCTCAAGAAGGCCATCGAGGAGGCCGAGAGGGAGGTATGTGTCGCATCATGCTGCTGGCTCTCTAGGGAGGTCAGTTGTTTGTCCCTAACGTTATCAAAGAGCTATCGTATTGGCGCCGAATAATAATTGTCGTCACCGGCAAGTGACAATACCTTACTCTAAAGTGGCGCCAACTGGCGACTTATAGGTAGCCACTACTTTATTTACATCTTGAAATTCCCTAACTACGGTCTCGGCTAACTTCCAAGAAGATCTTTTAGATGTGTCATCAAAAATACTACACGTAAATGTGAGTAGTATGTAAACTGTTCAAGAGCTAAAGATTACATTCGTGAGAAAGTAAATAACAACCATAGATATAATTTTGCCATTTACCATTCCAGGGCAAAGTCTTAGACAAGACGGAGTTCCTCGAGGCCCTCAACAGCGGCGGGAATCCCGGGACCGACCGGGACCGGGATAGAGGGGGAGGGGGCAACACTAACACTCGATTACGAACCAAAGCGGGCGCCGCTCGCGCCCGGCCTAAGACGATACACGTTGACAGCGGCGCGCTGCATCAGGCAGAAGGGCTGAGGGCTAAACAGCCTTCCAATACCAACCTCACAGGTACTTACGTAGGGATCGAGAAAAAGATTGGTGCCCGTTTTCACCATCAATCTCTAATTTTTAAGTGACCCTTATTTGTTAACATAACAGGAATTTTGCTTTCGTAGGGGTGACTTAAAAGTTAGGCGTTGGTGGTATAACGGGCATAGGGCTATCGGATTTGCGCCCACCAGTTGGCGCCTCTGATAAGTGATAGGATGTTGTAGTGGCGCCAACTGGTGAAAAATTTAATTCTTAACACGAACAAACACATGAAGTAAATTCCGAAATATTATTATCCGAGAAAATATGATGTTAATTTAATTACATTTTAACGACACATAATCTTAGAAAGAAATGAAGTACATGGTTAATTGACACACTTATCAGGCACACAAATACGAGTAATTTCTTTATGAACAACAACAATACACAACACAGTTGTTGACACTGTTTTTGTAAATATGTTTTATGCAACTTTTTTACACTGAAAAGTTTGTTCATTTTAGTTTTAGCTTTATTTAACTGTCGAAAGCCGCACTAAATGTTAGCTTGTCCCTAGAAACGCACATCTATCACTGGCTATGTTAACAAGAGCCATTGATAGTTTTGCTATTTTCCCAAATGGCATGGCTGCCACCTAGATGTGCTATATTTTGTGTACACATAACATTCTGCTGATTCAATAATTGTCTACGTTAGATTTATAAACTCCTTTAGAAGGATGCTAGTTTTACGTATCCAAGTAGATGAGTTTTCAGCATAATGTTATAGTAAATTAATCTTTTGGCATGATATTTCAGCGCTAAGTTTTTTATTTCGTTATATTTTCGTTCAATATCATGCTTAAAGAGCTAAATCCCAGCTATGGTGCAACAGGCGTGGCGTGACTGGCAAAATGGACGCTTTTGACGTAACTAGAATATCTATGATCGAATTTGAGTAATGCCCAGGGTTTTGAAGTTCATGAATCTAACTTGATTTTTTTGCAATTTGTATTTCTCTCACGCTAAATATAAGTTAAAATATGATACGTTCAAAACAATGGGATATAATTCCTCACGATAACGTATCTATTTTTCTCTCATATGCGAGAATGTCATAGTTATAGATACGATCCTACTATCCTACTAATATTATAAATGCGAAAGTTTGGATGTCTGGATGTTTGGATGTCTAGATGTTTGTTACTCTTTCACGCAAAAACTACTGAACGGATTTTGTTGAAACTTTACAGTATTATTGTTTATTACCCAGAATAACATATTATTATAGGCTATAATTTATGACAAATCTGTTACCATGCTATTCATTGAATATAAAATCGTGGCATTACCTCTTTCAAACTTTGAAAGCAATCAAATGGTTCAGCCATTGCGTAAAGTGTCAAAATAGCCAGCCATTTTGCCGGTCGCGCTCGCTAGCGTTCCCTGCTGACGTGTGGTGTTGTATAGCCGGCGGCACCATGCGGCGCGACTACTACCGCGGCTCGCAGGACTCGCTGGCCGAGCGCGCCGGGCTCTACCGCGGTGAGTACCCACCCTTATGCCCGCCGGGTAAGGCCGAGAGTCGCGTGGCAATGTATGCTAACGATTTATTTATCTATTGCCCCTAGACCTTAGTCGGGCATCCTACTTTACGTATAATTTTGTGATATTTTATTTTCATACAAACTACAGCATAGCGCATCACAAAGTGAGTTACAGCCGTATAGTTCCAAAATACTGAACTTTCCTATCCATGACATTGGCAGTGGGGCGCCACTGTCAATATCGGATCGCTGGTTCCGATTTTTGCCATGTTGAAAACCATATAGTTGAACGATGGTAGCGCCCCCCTGTCATTGAGTTTGGTGGGACAATTCAGCGTGGGTCATCTATAGTGGAGGGGTGACATGACAGATCTGTCACGGTATAGACCTCTGATCTGAAGTTTCACTGACATTTGACATAGCACCCCCCAACACAAAACCTACACAGTTATGTGCTGTGCCTGTAGTTCAAACATTTTGCCATGCATTGCGACTCGACTAGTGGATATTAATCTTTATTTTGTGCTGTCCCTTTGCTAAACATAAAGTTAATATCCATGCAAGCACATCAAACAAATGTGGTGTTTTATAATAAACTGTTAAGCGTTTCAAATTAATTATTTGACATTTTATTTTATAGATTTATATTATTGATTTATAGAAATAATTTTGTCCGTAAGTTAAATGTCAAACAATTGATTTCAACAAAGGATTAGCATAGTTGTTTTTTGTTTCACTTTAATTAAGCACGGATTTTATAGCTTACTGCATGGATTTTGATGTCAATGTTTACAACACGTACAGACATTTCTATCTACATTATTCAGAAACTTAAACATAGATTACGGAATATTACTTTTATGTTATCTACTACGTAATAGTTGCAGCATGAAGATAACAAAATTATTGGTGAACGTTTCTCTTTTAGAATGCAGTAGCAAGGATTTTATTTTATGAATTATTTAATTTTGATGTTTTCTATACAAAATCGGACAAAATATTTTCCTTGTAAATGTTTCAAGAGTTACATGAGTATTTCTCAAAAAAAATGTACGTAACGAAACGGTAGTAACGAAATAGTAAGGCCATAAGGCTTATTATACATTGGCGAAATATTGTGAATGCTCTAAATTTATTCAATTCGTAATATTTGTAAGTATGCACCCAAATACGGGGTAATATTAAGGGGTTAGAAATAAAATAAGGGAGTAATCATTCATACTATTTTAATAAAATTATTTTTGTTCCATCATGTTTATCCATTTTGAGTCGTTCTCTGTAAGCTTTTTGCCTTTTGGCATTGATTTTTGGCGGCATTCCTAAAAAAACAAAAGAAGTAATCACATAAAAACACATTCAAATGATTTGATTATTTCTTGCTGGTGGCACTTCTGTAAAGCAGATAGTATCCAATCCTTTTGTTATTGACGCTCTATATTTTTTAAATAAATTAAGTAGTGAATATTACTATGCTTAGTTAGGTAATAACAGTATACACTCAGCATTATGTTGTACTTTTTCGTAACGTAACGAAATTCGTAAAAAACGTAACGAAATATTAGACAAAAAACAATAAACCTAGGCCGGTATTGTGTTCGTTTGTAAACAATTGGAAGAAGAACGAAATTATCAGAAATAAAAAGAACCTAAAAGAAATTAATATTTCCGAAGATTATCCAAAGGAAGTATTAGAAAAGAGGAAAAGTCTGCAAGCTGAGTTAGTAGAAGAGAGGAAAAAAGGAAACTTAGCATATCTGAAGTATGACAAACTAATAGTTAAAGAGAATAACAGTCAAGAGAGAAGAAAGAGAGAATCGACTACCTCACCCACTGCTTACGAAAACCAGCCCAAAAAACAACAGACTGTATCTTCAATCAAGACAAGTAGGTCAAACGCTTTCGATATGATGCGGTCTAGATCCAGCTCTCTTTCCAATATCACCACTACAAAGAAACAATAGCAAATAAGAATCGGCAAACGGAAACCGAAACCAACCAAAGAAACCAACAATGAAAGAACAGGAAAACACCAACCTCCCCCAAGCCGACTGGTCCTCGTGGGGGAAAGAGACCACAACCCTCCAANATTACTGTAGAACGATAATACAAAGAAATTTACAATAATTTAGTTACGTATCGCATTTTATGAAACAAAAACACATTAAAAAGCTAGGGTGGCAAACAGGTTTTTGTATGAAAGGTAAAAAAAGGACTTTTTAAAATATCTAAATATTTGGTAATAAGTAGGATTATAGCTATAATTCTTCGTTATCTTAAAGATTAATATTCATCCTTCAAAATTGTGTGTGTGTTTTTAATGTGTGATGATTTATAAATATAAAACTTTTGAACTGTTTCAAAGCACACTTTTTTTTCAAAATGTTCATTTTTTTTGAGAAATACTCACATTAATTTGGTAAATTATAACACTTCTTATAATATAACACAGTTTTGGAATGAGGTAGTAAGTTAACCGGTGGTGGTGTACACAATATCACTGACGTCACACCATCTCTGACGTCACTCCGTGGTGGTTTCAGTGACGCCAGCGGAGTCACCCGTAGAGGAGCGCGGGGGCGCGTCCCCCGGTAGCGCGTCAAGCGCCCCCCTCGGACGACGCGGCTCGTGCAAAACGTCCCGCGGTGAGTGCCATACCCCACCCTCCTCACACTTCACAATCGTATCCTTATGGTGCGTCCATACTGGGCGAATTTTCTCGCGCGGCAAACTCAACATCCTGCTCACTCAAGAGCAGAGTGAGCAGGATGAACAGCGTGCCGCGCGAGCAAATTCGCTCAGTCTGGACGCACCATTAATCTGTGTAGCGAAATTGCGCGTGAGAGTTTGATCGTACACCTATGAATAATGTACCTTTCGTGAATATTGCGTCCGTTATTACTCGGAAGCATTCCAATATTTTTAAGTTAGTGTTTCCTAAATTAGTCTCTGACGTATTTTTTTTAAATAAAATTAGTGTAACAAGTGGGGGCAATCGGGAATCCAAGCGATGGAAATGATAAACTCATTGTAAGCTTGTGGTGTACAAACATTTACACTTATACTGTACAAATAAACAGGATTACAGTAGATTTTCAGATTTTTCAGCAATATTCTATTAATTAGAAGTAATTTCTATGATAATAATGGCGTTAACACGATCAAACGCTCATATGCAATGCTCGTGTATGTCCCACTCATTTTGCTTGTCCCGAAAACTGCGTTAAATGTGTCCCACTCGCCACATAAGAGTGTGCCACATTTGACACATTGACTCTACAACAGTAGGACGAGTGTGTCGATGTGTTGCGAGAGCATGCCGTCCCACTCGTCCCGTCTTTTGTCCCGCTCGCTCGCCACGCGCCACTAACAGCGTTCGCTTTGCAGTGCCCCAACTGCTTGTATTATAATGAGACCATAGTAAAATTTAACACCTTTTACAATTTCAAAGTTTTGTTGTGGTCTTTGTTTGGTCCTTTAATCATTACCGAAATTATGCGGATGATATGTTTTTTTTGTTATCCCTTTCCTGATCGTCTATTTATAATTAATAGTGCACTGGAAGGACCCAAACATAAATGTATCATTAGAAACTTAGTTTGGTAATATTTTTGATACCTGCGGGTCCTTCTAGTACAGTTGAAAAGTAGACCAAATTGTACACTGCAAATCATCTCCCCCAAGCTTGACATAAAACAAGTTATATCCAGATTTGACTATCATTTACAACTCATACGTAACAGTATATCAAAATCACTGAAATACAATGTTATACTGTTGCTATGATGTACATAAAACATCTCATTTAGATAAAAAGCTTGTTTGGTTTTTATTTGTAGAATGCTTAAAGTTTTATTTATTTTTTGATTGATTTATTTTATATGTGTATGATTTCAGCAACGCATAGAATTAGATACACTCCAACATGCAAAATTTATGCTTTTTATATTTTATTTGGCCGTTTATGTAGTTTGCAACTGGACTAAATTGAGAGGTTTTGAAGCTTTTTCCAAATTTCGCCCTCTAGACCTTCCGCGCATTTGTAAAGATCGGTTCCCGACATTGTACATATTGACATGGAATCAGTGAGAGTCATGTGATGAGCAGTTTTGCCGCGTCAATAGCATTAATTTTGTTTGCCATTATTCAGTGTATCCAATAATGTGAGACTAAACCGCCGCCCGCTTGTTGCATGGCGGGCGCGGGGCGGTCGTGCATGCGAGTGACGTGTATAGGAAACATTTCAGAGCGCGTCAATGAGGAACCTCAGTCGTCCCGTGGAAGGTCTAAATATTCCACTTACCAGAGTAACTTTAAGGCGGGAAGGAAGTCTAGCTCTCTTATGAACTTGTGCGGTAAGAGACGTTTGATACCACCCGATAAGCTTGACTCACGTTGGTGTAGTCGGTTTACGCTTCGGTGCGTTGGGCTCCTTTCTGTTGCGGCTGCTGGCGGGGTGGGCTTCTATGTCTGCAAACGTCTTGATGTGATGGATTTTCTTATATTTGGTGTCTTCGGAATAGACCCAGGGTCGTTTGAATTTGGACCTTGGGATCTAGACATTCAGTGATCGCCTCGAAAATCTGTCGATCAAACGCAATCTATCTACTGATTTATCACTACTTTTTAACTATTTTATTGAAATAACACTTGCCTTCAGTAAACAAATACACGCTGGTACTGAACTGAATTAACCAATTTCCAATAAGTAGCTGCAAAATGCAATGCACCTAAAATATTGAGTACACTTTAGTTAAATTGAAATTGGTGATGTAAATTAGTGCTTGTAACTTTTAGCTGATAACTATCAACTACAAGTTGATCTATTTTGAATTACTGCAGCATGGAGAAATAGTTAAATATTGTTTACAGACATAGACTTGTTTCCACTGTACCACCCCGTCAGTAGCAATTCTTTCGTCTTGTGCACTTTATATTATTTCTTTTGGGTAATTGGCGATATATAAGTATTGAAATTTATATTATATTTAGCGAGGTTGTGGTTTATTTTGTTCTGGTTAGATTTATATTAATTCGGGTCGTTGTTAGAGCATGTTTATATACTGGTGTTGGTGTGACATCGTCCGGCATTTCATCAAACTTAGCCTTTATATCTTGGATCATTGTCTTGATTAGCTATACACTGATCAAATGACACTTCTCAGTTATTGACGTGTACTATAATATTAATGTATAAATAGTTACAAATAATATGCTATATTTAACATACACACTATTTACTGCTAATTTTATCGTAATATATCTATTTATGCGTAAAATACGAAATGTGTCAAAGATATTCGATGCTTATGTATTACGTTATCGCCTACCTTATTAATTTGCTTAGCTACTGTAGAAGTACTCGTATTATTATAAAATATTTTTACATTTAGTATTTTACGCTTTATATCAATTTAGTACTAAAATTATCGAAGAATAAATATAAATAATAGGTGTCAAGGTAAAATTAATCAGAAATAATCTTCTAAACTTACTAATTTTAATTTTATGCTAGTCAATAAAACACTAATTTAAAAGGTAAGTTGTCAATGACAAAAAACTTACGACGATTATACATTTTACTATCATTATTTGTTTTGTTGTAAGTCGTAAAATGTTTTGGGAATCAAAAGCAATAAATGTGTATGTACTTGTTTGAAGTGGGAATTTGTTTATTGTGAAGTTATTTGTGTAAATAAACGGGGTTTTTGGCATAATAGTTTAGGCAGAAAGTATTTTCACATGAGCGCACGTATTTAGTCATGTTAGTTAGTTGCTTTGTTGCATTGTAAATGCATCCGAAGTAAGTTCACTGAGTTTAGCCAAGAGTGAGCGGTCAATGTACAGAATTATGTAGATAAAAGTAATATTGTAGTTTTTTTATTTTCTATAAAGTATTTTTTACATCTTAAATCTATTTAGTAAAAGATTTTATTAGCTTTTTGAGCATAAAAATAGTCTGGGGGTGGTTTTCTACGATTTACCTACTGTAATAGTACGTTCTAACGTATGTGACAGTGATTTTTTTACTTTCTATTCCTCCCAGACTATAGTGTTTGTTTATCGTGGTTTTAGTAAAGAAACTAAGATGGGAGAATATATCAAAGGGGGATAAATTGTGATCTGTGCAACCAGCGGGTTGATTCGTATCGCCGTTGCGTGTGCGCAAGTAAAGGGTTTAAAGAGAATTGCGCGTGGACAAGATGGGGCAATAATAATGCTGTGAAAACAAGGGGTTAGGTATCATACAAAATTAGTTTTGTCGTCGTTATGATGTGTGCGCAAGTTACCAGGTTAGGTAGGCAATTTGTTTCACAAGCGCGTTAGACTTGACCGTTCCGCGTGGTGCATGCGTGTTGATGAATAAATAGAACAGACAACGGGTTAGTTCGGGTATCATACTGGGTGTATTTCGTCGCCGTTATTATTCGTGTGCGCAAGTTACAAATTAGGTAATGGATTTAAGAAATGCGCGTGAGACGTGGCGTGTAACCACGCGGCCGTTAGGTAGAGAGTTTAACAAATACGCGTGGACATGCCGTGCGTGCGTGTCACGTGGTTGGTATAAATTAATAAATAAGATGGGGGAATAATAGAACAGACAGCAGTTGGGTATCATACTAGATGTGTATTCGTCGCTATTATGCGCGTGCGCTAGTTAGGCAAAGGGTTCAACAAGCGCGTGAGACGTGGCGTGTAACCACGCGACCAAGTTAGGTAGTGGGTTTGCGCAAGTTAGGCAAAGGGTTTAAAAAGTGCGTGAGACGTGGCGTGCAACCACGCGGCCGTTGGGTAGTGGGTTTAACAAGTGCGTGAGACGTGGCGTGTAACCACGCGACTAAGTTAGGTAGTGGGTTTAACAAATGCGTGTGAGACGTGGCGTGTAACCACGCGGCCGTTAGGTAATGGGTCTAACAAGCGCGTGAGACGTGGCGTGTAACCACGCGACTAAGTTAGGTAGTGGGTTTAACAAATGCGTGTGAGACGTGAGTGGGTTTAAACCGTTTAACAAGTGCGTGAAACGTGCCGCGTGGCGCGTGACATTTAACCACGGGTGCTACGCCGCGTGGCGCGTGCCACAACGCCACGCGGGCACTAACGTGCGTGGTGTGCAGACAGCGGGCTGGGCCGCGCGACGCCGCCGCGGCGCGCCGCGTCGCCGGGGCTCCGCGCGCTTGGCTCGCCGGCGTCGGGCCCGGGCTCGCTGCCCGGAGCCATCGGCAAGCGACGCGCGCACCACGACGACTCCTCCGACGTGTCTTCGACGCACTCCTCCATCATGGACTACTCCGGTGAGTTTGACACGATTACAGAGCATACACATCGAATACCAAAGTTTAGGTACTGTTTTAAGTTCACAAATGTTATGAGTGACAAAATAAACAGGCTGAAATTGTTTTACTAAAGTAGAAAAAGATATGGCTGAAACGACGACGACGACGACAGAAAAAGATATGAAAAATCTTACCCTGCTTTAGTGAAACTGTGTCTCAGTTAAAACAAAACGAAATATTAGCGTGGTACTAAGTACTACAGCGCCATCCACATACATATACGATAGTAAATACACTCGTTAAAGACAACATCGATGACACTAATTAACTCTGTTATATCATGACACCTGTAATAAATCAAACATATTTATGATACCGTACCAACATATTATTTGATATTACTTATTTCTAATAAAGATTCTGTTTTGTTATATTAATTTCTTATTAAGTATATTTCACAGATTTATTTATGAAAAGTATCATCTTCTACTATTTATTCTTAATCTTACTTTCTTAGCGAACACTCGAGAGCGACGTAAAGGTGTTTATTCGTAACATTACTAAGTAGTTAGTTAGCTCACACGAACACGTTGACGTTATCAAGCGATGTCATACCAACACGAGTCACGAGGGCCATGTTCACGTAAAAACATAGTTAAACTTAACATAAGATTAAGAGCGACAGTGTTGTTTGTCGAGTTGAATAAAGCATGGTTTGCCGCGTGGAGCATCTTGCCCTAACAACGCATTGACATACAATAATAATTTTAATATACATATCGCTTGACAATCGCTTCCTCACCAATTTGAATAACACCTGAACCAACGCACTAATATTCACTCGTGCATTTTTCTATCGTTTGCATTACTTTTCGATATTTTAACACACTTGGCAAAATTGTGTAAATACTCAATTCGATTCAAAATTATTGAAATAAGTAAATCACCTTTCTGATAAAAGAAACCTAACTTGAAGAAATATATTGACTTTTGACAAAGTACCTAGGTATGAATTCTAAATTCACAATCACTTCTAGATGGTTAGATTTAACCTGGATTTATAATTTGAGCCAAGAATTTTGTACCAATACATTTGCTACACTTTTTTACAGACAATTATCATTTGTAATGTCTAATTACTGGCTCTAATTAAAATCTACAGAGTAAAAGTACCAAACACTGTTTGCAATACATAGGTAAATAGCTGCACAAAACCACGCAAAGGCAATCACAAACAGCCTCAACTCCCATTTACAGGGCCGCGGTTATACAAGCAGCCCACGACGAAGTCGAATCGCGGCATCATGCTGAACGCGGTGGAGTATTGCGTGTTCCCGGGCGCGGTCAACGCGGAGGCCAAGCGGCGGGTGCTCGAAGAGATCGCGCGCTCAGAGAGCAAGCACTTCTTGGTTCTGTTCCGGGACGCAGGATGCCAGTTCCGCGCGCTGTACTCGTACTGTCCCGACACGGACCACGTGGCCAAGCTGTACGGGACGGGGCCCAAGAACGTCAACGATAGGATGTTCGATAAGTTTTTCAAGTGAGTGGTTTTGTTTTGTCTTGGCATCACTTTTGGTGTTAAACTACGCATGAAATTAATCGAAATCAGATAATGTAAACATGCAGTTCAGTTCGTTCTATAATTCGCGCATCGCACCCGTTCGAACAATTTAGCGCATAGTGTAACCGCGCCATTACAGTATAAAATAACGACGCGAACCTTTTGATTTTGACCGTGAGAATTCTAGTTTATTTGTGAAGTTTGATTGATTTGAATTAAGTACTAGTTTTTATTACACTTACATTATACACCAAAACCNGTGAACTTACTTTTGCGTGAATTGGAACGTAATGGTAGAAATGGTAGAAATTATTTTCACAGTTGGCAACACTGACTGAGATGACAGTCGGTTGAAGTTGACTTTGACAAGTAGTCTGACAGACCACAACCCTCCAACATTAAGAAATAACACAAGTCATAACACAAGTCATAAACTTCAAAAAGAAAAAATTTACGTCGCAGCCCTCAACGTACTTACACTAAAGAATGAAGAAAATCTCATCGAACTAATATATGCCTTAGAACACATTAATTGGGACATTGTTGGCCTGAGTGAAGTTAGAAGAATAGGCGAAAATATCACATCCTACCCAGATTATATACTTTATCACATAGGCGAGACCCCGGGACAGTATGGGGTTGGATTTATTATAAAAAAACAGATAGCAGAATACGTAGAAGGCTTCATAGGAATCTCAGAGCGTATTGCGATCATGAATTTGAAACTACCAGGATACAAAGATCCGTGGTCTATTGTACAAATATATTCACCTACCGAACAATCAAATGTTGAAACGATTAATAAATTCTATCTAGATCTAAACAAAGCTATTCAAGAGCAGGGTCACCAAAACCTTATAGTAATGGGAGACTGTAATGGCCAAATTGGGGAAAGGCGCCCAGAAGAAAATAAGGTACTAGGACCATTCACGTATAATAACAAAACCAGAAGTAGAAATGGTGAATATATTATGAACTTTGCCCTTGAAAATGACCTAACCATCTTAAATACTACATTCATGAAAAAGAACAAGAACATGTGGACCTGGATCTCGCCTGACGGTAAATATAAAAACCAAATTGACTTTATAATGTCCAATAGAAGCAACTGCTTCACAAACTTTACCGTAATCAACCAATTAAACTTCAACACTAACCATAAACTAATCAGAACAGAATTGGCAACAAAACAACCAAAGAAANTTGATAAGGATAGAGACATGCGATTTTTGGTTTTACGAAGGTAATACGATAGAGAATAATATAAAGTAATAAAAACCACCTGTTATAGGGGCATTTTTTGGAGAAATTTATCAAATAACCAAAAAAACACGAATTTCAAAGCAGAATTTTTTCAAAAAGTATCATTTTTTATTATTTTTTGGCTTTTTTTGTGTATTTTATGTATTTTTTTAGTATCGCCTGTTATTTAGCATTATAACTGTTTTTATTTTATCAGGATATACCACTTAGTTTAAAAGTTATTACGTTTTGTTTACAATAAGTAATTGGAAGAAAAAAAATTCTATAAAAAAATAAAAAAAAATCTCAAAAATTTTTTGACCTCTTTTTTGTCGATAAAAATAGGTCTAGTTTCATCTATTTTCATATGTACACTTTAACGTGACTCACAAAAAGGAGAAACTGACTGACTGACTGACAGATCAACGCACAGCCTAAACGGCTAAACGTAGGCACTTGAAATTTGGAAGGGACGTAGCTTAGGTACCGTAGAGGTGCACTAAGAAAGGAATTCCCGCAATTCCCACGGGAACGGGAATTAGCGGGAAAAACGGGATTCACGCGTATGAAGTCGCGGGCGGCCGCTAGTTTAATGTATGTACAGATATGTACCATCCTAGACCGCATCCCACTTAACATCAGGTGCGATTGTGGTCAAATACCTGCCTTGTTATGCATAAAAAAAATCCTTTATATATTAATTATATAAGCTTAATTGGTTCAGAAGTTATAATAGATACAAAACAAAATAGATGCAGACCAATTTTGTAAAAATCCTTTGCTTAAGAACTTTTACTACCTAAGTTAAATCAAAAATGCTCTAGAAATGTAATCTCTGTTCTGATTTTTGGAATAGAAAAGAGCATTGTTGTTTTACCAAGCCTTTATTAATATCAAGCAATACCCTAATAACCCTTGTTAAATCCATAAAGCCCGTATATTTCTTTAGAAATGAAATTACAACGCTGAATTGCCTACCTACTATAGATTTTTAGATTAGAACACGAACATTGCAAGGTTAATGTCCTTTATGACTTGCAAAGGTTGGATTGAAAATTTGGAATAGTCTGTCATAAACTTTCTTAAAAATAAAGGATTCCATCAAAAAGCTGGATGCGGGCAGCGCAGGTCCGATCGTTTTAGAAATACTTAGGGGAGGCCTTTGTCCAGCAGTGGACGTCATTTGTCTGAAAATATTGACTTATAATAATGCTACATCGTTAGGTTCATTTTTGAGTTTAACCGTGAATTTGGTAAATCTTACTAATATTATTGCGAAAGTTTGGATGTATGGATGTTTGTTACTCTTTCACGCAAAAACTACTGAACGGATTTTTATAACCCAGAATAACACATAGGCTACAATTTATGACGATATGTGACAAACTAAATTTAACGCGGGTGAGCCGCGGGTAAAAGCTAGTTAAAAATAAAAGTAAGAAAGAGTCGAATGCTTTGGCAATAGTCCCCCAGCTTATCGCTCTGACAGCGTCAATTACATGTTTTGTTCGCGAGGATGCATCTCGGCTTACTGACTATGCTTCCCTGACACCGACCGTTTTTATTTGCTTTGTTTATAGCAGCACTTTCGACTGCACGAAAATTATGTGCCACGGCATAAACGTGTTACTTTGTACCCGTTTGCTAGTCAACTATGTCGAAAATTGCATGTTGTTTGTTTTTAGCTTACGTTTTGGGTTGTGTATTGATCGTGTTTACTCGTAAAATTGGAGCGATTGTTTTTTGTCAATATTTAGGGCATGATCCTCCAGTAATTGATATAAGGTATAATGGGAAAGGAAGGCTCTTGATTGATAATACAAATTTGAGAGTATTGGGTGTAAGAAGCGCCTGTCCTAAAGATGAATGACCTTTTATAATCGCAGAAACTTATTTGGGGCAAACTGTCATGAACTGACCTCCCTGAAAGTCAATAAGCGCGGCCTAAATTCAAGAGTTGGCTTACCTTAATAATAGTTAACGAAAATATTTAAATTTTGAGCCTTCTATTGTGTCAAACTTCATAGAAATCTGACAAGGTTTAAATTGGAATTATGATTTAGCATCCCTATCGTTTTTCTTTCCTGGATGAAAGTTGATTTAAACAAAAACTTGAAATTTTTTGAGGCGACTACTTATAGCCTAAGGTTTTCGGTGCCGGGTTAACCGAATTGAACCCCGTCGTCCGCTGGACTATTTTGTGCTGAACCCACTCGTAACATAAGCATAGGTACTTACCCTAACCACGAGGGGTTAAAGAAAGGGCTAAATATTATTAATTAGTACAATAAAAAATTCTTTGAAAAACGTATGCCTAATGCCTGTTATAATTATGAAAGGCTTATCTAATAGAAATTGGCAACAAAACAACCAAAGAAACTAAGACCTAGACAAAACCCAGGAAATACAAAGCTCGGAAAACATCAGTCAAAACAAATAGCAATCGCTCTTAGGAACAAATTCATAGACTTTAAACTTAACACAAGGAAATTGGGAACACAAGAAAAATACAACTGGATAGAAGATATCATCCAAACCCAGATAAAACTCAGCACAAACACCAAAACAAAAACGAAAAAGTGGCTAACAATAGATACTACAAAACTATTAGAAGAAAGAAGCAAGTTAATCAAAACAAAAGACACACAAGATAGAAGAAAGCAACTAACGAGAATTAGTAAAGATATCAAAGAAAGCATAAGGAAGGATAGGAAACAAACCAGAATGGAAGTAATTGAAAGATATATAGGCAAAACAGGCGGAGTCAAAAAAGCAAACAAAGAATTGAGAAATTCAATGGACTGGATCGTCAAAATGAAAAACACAAATGGAAAATGGAATTATCGCAGAACAGATATATTAAGAACAGCTACTTCTTATTATAAGGAACTGTACAAAAGTAACGGAACTGAAAGCGAAATCAATTTGGCGGAAATATCAGACGTCCCTGACATTCTTCAAGATGAGGTTGAGAAAGCAATAAATACCCAAAGTGCAGACAAATCTCCAGGCCCCGATGGCATAAACAATGAAATCCTAAGACAAAGCAAAGAAGCTTTAATACCTATTTTCACGGATATGTTTAACAATATCATGACCACTGAAATAATCCCCCAGCAATGGACAGTGTCTAACATCATTCTTCTGTATAAGAAAGGAGATAAATACGATATTGGAAACTATCGCCCTATCAGTCTCATGTCCAACATTTATAAAATCTTTGCCAAGATAATTTTAAAACGAATCGAAAGCACACTAGACGAACAGCAACCCATCGAGCAGGCTGGATTTCGTAAAGGCTATTCTGTGATTGACCACATTCATGTAGTACGTCAAGTTTTAGAGAAGTACAATGAATACCAGCTTACATACTACATTGCATTTGTCGACTACAGTAAAGCATTTGACNTTATTATTATTATTACTAGTTTTTATTACAATCAAATCAGATTTAGAGCAGATGACTGTAAACTTTATCATAATGAAAAAAATTAATGGATGTAGCCGAGTCATGGCACGCTGTTAAATTCGTACCATCGACAACAATGTTAACTAAACATTGCCTGTCATGTCGTCTCGTTCTATCGCAAAGAATCACCATTTGATGTGAGCGAGAGCAAAAACGGAAATGGATAGTTAACAGTGTGGCCGTGTGTACAAATAATAAATCTTCATTTGATTGACATTTGACACGTTGTTTGCTGCCGCAGGTACAACTCGGGCAGCAAGTGCTTCTCGCAGGTGCACACGAAGCACCTGACGGTGACCATCGACGCCTTCACGATACACAACTCGCTGTGGCAGGGCAAGAAGGTGCAGCTGCCCAGCAAGAAGGACATGGCGCTAGTCATCTAGGCTCTAGTCGGTAGTAGCGCCGAGTCCCTAAGTTAGAGTCGGTTAGTGCATTTCCTCGCGGAGCTGTGTTAAGTTAATTTCGCTTGAGTGAGTGATGTCGCCCGACCCGGTCGGCGCCTGTGTCATATTGTACAGTTAGGACGATAGGAGGTCGTGAGCTCGAATCGAGTTAGGTTTATTTGCATTAGCTTCGATCGGTTCGCATTACATTTTTGAAAGTTTATCATGTTGAATTTGTGGCCGCTGTGTTGTGTTATTTATTTCCTGTGTCTAGCTCTGCGGCGGTTCCCACCTGCGAACTTGACGGCACTGAGCGCTCGGATGTTGACACTTTAGAGAAAACAAATGAATTCAATGTTAAAGTTTAAATAAATGATAGTAATGCAATTTATGTTAAAATGTATAAGACTGAAACTTAATTTTCATTAAATAAATCCAATATTTCCAAGAATAAGCTGATTAGTTTGTTTGACGTTTCGTTTGGCGCGCGGGTGGGGCCGCGGCGTCGTCGCTTGGCGTGTATGTTGATGCTGCGTTAGTCCGGCATTCGAATGTGTTACTCAGTGTATAAACGCAATGTTTGCCATATGTATTAGTGAGATGGTCGATACGTTCCAAATTGATTAAATTGTCTCAAATGTACCAGCCGAACTGTCGGATCTCTGGTCGTATTAGATACCTTTAAACTTTAAGTAAACTGTCCTCACGTCAAATCAAATAACATGTTCACAAACTAATATCGCTTATTTGTTATAAATATTAACTCGTTAGTGATTATTTCAATTGACTGGAGTAAGATTAAGGTGATTACGTATTCGTTTAACTGACCCTCATTTAACGTTATTTCTATTTCCATTTTTTTACTGCTTGTATAGCTAAAATAAGACGAGGCACATTTTACGTGGTAATTGTACTGCCTTATCCTGTAAATAATTGTTTTTGTATACAGCTATTTATTAAAAGAATGTTAAACGAGAATTGATGAATATCATTTTTTCATTGTTTAATGATTGGTCATCAATAATAAATATACTACCGATAGTATATGGTATGCAAATATATTGTATTATTAAAAAGCATAACGAAATAATATTGAATTTCATATTACTCAGTTGTTTTATTTCCTCTTTTCTGCTTCGTCAGTCCGGGTAGATGATATCCATTCACAAAAAATAAGTGCAGGTTTTTAGGGTAAACAGTTTTATCATTACAGCTGGTATTTCAGTCAGTATCATTTAGAGTTCAACACCGATAAAAAAGCTATCATTTTTAGAACAACAATATCCTGCACGGAAACGTTAAAGATGCGCCTACGCAACTTCCATTATGTATTAGTTCCAGACATCGCAGTAACCACGCCAACCGCCTGCGTAAGAAAGAATGAATGTGAATGGTACCTACGCGGCGCTAGTGTCGCGTGCATCCGCCAAAAGTCCCACCTACCCACTTATTCTTTGACTAGTAGTCGCCGGCACGCGGACGCAACCATACGTCGACATTGCGTTACAAGCGTAGTTTTAAAAGTGCTAAATGTCATCCGTAGACATTCTCAAATCTGTGATGCCTTAAACAGAGTAGTGAAAATATAGTGCATGTCTACGTGATCGCAGTTCGCAGACGATAATTTATAGATGTGGTTACAAAGAGCCTATGTACCCACAGACAGTTTACTGTACCTACCTAAACTGATGATGATCTAACAAACAATTTGTATGAAGTTTACTTACATTACGATTGTGTTTCGATAAGCAGTAATGGTGTTGCTGTTTCAGCGTAGAGATTAAAGGTAAATATAATATGAATATATAATAAAACTCTATAATTAATGGTTGAGGCACTCTGTTTATAGGACAAAAGGTATAAAAATAAAAGAAATGAATTGACATAACATTTTTATTAATAATATTTACATCGAATCAATCTACATAAAATTAATACTGGCTAATTAAATAACTAAAACTACATTTGTATTTTTGTGACTAATTAAAATAATAGCAAAAAATATTGAGCAAACAACATTGCTTTAAAGTAGTATTCTTTTTTCATAATATTTTTAAATGTTATCCACTACGATTACACTCACAATCATAAATCAAGCTAGATCTATATTTATTAATGATACTTAATTAAATTACTTTGTTGGATGCTGTTTAAGCGAATATAATATATTTTATATCACGTGGTTAAAGGGTTAGAATGCGGAAAAGCTTAACATTTTATTAAATTTCACTATTAATATAAATGCTGATATTATTGCAACAGTTGTTAAGGCATTGCCAGGTTTCGTTACATCATAAGAGTATACGCTTGTTTAATAATATGATTGTATATAAAATATAATTTATTTGGCTGTGGCTGACTGGTCTATTTAATGATGCTAGAATTTATATAAAATACAGACTACATTACTTAATCGTAAAATATGAAATAACTATTATTAAAATCAATTTTTGCTTCTGAGTATTATTTTCATTCAATATTTATAATAATTGTAATGTAATAATTAATCAAATGTATTGTTTCACAAAACCAATCATAAAACTACTCAATCAAAAAACAATGTTAAAAAGAATCGATCAGAAAATATAATCATCATAATAAAATTATATTTATTGTTAGTTAAAATATTTTTAATTTGGTTTTAATCATTACGTTTAGTTTATTGAGTTTATTTCAGTCTATTTAATTTCAATATTGTATCGAATTATTTATATTACCTAAATAAATTGTGTAACGTTAACACTACTTTTAGCTTCGACTACAGTGCTAAGTATTTGTCAATGGTACATATTTTACTTTTTTAATTACTAACGGTTGGTGCCCTTAAACGTAATATTTTATTAGATTAGAATATAATGTAAATAATATGAATTAGCAATCATTAGATTAAATAAGCATTCGCATCGCATTACCTAATTACGCGAGTAATTGGAAGTTGGATAATCATATTATTATCACTTTAATAATTTTTAGAAATGTCCAAAGCCATCTTACGTTTCGTATGTGTATGCCAAGATAATCACCGATTTGTACTCTAGCAGAGGTTAATGAAGCCTACTTATGTAACTCCCTATTCAAAAANTTTGATAATACCTATTCAACAAAAAAATAATCGTTCAAATTGGTTTATAATCGGCGGAGATATTGCGTATAAAAAAGTTCATCCCCAATTTTCCACCCTTGGGGGTTGTTTTTTTTATTATTAAATTTAAATGGGACCACCCTTGAGGTATTACCTATACGCCAAAAAAAGATTTGTTCAAATCGGTTCATAATTGGCGGAGTTATCGCGTAACAAACATAGAAAAAAAAAAAAAACATACGGGTCGAATTGAGACCTCCTCCTTTTTTGAAGTCGGTTGAAAATGAACTAATTTAGGCACTTGTACAAGGTATATGTATTCATCGTGCTCTTTGCGTGATATTATGTGTGACATTTTATGAGGCGGCGCTGGGCGGCGGGTTTATTAAAAGAAATGTAGAGGTTCCGCATACATACTTAATTTCCGTAGCAATGTGAATTAATGGTCACTAAAATTGTAACAGTGCGTAATATTTATGTTTGACAGTACAGCAACATTGGTAACCAACGAACAGAGTTTTAGCGGTCGTTGGTATGTTACGTGCGTGGTGTGACGTAGGGATGTTATGGATATGTAGTATCGGTTATGGATACGGTTACGGATATAGGAATAACATTATACCGGTTTCGGTTACGGTTACGGATATTTTTTTATTTCGGATATCTGAAAGTTTCGGTTACGGTTACGGATATCTGTGCTTTTTAGAATGCAATTTGCAATAGTTGTCCAACACGGTTCATACATGGCCGCACACTTTACATCAAATAAAAAGTAATAAAAAAATATAAATTGATACTAGATGGCATTATAAAGGTAAATCAGGCTGTTATGCCTTTACTAAAATGCTCTGCAAAAAAACAATTTAAACTGCATATCCGAAACTATCCGAATCTTGAATCGGTTTCGGTTACGGTTACGGATATCCATAACATCCCTGGTGTGACGTGCCGTGTCCCGCGCGGAGTGACGTCACGTGACGCCTACACGAGCGCGTAGAGGTGTCCGGCGCCGTCGACGCTCTTCTGCAGGTGCAGCTGGTGCACGATGGTGTCCGGGTTGTCCACCTCCTGCCGGACAGCGTATTATTATTACTTTTCGTAACATTTTGTTAACAATGAGGGCTATCGTTTTTATACTTAACAGTTGGCACTCCTGGCGATTGACAGGACCTTACTCTACAGTGGCGCCATCTTGATGGGTGCAAATGCGATAGTCCTCCTACCACTTTAGCGCTCACCAGTTGGCGCCACTGTCTTCGCTACTAGCAAGTGACAGGACCTTACTCTACAGTGGCGCCAACTGGTGAGCGCTAAAACGATAGCCCTCATTACATATTATGTACATAGGATGTCACAGCGTTCAAGGATTTGTCACACTGGATGCGTTCTGTCTCCGGTCAGGTTAATGTGAATGTAGCCCGTATCATGTATGAACAACATTGCCGGTCTCTATACATTTTGTATTGATGCGGTATGACCGTACGGGCACGAGCAAAGAACGCAAACCGCACCGCTGACAGATTGCCTTTTCACGACCGCTGATCAATAGCCCTGACCGACGATGTTGTTCATTCATGATGTAGGCTGCGTTCACTTTGATTTGTCGATCGGATTAGGAAGCCGAAGTGGCAATAGGCAGGGCACATAGTACGCAGAACTTACGGCCGATGGGGTAGCAAGTTTCTGGAGTGGAATCCACGTTTTTTTAATACATAACAATGCAGGTATTACGTACGTACCGGAAAACGCGGGACGTCCACCTACAAGGTGGACAGACAACCTCATAAAGGTAGCAGGAAGGCGTTGGATGCAGGTCGCTACCAACCGGGCGTTATGTAAATCATTGGGGGAGGCTTGTATTCAGCAGTGGCTAGTTACAGATAGCAGAGGTTCCAGAGTAAAACCAGGCATTTTTAAGATACCTTCCTATGTCAGTAACAAGATTATGTATATGGATAAGCTGGATACAGTGAAACAGCAAATTGAAAAGCACAGTAAAAGTTACCAACTGAGACTGGATAGTCACCGAAACGAACTCGCCTCTCAACTGCAAGGAACTGGCAGTCACCACTTCTCAAGACTGAAGAGACATAGCATTCAAATCCTAGCGAAAAGATACAGTGAAAGAATAAGAGATGACTCACTGGACTAGTTTCTTACTGAACGCCTCAAGAACCGGATTGGAATCAGACAGACGATTGGATTATTGTTTCTCAGAAAGAGATTGCCAAGTAGCAGAATAGAAAAGGAAAAAAAAATTGAGGTTTATGTTCAGCAATGGATGTCCTGTGGCTGAAATGTTGATGATGATGATGAATCGGTATAAACAAAGGGCACAGAATAATAATAAGTACTACGTACAGAAGTTTTACTTCGCGAAGGTATTTAAAAAAATGTATGCTCAATGTCATTAACAATATGGTGTAATTTAGCCTGTCTCAAGAGTCAAGCCCATTTTGTTGACAAACGTCAGTGATCGGCACTGCGCCGAAGCTATAGGGCTGACTTCGGTAAAATTATGTGACGTGAGGTGCCAAACTGCGGAAAATGGCGGAGGAAATACATGATTTAGCATGAATTATCATGAATAATATTAACTACTTATTTACCTCTCAGTATCTTGAGCCAACTTAAAAAAGTACATTCTGTGTTTTTATTATTATTTAGGCAGTTAAATACTGCACAGTTAAATACGCCATTTTCTTTATTTTCTTCCATCATACACAAGAATACGCGTGCGTGAGTCAATGTTCGCTCGTATGTGAGGCCTTGTCGAATAGTATCCTGTAGGTGGGCCATCGTGCGTGTTTTGTTTTCGATGTAAACTCGCGGAGATGAACAGGCCTGCAAAGGGTCTGACCTCGGGCTCGGCGTAGCCGTTGATCTCGACGGGGATCGTCTGTCCGTCGCGCGTGACGACCTGCAGCGAGTGCCCGTGGGCGGACGTGATGCGAGCCGCGTGCGTCCTGCATCAGACGCGAGTGTCTCACTGACCTCGGGCTCGGCGTAGCCGTTGATCTCGACGGGGATCGTCTGTCCGTCGCGCGTGACGACCTGCCTCGAGTGCCCGTGGGCGGACGGATGCGAGCCGCGTGCGTCCTGCATCAGATGCGAGTGTCTCACTGACCTCGGGCTCGGCGTAGCCGTTGATCTCGACGGGGATCGTCTGTCCGTCGCGCGTGACGACCTGCAGCGAGTGCCCGTCGGCGGACGTGATGGCGAGCCGCGTGCCGTCCTGCATCGTGAAGTGCAGCGGGTTGCCGTGCTCGTCCGTCACCTACACCATAAACACCTTTTATTTTTGACACCTTTCCACAATAATTCAAAATTACAACTTTTGTAAAAATACATTCTGGTCTTAAAAATGTAATTCATTTTAAATTACCTGTAATTTAAGATTTTTGGTTGCATTTTAATTGGAAAAAGTAGTTTGAGTTGACAAAATAGTGACGTCACTTACTTGTTATGCCATACAAAATCTATGGGAGTTTCGTTTTGACAGTTTTAAAAAGTACGTCAATTGATTGGTGGTGTCAACACGTCTATTTGATACTATAGGCGTAAAGCACTAGCTGACCCGGCGAGCTTCGTACCACCTATTTTCATCAGAATATGATTATAATGGTAAAAGGATTTTTTTAACTCGGTCCAGTAGTTTCGAAGCCCATCAACAAATCTTTTCTCTTTATAATATCAGTGTAGATGACTGCATGGTGACATGTGACGTCACAAATCATCCACGGCATAAATATGTCTGAAGTTTTGCCATATAAAAAGTTTGAGCTCACCGGCATGTGTTGCGTGGGCTCCGGCTGGCTGATCTCAGGTTCTTCCTCGGGTTCTTGGAGCTCTAATGCCTGGGGAATAAAATTAATATGTATTTGATATTACATTTGAAAAATAAATATGGTCGTTTCGTTAATCGTCTAATGGTATTGTCTTTTTGTTCTTAAAATAAAATAAGGATATTTTGTATGGTTCTGCAAGGCTTCCCCACAAGGTGAACTTATAATGGCTTATAAAGGTTGCAGGAAGTCGCTAGATGCGAGCAGCTTCCAACTGCAACCGGCTGATCTGAAAATCATTGGCGGAGGCCTATGTTTAGCGGATATCCTGTGGCTGAAATGAGTATAATTCTTCACCTGTTCAGCATCGATGATGTGGTAGGCGGGCTCGTCTGAGCCCACGTCGTAGGCCACGTAGATGACGCGCTCAGAATCCGAATCCCCAGCGTTGTCGAGCGCGGGCTCGGGCGAGGGCTCCGCTACCATCGCCACTGGGGCACCGCGCGAGGGCTCCGGCGCCAGGAGGCTCACTTGTTTGTGGACTTCTCTATATTGTATCTACAAGGCTTTACCTGTTCCGCGTTCATGCTAACTTTCCTGTATACCTGCTTGTAGTGTACCTAAATGTGCACGCACTATTCACTGGCTCACCGTCACACCAAGCGTCTTACTGCGGCGCGTCCGTCCTCGCCGGCGTCTGCCGTACGACTGTCATTCATAACGATGTCACGTGACTGCCTTTCACTTGTGTGCGTGAGACAGCGTATTGTATCTAAAGCCTGGTCCGTGAGCACGTAGAATCCCGTTCAATGACCCCAAGCTGCCCATCTTTGTCGCTCGCACGTAATTATGTTGCTGTCTCGCTCGCGCACTCACTGCGAGCGCGCGTCGCACAGTCGCGACAGCAACATAATTACGCGCGAGCGATAAGGATGGTAGCTTGGGGTCATTGGACAAAATTCTACGTACTCACAGACCGGGCTCTATATGTATCTACAAGGCTACCTGTTCAGCATCAATGATGTGGTAGGCGGGCTCGTCTGAGCCCACGTCGTAGGCCACGTAGATGACGCGCTCAGAATCCGAATCCCCAGCGTTGTCGAGCGCGGGCTCGGGCGAGGGCTCCGCTACGATCGCCACGGGGGCGGAGCGCTCGGGCTCCGGTGCTAGAAGGCTGATTTGTTTGTGGACTTGCTGTGGGGAACAAAGGTTTCAGATGAGTCACGGTTTTTAATTTTTAATCTATAGTCTGTTCGCCGAGAGTTGATAAAAAAAATTTAAATATCAGATGTTCTAAACTCATTATAAATTGCGGCCCGCTAATTATTTTTGTCTATATAATGAAAAAGTTGTTAGATTTATCATTATCTCTTTTAAATTTACGGGAATTATTCCGGTTAGGGCATACGTGGGTATACGGATCAAACACGTGGCGTCCATGTATTGGATAAAAAGTATTTCATTACTATGAAGTGGCTTACAGTGTATCCCAATGTTGGGCAAAGCCCTGCCCACTGTCATACCATTCATTTCGGTCTTATGTGAAATAAATCTATTCTGTTTCACACATTGCGGCCGGGGCGCTTGACGACAGCTGCGTGGCTCGTACCATGGTACTCAGTGCGCGTTGTGACAAACGACGCCCGCCATACAGAATGCGATAATAAAGCGACAGTCGCTATTGCAAGACATTTCATAATATTTATCAACTCTTGGCGAACAGACTTTAAGTATGTATAACTCAAAGGTGACTGACTGACTGACTGACTTAGTGATCTATCAACGTACAGCCCAAACCACTGGACGGATCGGGCTGAAATTTGGCATGCAGGTAGATGTTATGACGTAGGCATCCGCTACGAAAGGATGTTACGAAACTCCACCCCTAAGGGGGTAAAACGGGATCCACGCGTACGAAGTCGCGAGCGGCCGCTAGTATATTAAAATAAAGAAATTCAAATTCAAATTATTTATTGCATGTCACATCGATGATGTCACATGTGAAATCGCAACGAGATACTGTTAATTATTGTCATGTTGACTGCAAGCGAAGAACGCCATTACGAAAGGGTGTTTATGAGATGTCAAACGTCAGCGAGACTTCAGATATACTTCAGATTTATATGCTCTGTGACGTAATAATATGTCAATGTCACCTCTCTCGTGCCGTTCCCATACCTCAGACACTGATTGAGTTAAGCGCTGGTATAGTAATTGAGATCATATACGCATCATGTGTTAAACCACGTTAAAAAGTATGAACTGTATATTATATTGTATAAAATGTATAACTGTAATGTATAAAATGTATGACTTTGTTGGTGTACCTATCATAAATAAATAAAATAAATAGCGTGTCGGGTGTTACCTAGCGGTGCTCGAGCAGGCACTGGACAGTTACCTTGCGGTGCTTGTTCATGTTGGAGCAGTCGGCGAAGGTGCGCGGGCAGTGCGGGCAGCGGAAGGGTCGCTCGCCCGTGTGGCGGCGCGCGTGCTCGAGCAGGCACTAGGCAGTTACCTTGCGGTGCTTGTTCATGTTGGAGCAGTCGGCGAAGGTGCGCGGGCAGTGCGGGCAGCGGAAGGGTCGCTCGCCCGTGTGGCGGCGCGCGTGCTCGAGCAGGCACTAGGCAGTTACCTTGCGGTGCTTGTTCATGTTGGAGCAGTCGGCGAAGGTGCGCGGGCAGTGCGGGCAGCGGAAGGGTCGCTCGCCCGTGTGGCGGCGCGCGTGCTCGAGCAGGCACTAGGCAGTTACCTTGCGGTGCTTGTTCATGTTGGAGCAGTCGGCGAAGGTGCGCGGGCAGTGCGGGCAGCGGAAGGGTCGCTCGCCCGTGTGGCGGCGCGCGTGCTCGAGCAGGCACTAGGCAGTTACCTTGCGGTGCTTGTTCATGTTGGAGCAGTCGGCGAAGGTGCGCGGGCAGTGCGGGCAGCGGAAGGGTCGCTCGCCCGTGTGGCGGCGCGCGTGCTCGAGCAGGCACTAGGCAGTTACCTTGCGGTGCTTGTTCATGTTGGAGCAGTCGGCGAAGGTGCGCGGGCAGTGCGGGCAGCGGAAGGGTCGCTCGCCCGTGTGGCGGCGCGCGTGCTTGAGCAGCGCCCAGCGCTCCGCGAAGCCGCGCCCGCACCAGCCGCAGCGGTGCGCTCGCGCGCCCGCTTCTCGCCGCGCGTGCGCTGCGTACGCGGCCCGGGAGAGGAACCTGCGACATGTAGATGGGTTAAATCCTCGAGTTTTATTAGGAAGCTATTTAGGAAGCTATTAGGAAATATGATACACTCCCGCGAGCTACATTACGCTCACGCGAGCTACTGGGAGCTATATATAAAGCTGATTTTTTTTTATACAATTAGATTAAATATCAGACTATATCTTGCAATTAAAAATGGTTGCATATATTAAGGTATAATTGAGAAAAAAAATAAAAACAAAAATCACTAAAATAATTTTTCCTAATTAACTGAATGCGTTTACGAAGCACTTAATATGCTTATTATAGCCCGACCAGGAACATAAAAACCCTCGCCATGTTGCGGAAAACTAATGGTACTAATTTCTTTTAATGGCAACAGTAACTGAAAACTTCATTGACATGTCACCTTGCATGTCAATCTATTGCTGTCAAAGTGTAAACAAACTTTATTTTAAATGTGTGCAATTGATTTTGTAAATTAAATTGCTAAAATCTTTTTATAGTCGTGAAAGAAAAGTGGTTCACAATGTGTTAAAGTATTTGTCGAAGAGAAATACTAAGGGTTCGGACAATATTTTCATTGAATAATGTTTCCGACAAAGGTTGTCAAATTGACTGACATGTTTATCGCATAGTACAGTCCACTATGAAAATTAGCTGTGGTTTGTTTCAACTACCTATATTAAATATTTTTGTCACTTTGTAAGTGTTGAATTTTATGGAATTGGGAAAGAAGTACCGAGTTTGAAGCGTTCATGAGCAAACATTGCAGTTGAATATTCAAGTTCTGAATTTGATTATTGATAAATAATAAAATAAATCCTACTAGCTCGATTGATGGTTTCATTTAATTTATTTAAACCAGGTTACCTATAATAATATGTTTTCGTTAATTTATGATAATATCAAATTAGCCCGTAATCCTGAATCCTGATACATAAAGTTAGCCAATTAATTTAACACAAGTACTTACGACTGTACTCAGTGTTGCACTATCAAATGCAATTGACGCGCCTCTATGCCAGGGTTTTTATGTTCCTGGTCAGGCTATACTTGTAGTTTTAAGAGCTCTATGAAGTATTATAACATTTCTGAATTAAATGTTATTAGTTAACGAGTGAGAATATTTTTGCATAATTTTGAAGTAAAAAAATAGGTAACTTTGAATTTTTAAACCGCGAAAACTACGTGGAATTTTCAAACGGGAGTTTTACTATCATGTTTGTATAACTGAGCTCTATACGGTTCATCAAATAAATGAGAATGTCCGATTATACAGTCCCATAACACATTGTGGGACGTCGTGAAGTGGCGCCCGCACAGCGTGCATCCGTAGGGCTTCTCGCCGGTGTGGAGCGCTCTCGAGCTACTGGGAGCTACGACGGGCTCACGCGAGCTACTACTACTACTGCTCTCACCGCTTGCCGCACTGGTTGCAGGCGAAGGGCCGCTCGGCGGCGTGTCGGCGCGCGTGCAGGCGGTGCTGTGAGGAGGTGGTGAAGCGGCGCCCGCACAGTGTGCATCCGTAGGGCTTCTCGCCGGTGTGGATACGCTCGTGTGCTCGGGAGCAACAAGAGGCTCGCACGAGATACGATACGACCGCGTGAGTTACTGGGAGCTGCGAGTTATTGGGAGCTACGACGTACTCGCATGAGCTACCGGGAGCTGCGATGCGCTCAGGCGAGTTACTGGGAGCTAAGACGTACTCGCACGAGCTACTGGGAGCTACGACGGGTTCACGTGAGCTACAGGGAGCTATGACAGGCTCACGCGAGCTACTGGGAGCTACGAACGGCTCTCGCGAGCTACTGGGAGCTACGACGGGCTCACGCGAGCTACTGCGACCTACGNTGACATGTTTATCGCATAGTACAGTCCACTATGAAAATTAGCTGTGGTTTGTTTCAACTACCTATATTAAATATTTTTGTCACTTTGTAAGTGTTGAATTTTATGGAATTGGGAAAGAAGTACCGAGTTTGAAGCGTTCATGAGCAAACATTGCAGTTGAATATTCAAGTTCTGAATTTGATTATTGATAAATAATAAAATAAATCCTACTAGCTCGATTGATGGTTTCATTTAATTTATTTAAACCAGGTTACCTATAATAATATGTTTTCGTTAATTTATGATAATATCAAATTAGCCCGTAATCCTGAATCCTGATACATAAAGTTAGCCAATTAATTTAACACAAGTACTTACGACTGTACTCAGTGTTGCACTATCAAATGCAATTGACGCGCCTCTATGCCAGGGTTTTTATGTTCCTGGTCAGGCTATACTTGTAGTTTTAAGAGCTCTATGAAGTATTATAACATTTCTGAATTAAATGTTATTAGTTAACGAGTGAGAATATTTTTGCATAATTTTGAAGTAAAAAAATAGGTAACTTTGAATTTTTAAACCGCGAAAACTACGTGGAATTTTCAAACGGGAGTTTTACTATCATGTTTGTATAACTGAGCTCTATACGGTTCATCAAATAAATGAGAATGTCCGATTATACAGTCCCATAACACATTGTGGGACGTCGTGAAGTGGCGCCCGCACAGCGTGCATCCGTAGGGCTTCTCGCCGGTGTGGAGCGCTCTCGAGCTACTGGGAGCTACGACGGGCTCACGCGAGCTACTACTACTACTGCTCTCACCGCTTGCCGCACTGGTTGCAGGCGAAGGGCCGCTCGGCGGCGTGTCGGCGCGCGTGCAGGCGGTGCTGTGAGGAGGTGGTGAAGCGGCGCCCGCACAGTGTGCATCCGTAGGGCTTCTCGCCGGTGTGGATACGCTCGTGTGCTCGGGAGCAACAAGAGGCTCGCACGAGATACGATACGACCGCGTGAGTTACTGGGAGCTGCGAGTTATTGGGAGCTACGACGTACTCGCATGAGCTACCGGGAGCTGCGATGCGCTCAGGCGAGTTACTGGGAGCTAAGACGTACTCGCACGAGCTACTGGGAGCTACGACGGGTTCACGTGAGCTACAGGGAGCTATGACAGGCTCACGCGAGCTACTGGGAGCTACGAACGGCTCTCGCGAGCTACTGGGAGCTACGACGGGCTCACGCGAGCTACTGCGACCTACGACGTATTCATGCGAACTGCTGGGAGCTACGACGTACTCGCGAGAGCTACTAAGAGCTACGACGGGCTCACGCGAGCTACTGATGGCTACGAAGCGCTCGCGCGAGCTACTGGGAGCTACGACCGGCTCTCGCGAGCTACTGGGAGCTACGACGCACTTGCGCGAGCTACTGGGAGCTACGACGGTCTCTCGCGAGCTACTGGGACCTAATACTGCTGCACTCACCGCTTGCCGCACTGGTTGCAAGCGAAGGGCCGCTCGGCGGCGTGGCGGCGCGCGTGTAGCCGATGCTGTGAGGAGGTGGTGAAGCGGCGGCCGCACAGCGTGCATCCGTAGGGCTTCTCGCCGGTGTGGATGCGCTCGTGAGCTACGACGCACTTGCGTGAGCTAGTGGGAGTTACGACGGTCTCTCGCGAGCTAATGGGAGTTAAGAACGGCTCTCGCGAGCTACTGAGAGCTACGACGGGCTCACGCGAGCTACTGGGAGCTACGACGGTCTCTCGCGAGCTACTGGGAGCTACGACGGGCTCACGCGAGCTACTGGGACCTAATACTGCTACACTTACCGTTTGCCGCACTGGTTGCAGGCGAAGGGCCGCTCGGCGGCGTGGCGGCGCGCGTGCAGGCGGTGCTGTGAGGAGGTGGTGAAGCGGCGCCCGCACAGCGTGCATCCGTAGGGCTTCTCGCCGGTGTGGATGCGCTCGTGCTCTGACAAGTTGCCCTTTTGGCTGAACGACTTGCCGCAGGAACCACATGAATACGGCTTCTGACCTAAAAATGACGACTTTTATTAAAATCTGAGGGTTGTTACATACACAAGTGAGTTAGGCATTAATCGGCACAAACGGGCAGCTGAGTTATTAAGAATAATATGCCCCGTATAAGTTGGTAATTTCTCCGGGTTGGCTTTGTCGTTCAACAGATGAGCCGGTTCTGGAATGGAGGCCGCGTACCGGAAAACGCAGCGTGTGACGTCCACTCACAAGGTGGACCGACGACCTGATAAAGGTAGCAGGAAGGCGCTGGATGCAGGCCACTACCAACCGTGCGATGTGGAAGTCATTGGGGGAGGCCTATGTTCAGCAGTGGACGTCCTATGGCTAAAATTAAGAAGATGATGATGATCCGCCGACGAATGTCCAATTTTAGAACATTAACTCGAGGCTCCAATGGCCCCAGAGGACACTGTCGGGTTTTTAGAGAATATCCCCGCCAGAAATAGGCCGAAGGAGACAGTCAGTGGGTATGCGTATGCACAAAGCATTTCCCGACGGAAAAAAATGACGTTCAACCAACACTGCCGAAGTGACAGCAGACAGAAAGAAGTGCCGGCTGTCTTTATGTGTAGCAATCCTGATTCCTGACGCGCAAAATGTAACTTTATTACCAAGTAATAAGACATACCTGTGTGCCATCGCATGTGCAACGTGAGGCTGGTCTTGTGCGCGAACTTGTGCTTGCAAATCTCGCATGAGAAGCGCTTCACGCCTGAGTGGAGCAGCGCGTGGTTTAGAAGGTTCGCCTTCGTCTTGAACGACGCGTTGCAAGTCTGGAAGTTAGAATAGAGAAAAATTATACAGTTTGTTCGTTCGTTTCAGCCAAATGACGAACACTGTGGACAAAGGCCTCCCCCAAGGATTTCCATAACGACCGATTTTGCATTATCCGCATCTAGGAACTTCACGCGACCTTCACCAGGTCGTCGGTCCACCAAGAGGGTCTGCCCTCACTGAAGACGTAACTAATAAAAATGGAAATAAACATGCAGTATCGTAATGCGGCATAAAGATGGACGTGTTATTATTATAGGAGATCGAGTGCGACACAAAAATGACCGTGTGTGGTGGTACAAAGGTGGACATGTGCAGTTCAAAGGTGGACCTGTGCATTTCAAAGATGGACCTACGCAGTTCAAAGGTGGACCTGCGCAGTTCAAAGGTGGCCCTGTGCAGTACAAAGGTAGCCCTGTGTAGTTCAAAGGTGGACCTGTGCAGTTCAAAGGAGGACCTGTGCAGTTCAAAGATGGACCTACGCAGTTCAAAGGTGGACCTGCGCAGTTCAAAGGTGGCCCTGTGCAGTACAAAGGTAGCCCTGTGTAGTTCAAAGGTGGACCTGTGCAGTTCAAAGGTGGACCTGCGCAGTTCAAAGGTGGACCTGCGCAGTTCAAAGGTGGCCCTGTGCAGTACAAAGGTGGACCTGTGCAGTTCAAAGGTGGACCTGTGCAGTTCAAAGGTGGACCTGTGCCGTTCAAAGGTGGACCTGTGCAGTTCAAAGGTGGACCTGTGCAGTTCAAAGGTGAACCTGTGCAGTTCAAAGGAGGACCTGTGCTGTTTAAAGGTGGACTTGTGCTGTTTAAAGGTGGACCTGTACCGTTCAAAGATGGACCTGTGCAGTTCAAAGGTGGACCTTCCCAGTTCAAAGGCGGACCTGTGCAGTTCAAAGGTGGACCTGCCCAGTTCAAAGGCGGACCTGTGCAGTTCAAAGGTGGACCTGTGCTGTTTAAAGGTGGACCTGTGCAAAACAAAGGTGGATCTGTGCAGTTCAAAGGTGGACCTGTGCAGTTCAAAGGTGGATTTTTACCGTTTAAAGGTGGACCTGCGCAGTTCAAAGATGGACCTGTGCAGTTCAAAGTTGGAACTGTGCAGTAAAAAGGTGTACCTGTGCAGTTCAAAGAAGGACCTCTGTCATACCAATATCAGTTGCGTGACAAGGTGATATTCACGGCTCCTTGACTCATGACTGACCTTGCAGGTGAAGGGCCGGTGCTGCGAGTGCACGAGCTGGTGGCGCGCGAGCAGCTGCTTGTGCTTGAAGTGCTTGCCGCACTTGCTGCAGATGTAGCGCTGGCCCGCGTGCTCCGCTTCTTTGTGGTACACCACGGATGACGGGTGGTTGAGGACCTGTGGGATTGTTTAAAAGTTAAAATAGATGAAGTTCATCAGCCTTTAAGTGAAAAATTACCCAAAGGAATACTTGACGTGGAAAAGCAATCCTATTTTATGTACACGTAGACCGCTCCGCTAGACATCTCTAGCACATTCTTCTTTGGCGGGACTATTCCCACCTCTCGTTCCCACCACTGCAACTCCTGTGTAGCCAGGATCTACAGCTTGACCGCCACAAAAACCCAACCAATGAAGGTCAAGTTTGTCCCGGGGGAAAGTTAAACTGTCATTGGACCCGCAACGAAATTAATCAGAAGAACATAGGAGGAGTTCGAAAACACAACTGCAAGAAACAACAACTACAAAAACTGCAACTGCTAGTTACTTTTGAGTTGCATCTAAGTTTCTGCCATAGCGTCCGTTGAGAGACCACACATGACGCGACCAGTTTGAAACTTTCAGTTTCAGTTTCATTCATCAGAATCATCACAAAGTTGCAGTTTCGTTGCAGTTGCGTTTCACCGTCTTTTCTGGGCCTTACTCACCCGAAAGCGTCACACGATTCGCACAGCAATAGACTTACAGTTACGCACATCTCCTTTTCCTCTCGGCTCGTCTCATCTCTACTTTGGTGAAAACCCTGGCCTATAGCCTCTATACAATATACACAAAGTATGCAGTCCTATACCTTTCCGCACAGGTCGCAGGCGTATGACAGCTGACAGTTACGCACATCTCCTTTTCCTCTCGTCTCATCTCTACTTTGGTGAAAACCCTGGCCTATAGCCTCTGTACAATATACACAAAGTATGCAGTCCCATACCTTTCCGCACAGGTCGCAGGCGTATCCCTTGGCGTGTTTGCCGCGGCGGTGCGACACAACGTGTAGTGACAGCGAGCGAGGATACGCGAACTTGGCGCCGCATTCGCCGCAGGTGTATGGCCGCTCGCCCTGGTGGGTCGCCTGGGGAAATATGAGACTAATGTAGAAGAATTTAGAGGCGATAATTGCTTGTCGAGCCTTGATGTGTCGCCTGGAGAAATATGAGTCTAATTTAGAAGAATTTAGAGGCGATAATGGCCTGTCGAGCCTTAGTGGACAGCCTGGAGAAATATGACTCTAATGTAGAAGAATTTAGAGGCGATAATTGCTTGTCGAGCCTTGATGTGTCGCCTGGAGAAATATGAGACTAATGTAGAAGAATTTAGAGGCGATAATTGCCTGTCGAGCCTTGGTGGGTAGCCTGGAGAAATATGAGTCTAATTTAGAAGAATTTAGAGGCGATAATGGNTTGCCTGTCGAGCCTTGGTGGGTGGGTGGCCTGGAGAAATATGAGTCTAATTTAGAAGAATTTAGAGGCGATAATGGCCTGTCGAGCCTTAGTGGATGGCCTGGAGAAATATGAGACTAATGTAGATTAATAAGAGGCAATAATTGCCTGTGTCGAGCCTTGGTGGACTGCCTGGAGAAATATGAGACTTATGCCCGTTTTCACCATCAATCCCTTATTTTAAGTGACTTCTATGGTAACTTATAACAGAAATTTTGTTCACATCGGGGTCACTTAAAAGTTAGGGATTGATGGTGAAAACGGGCATAATATAGAAGAATTTAGAGGCAATAATTGCGTTAATGGGCTGCCTGGTGAAAGATGACTCTAATGAAGAATAATATAGAACGTTTTTCTTAACGATATCGGTAAATGCCAATTCGATGGTCGGTAGTTCGATCGAGCTGGAGGAGTTAACCTACTCTAGAACAAGAGAAATAATGTCGAAAGGTGCTTAAAAGTTAAAGTAATAAATAAATAGGTTGAGTACCTTAATGTGCATAGATTTGCTTTGCTTAGAGCTGAACATTTTGTCGCAGTGGTTGCATTTTAACTTCGGTTTGCCTTTTTTGGTTTTCTCTTCGTCTTCAGGATCATTTGGTAAATTCATTGTGAGCACATCTGTAAATAAAAAAAATAGTTGTTTGAAGATTTTCCAAAAAAAAATGTCAGTTATAAAATTTTGAATAACGTTGTAAATGTCTAGTGATTGTTAAGTTAAACCTATGCTTCCTTCAAGGATTGGTGGATAGAATGTTAGTAATTGAGATTGGTATTGCCAGTGATCAAGGGGCGTAGTGTGAGTTTACAATTTACATCAAACTTCGTCATTAGTGAACGCGTAAAAAATGACATTAAATGTATGACGGATTGTACAGCGCCCCTAGCGGAAACTTTCAAACTAAAATTTTCATATAAATATTTTTATAACGCGTTCACTAGTGAGGAAACTAACACTCGTATTCAGAAACATTACTATGAGGTCTCACAGTGAGCGTAGACGCACAGGGTGACAGACGAACCAATCACAGAGCTATTCAGCGCTGTGAGTTCGACTTGCTGCTTCACTTAAGCGAGCATCGTTTGTGAATACTACGGGCGTATGCCCTCAGAAATGCAATCGTTACTTTGGGTTGGTGTTGCCAATAATCAAAAATATTTTTTTTTATCCACAACGAGGAAGCTCTTGGCCTGTATCTCACCTGATGGTAAGTGACGATCAGGCCGAAGGTGGAAACGAGCTTCACCCGGAATCGTCAACCACAGAGGAACTGGCTATCTTACCTCTAACTGCCGGAACACAACAATGCTGTTAACATTGTTGTTATGGCGACAGACTTAGATAAGATGGTGACTAGCCAGGCGGACTTAGAACAAGCCCTACCACCAACCAAACCGAACAGAAAAATCTGCCCCTACTGGGAATCGAACCCGGGACCTCTGCGTCTGAAGCAGGTGGTCTTACCACTAGACCACAGAGGCGGTTATAGTTCCAAAATACTGAACTGTCCTATGCATGACATTGACAGTGGGGCGCCACCGTCAATACCGGATCACTGGTTCCGATTTTTGCCATGTTGGAAACCATAATAGTTGAACGATGGTAGCGTCCCCCTGTCATTGAGTTTGGTGGGACAGTTCAGCTTGGGTCATGTATATTTATGTATCTTACTGTCATCACCAGTGGTGTCGGGCATGACGTCATTGTTGACGTCACTCGTAGCCTGCTTCGTGGTCTGGGCCGGCTGCGGCGGCTCCGGGGGCTCCGCGCTAAGGTCGGGCAGGCCTTCGCAGACATTTGGCGTCTCAACGTCTGGTGCTAGCGGATCTTTGGGAGCTTCTATTAGCACTTCAGCGTGGGTCGGGAACTGGAATAGCGATGTTTTTGAATGAGTGAGTGAGCATGAAGTTTACTGATAGAGCCAAAGCTCTAAGCCATTGGTTCCCAAACTTATTTGAGACGCGCTCCCCGCGCCCCCCCTCCTCCAGTCAAGATTATTTATTGGTCGTATCAAGCAGTCTGGAATGCATTTTCTCAGCGGTCGCAGGTTTTTTATACTTAAGTACACAGATGGCCCGCGCCCCCCTTTAAAGGTCTTTGCGCCTCTCCAGGGGGGCGCGCCCGCCGCCTTGGGAACTCATGCTCTAAGCCAGCGGTTCCCGAATGGTGGTCCGCGGAACCCTGGGGTTCCGTGGAAAGGCCGCAAGGGTTCCGTAAAAAATACTATCCCACGTTTCGTGACCGACGTTGTTCGCGCGCACCGACTTGTTTACGCACAAGGGAGGGGCAGGGCGTGCGGGCGGAGTAGTTCGGGGGTTCCGCTAGGAAAAGTTTAATCAATTAGGGTTCCTTGGCAAAAAAAAATTGGGAAACCCTGCTCTAAGCTACTTTTAGGTGATAAATTATGTGATACAGCCACAACTCATAATCGGTCAAAACCACTTTTGAGTGCGAAAATCAGTCAAAAGTAAACCACTTTTGATTGATTATGAGTTTTGACTGCAACATAACAGTTTTACACTTTGTTTATTTGTGCAGTTATTAAACTTGAATTAGAGAAATTCAGGTGAAAGTCTACGTCTGATGTCCGGAGCGGTACGCGGGTGCACCGCTCCGGCTTAGCAAGTTTAAGCGTAGGTCCTTCATCACCATCTTTTCAGCCATAGAACGTCCACTGCTGTACATAGGCCAATATAATTTGCAGATTGCCCGGTTGGTAGCGGCGGCGGCCTGCATCCAGCGTCTTCCTTCTACAGGTAGTCTGTCCACCATATGGTGGTTGGTAGCTCCATTTAGCCTCCAGCTACCTCGTCGCCTGGTGCTGCTGGAAATGCAGGTGCGTGGGCAGCATCCAGCGCCTCCCTGTTACCTCCATAAGGTCGTCCGTCCACCATGCAGCAGCCACCTACCTCTTCGTCCGCGTCGGCGGGCGGCACGAGGCGGCCTGTATGCCCCGCGCGCGCCTGGTGCTGTTCAAACTGCAGCTGGTAGCGGGCTCGAGGTCGTCTGTCCACCATGCAGCGGCCACCTACCTCTTCATCAGCGTCGGCGGGCAGCACAAGGCGGCCTGTGTGTCCTGCACGCGCCTGGTGCTGTTGGAACTAGAGACGCGTGGGCAGCTGGTAGCGGGCTCGAGGTCGTCCGTCCACCATGCAGCGGCCACCTACCTCTTCGTCCGCGTCGGCAGGCAGTACAAGGCGGCCTGTATGTCCCGCGCGCGCCTGGTGCTGTTCAAACTGCAGCCGCGTGGGCAGCTGGTAGCGGCCTCGAGTTCGTCTGTCCACCATGCAGCGGCGACCTACCTCTTCGTCCGCGTCGGCGGGCAGCACAAGGCGGCCTGTATGCCCTGCACGCGCCTGGTGCTGTTCAAACTGCAGCCGCGTGGGCAGCTGGTAGCAGCCTGCATCCAGCTTCTTCCTTCTACAAGTCTGTCCACCATAATTATAGTGGTTGGTAATTCCATTTAGCCTCCACCTACCTCGTCGCCTGGTGCTGCTGGAACTACAGGCGCGTGGGGAGCATCCAGCGCCTCCCTGTTACCTCCATAAGGTCATCCGTCCACCATGCCACTGGCCACCTACCTCTTCATCCGCGTCGGCAGGCAGTACAAGGCGGCCTGTATGCCCTGCACGCGCCTGGTGCTGTTCAAACTGGAGGCGCGTGGGCAGCGTGGCACCGCATTCCCGACAGCGGTAGCGCACCGGCCCGTGCGATGCCACGTGCGACATGTAGCGGCCGACGCACGAGAATTGGAGACCGCAGATGTCGCATTCTTGGGGACCTTGGCGCGAACGACCTGGGAACAGTGGAACGCGTTGTGTTAAGAGTACGTTCTAGTGTAGTACCAGCGTTCCATAAAAAGTAAGAACCAGGAGCGGGCGGTACCTAAACACGATTGATTCTTAAGTCAAGTACCTATAAAGCTCACCCGAGTCTTCGCGAAGGCCGATAATTTCGCGCTCGCTTTCTTGCAAGTGGCCGATATGCAACGAGCACCGCCTTACCCCCAGGCCCAAGCCTGCCTTGGTCTTCGCCCTTGACCACCACAACGAGCTACCTGGAGTCTTCCCGGTGCCCGATGAATGCGCTCGACCTCCGGTCGCCCTAAGGAATATACCTGCCCCGGTCTTTACTCTTGACGACAACAACGAGCTCGACAGTCTTCTCTATGTCCTCGGACTATCAAGGCGACTAGCACTAATTACCAACCATAAAACACATCGACTCACCCTTGGGCCCCTACCACGCAGTAGCGGCGTAAGGGGGAGGGGGCGGTGGGGGCGGTCCGCCCCAGGTGCCAAGCATCAGGGGGTGACAAAGTCGCGCAGATTAGTACTACGCATCTGCATGGCAAGGACGGTCGTGATGTCAGGGGTGCCTTTATTACGCCGCCACTGCTACCACGGCCTTTGCCCTTGACCACCACAAGTAACTCCCCGGAGTCTTCTCTGTGGCCTATGACCTCGTACTCTTTTCGCAACCGCTTGCACTCCGCCCCGACTACCAGATGTGTAGGAGACATCAACTCACCTTTAGGCCTACCACAGCCTTTGCCCTTGACCACCACAACTAACTCCCCGAAGTCTTCCCGATGCCCGATGACTTCAAGCTTTCGTGGCGGCCGCTTGCACTCCGCCCCGGCTTGCTCTAAGTACAGTTCAAGCATTCTAGCCTACCAGATACGCAACAAGTATCAACTCACCCTTAGGTCTGCCGCGGCCTTTGCTCTTGACCACCACAACTAACTCCCCGGAGTCTTCTCTATGGCCGATGACCTCGGGCTCTCTCGGCAGGCGCTTGCGCTCGGCCTCGGCTTATTCTAGTCAACCAGATACCATAAAGTATCAACTCACCCTTAGGTCTACCACGGCCTTTGCCCTTGACCACCACCACGAGTTCCCCAGAGTCTTCTCTATGGCCGATGACCTCGGGCTCTCGTGGTAGCCGCTTGCGCTCGGCCTCTGCTTATTCTAGCCAATCAGATACATAAAGTATCGACTCACCTTTGGGTCTGCCGCGGCCTTTGCCCTTGACCACCACAACTAACTCCCCGGAGTCTTCCCGATGCCCGATGACTTCAAGCTTTCGTGGCGGCCGCTTGCACTCTGCCCCAGGTTGCCAAACCTATAGGATGCATCAACTCATCCTTGGGTCTACCACAGGCCTTGCCCTTGACCACCACCACGAGTTCACCAGTCTTCTCGATGGCCGATGACCTTGGGTTCCCTCGGCGGCAGCTTGCGCTCGGCCTCAGTTTGCCAAACCTATAGGATGCATTCACTCACCCTTGGGCCTGCCGCGGCCTTTGCCCTTAACCACCACGACGAGTTCCCCAGAGTATTCTCTATGGCCGATGACCTCGGGCTCTCTCGGCAGGCGTTTGCGCTCGGCTCCAATTTGCCAAACCTATAGGATGCATTCACTCACCCTTGGGCCTGCCTCGGCCTTTGCCCTTGACCACCACCACGAGTTCCCCGGAGTCTTCTCTATGGCCGATGACCTCGGGCTCTCTCGGCAGGCACTTGCGCTCGGCCTCGGCTTACTCTAGCCAATCAGATCCATAAAGTATCGACTCACCTTTGGGTCTGCCTCGGCCTTTGCCCTTAACCACCACGACGAGTTCCCCAGAGTCTTCTCTATGGCCGATGACCTCGGGTTCCCTCGGCGGCCGCTTGCGCTCACCCTCAGTTTGCCAAACCTATAGGATGCATTCACTCACCCTTGGGTCTCCCGCGGCCTTTTCCCTTAACCACCACGACGAGTTCACCAGAGTCTTCTCGATGGCCGATGACCTCGGGTTCCATCGGCGGCCGCTTGCGCTCGGCCTCAGTTTGCCAAACTTATAGGATGCATCCACTCACCTTTAGGTCTACCACGGCCCTTTGCCCTTAACCACCACGACGAGTTCCCCAGTCTTCTTGATGCCTGATAACCTCGGCTCTTTTGGCGGCCGCTATCACTCCACACCGGCTTACCCAAATGCCAGACCTACAAGCATCAACTCACCCTTGGGCCTGCCGCGGCCTTTGCCCTTAACCACCACGACGAGTTCCCCAGAGTCTTCTCTATGGCCGATGACCTCGGGCTCTCTCGGCAGGCGTTTACGCTCGGCTCCAATTTGCCAAACCTATAGGATGCATTCACTCACCCTTGGGCCTGCCTCGGCCTTTGCCCTTAACCACCACGACGAGTTCCCCAGAGTCTTCTCGATGGCTGATGACCTCATGCTCTCTTGGCGGCTACTTGCGGTCGCACTCTGCCCCAGGTTGCCAAACCTATAGGATGCATTCACTCACCTTTAGGTCTACCGCGGCCTTTTCCCTTAACCACCACGACGAGTTCGCCAGAGTCTTCTCTATGGCCGATGACCTCGGGCTCTCTCGGCAGGCGTTTGCGCTCGGCCTCGGCTTTGTTCTCCTCGTCTTCATCTCCGTCGATCACGCCCTCCTCTTTGAATATCCTCTCCAGCTCTTTGCCCTGGAAGGTGACGTTGTATCTAAATAAGGGTACCGAAATCTGTATCCAACAGTGTGGATTTATGAATACAAATGTGATAAGGGACACTAGTGGGTCTCTAAAAAACAAAATGGAAAGAAAATTCTCAGCTATGAAAATAAAGCTTAGCCCTCAAGACTATAATGTAGGTAGACATAGGGTGCGTTTCAGCCAAATGACGCTCACTGCAGGACAAAGGCATCCCTCAAAGATCCTCATTATGGATAGAAACATAGAGTAAGACATATTTATTTTTGCTAGAAATCATAATTACTTATTCTAGAAATATAACAGCGTTATTACTAAATATCTGAGTAAAAAATACCATAATTCCTTGAGTTGTCCTCAATGATTTGTCTTACTGAAGCATTTACTTACTGTCTTTTTTGAAAATATCTTGGAAATCTTTTCTACAGTACCAACCTGAACAGCCTCCTTATACCGCGTGGGAGTCTTCCTTCGCCGCTTGCCAGTGGTTTCCACCGCCTCAGTCTTGGGCAGCTCCGCCTGCTTCAGGGCGGTATCCTGGGCCTGCGCCTTCTCCATGTTAGCCTTGGTCTTCTTGGGCGGGCGGCCGCGCTTGCGCTTCGGCTTGTCCAAACCGGCGGCTGCTAGCGCCGCCGGGTGCTCCTCTTGATACACGCCGTCGGTTGTTACTGAGGAGATATGAGGTTAGTTTGGTGATTGGTAACAGTTCTTGTAGTGTTGCAAGCTTGCAAGTATTACAGAAATGTACATTTCGTATGTTAATCTAAGGTTTCAGCCGAAAGACATCCACTGCTGAACAAAAAGGTTTTCCACAAAGACCGGTTCTGCGCCGCCCGCAAATGTACATTTAGCTGGTTTCAATGTAAAACAGGCCCGATCAGTGTCAAGACTGGAGGCATTTATCCTGACACCAGTTTACAAAAAAGGTGTGCTTTAGATACTACATCTTTACTTAAAAACAAACTACGAGTAAACAAAGCATGTATTCCAGTCATAGGTGACGATATGGACAAGTAATAAAATTAGAGTTAAACTCACAAACTCATCGAACAAACCCGATGGTTAAAAAAAAGAAAATCAGTAAGCATTAGTTCTAGTTAATTTAAGTTATTCTTGTTATTTTAAGTAATAGTAAATTTTATAATTAATCCTTACTTTCATAGACCATAGTGTCCGTTAAAACATTTTCTTCAGTCATGGTGGAAATTTCATTATTACTTTTATACTCCTTCTCTCTTTGATAAAGTTCACGGATGACTTTCTGAAATGTAAATCTTTTAGTTAGTTGAATGAAGTGATAGTTGTAGATCATAATAAAATAATGATAAGCTTTTTGTTTTCTATATTTTGTAACAGAAATTGCTTGTTTAAAAATTCATATGAGTTTAAACATAGAAAGAAAAGAAGCATTCAATAGTTTACAGATCAAGGTCTATGAACTAGAAAACTAAAAGAAGATTAATCTTAATCACACCTGGCCATTGTAGATGAGAGTAAAAAATTCAACAGTAGCTTCCAATTGTATAGTACATCCGGGGCAGATGGTACGGGGCAGTTGGCCATCATCTGATACCTAGAAACATCCAATACAATAGTAATATGTTCACTGGTGTATCAAGTAAAAGAGATGTAATGGGATTTGATTTAGTGTATATTATATAAGATTTATAAGGAAAAACTTTTGCCCTTGGATGGACATAAATTACTTTTCAATCATAGAATTAAAGCTTTCTATAAAGTTGAACTATGTGCACTGAATAGTGCGTTATTCGTTACTATTAGGGGATATGAGCCAAAGCTTGGGCAGTTAGGTCCAAGAAATAGTAATCTACAAAAAGTTCAGAAAACTTTGAAATACATACAAATATTTGCATCAAAAACTGGCGCCATCAAAATTGCTGACAATGCAAATTGACAATCATTCGATTTGGTTAGCAAGACAAACGAATCATTGAAACAAGAACGCGTTAGATATGCATTTAATTGATATCATAAAACAATATAAATTTAGAGAAGAATTATTCCTAATTGTTTTGTGAAGAAAATAATAATCTAAATGTATAAAGTTATGAAAATGATAATATTTTCAAGATAATCCGCCATGTTGAATTCCTTGCAGAGTCAAAACAATTACAATAAAATTGATTGTTTTACCTTCAGGGGTAGATATGTATTGATAAGTTCACCCAAGTTTTGAGTATTTTCTTCACAAGAATATAGCAATGTTCCATTATCATTTTCTTCTCCACATAATCTACAAACTGTAGAATTGTAGAGAAACACTTCCATCATTGCAAAGATGCCAGCGCCATCTATTTCCGTTTGCGAATTTCGATTGCCATTTCTTGGTAGTATTTTTTTATGTTCAACGTTTGGTTATCCGATAAAGTACCAAAACAAAAATATTATATCAAATTATTATTTCAAGTTTAACTATTGTGATAAATTCATTAACAAAAAGTTATGAATAAAACTTTTTTTACGACTTTTTTTAAGAAGGTACCCTTAGATCAAATGATGACATTATTTTAAACAAAGGCAGGTATTTCTAAAAATATTGGAAGCAGTTTTAATTTTGATTTTAAAAAAATATTATTATTCGATAATTTTAAATACCGATTTAATTATTTTATCAACAATAAAAAAATACATTTGGTTGCGTGTTTGTGACTTGGCAATTTTTTGACTAATGGCAGCACTGAACGGTTCTTTTTTTTCTTTGAATAGCCCTTTCCGGTTTAGTTCTTGGGGCAAGAAGCCGTAGTTTCGGTTTTTATTATTTTTAATCGCCTCTAATCCAGCAAAATGAGGATCTATAAGGATATTATTACCGGTAATAATGATTATAGTGTTATGCTAGTGAATTTTGTGTCAATATTTCTTTAATCGAGTGCAATATTGTGAACTGTGATTTTGACATTTCATCGGCAGTGATGTCTCATCATCAATTTCTTTCTTCCAACATTATAAATTTGGTGCCACATCTACATACAATATGCTACCTGGTAATATGTTTTCAGTGCTTGTAAAAGATTTGTTTTACTATTTTCAGGTGATGAGATGTTCTCTGACACATACAGAATCAAGTTGGTTGATGAAGTAATTTACGAAGTCACCGGCAAACTGGTGTCTAGAAAGCAAGATGACATCAAAATCGAAGGGTTCAACCCTTCAGCTGAAGAGGCCGATGAAGGAACAGACTCTTCTGTGGAGAGTGGTGTGGATATAGTGCTCAACCATAGGCTAGTGGAAACATATGCCTTTGGAGACAAAAAATCTTACACGTTATACCTTAAAGACTACATGAAGAAGTGAGTGTTGTGCTTGTGATAATACTTCAACCCAAAGTGATTCAGTGTTGATTGGCACTGGAAAATGCAGCTGTCCTAGTTTTACAGTTAAGGAAAATACCACGATTCTTCTTTTTTGTTAACCTCATTCTGTAACAGCTTTCACAAATGTGGGCAATTCATGGAATTCCATTGGTAACATTGTTTATAGCCTGTAATAGCGTGCTCAACCTTATCTATGTTTTGGTTAGACATTCAATGTCATGGCTTATCAATTGGCCATTATTACTATCTTTTAGCTGTACTTACTATTCATGTTATATCAAAGGCAAAAGGCAACTTTTACTTGACAATTGTACCATCAAATTACTTTTATTACAGCTGCATTTTTCAGAGCAAAAATTACATGTACTTTAGTTTTAGATTACCAGTATTTACATCTACTACCTTGACAATATGCATTTTATTACAATCATAGTTTGCGACTCTTTGTTCATCTTGAATAGAGTATTATGACTCGCTTTAACTTCATATAATGCATTGGATCTTTGTAATTTAGTAATTCAAATGTACTTATTGAGATTTGTTTAAAGTTCAAATTGTGAAGCAAATATTACTATGTATGTACCACTACTAGTATTAGGTGTGGCAAAACTATGATTGTGACGAAATGTATGTAAAATTGCTTATAAAAGATTTGCTACTACTCAATTACAATAGTTTATCTAAAATGTTTAGTAAATGTAACAATGTAAGAGAAAAAGTCCCCTAGTCCTCTTTATAGTCCCCTACTGGGAACATTCTGTAAGTGTATTTGAGTCTAGCAACTCTTTATTTTTATATTTAACTACTAGCTTTCCGCCCGCGGCTTCGCCCGCGTGGAATTTTGTCTGTCACAGAAAAACTTTATCGCGCGCGTCCCTGTTTCAAAAACCGGGATAAAAACTATCCTATGTTCTTTCCCGGGACTCAAACTATCTCTATGCCAAATTTCATCAAAATCGGTTGCGAGGTTTAAGCGGGAAAGCGTAACAGACAGACAGACAGAGTTACTTTCGCATTTATAATATTAGTTGGGATTTTGTATTCCTGTCTGATCAAATTGGCTTGAAAATGTACTAATAAAATACGAAATGTATACTTTGTGGCATCATCTAATACCAAGGGTTGAATATTCAATGTCAGCCCATGGAGCTTATGATGCAAAAGCAAATAACTTTAGTGAAAAAACATTCATTCTCATAATGTTTGTTCATGAAATGGAGATGACAATAACCCAAATGTTCACTGAACCTAGAAATGTTGTTAATTCTGGCAATACTTATGTGACAACTTTATTTTTCAGATTAGTATCAAAATTGGAAGAGAAGGCCCCAGACCAAGTAGATGTATTCAAGACCAACATGAACAAAGTTATGAAAGACATCCTAGGCAGGTTTAAGGAGCTCCAATTCTTCACGGGGGAATCCATGGACTGTGACGGCATGGTCGCCATGATGGAGTACCGTGATGTGGACGGCACACAGATCCCCGTCATGATGTTCTTCAAACACGGTCTTGAGGAGGAGAAATTCTAACTTGTGTTACTGCTTAAGTGAAAGTACTCATATTCCATAACACTCTGGCGCCTAATTTTTCATTTAATTTTTTTATTTATTTACAATCATGTCTGCATCGGCTGGAACCGGCTATCTCCCCATTACAAGGCTGAACATTTTTGTAATGTTACTAAATGTTACATAATATAAATAAATAAATGAACAATTAACATATTGCCTGTTTATATTTTTGTAAACCTTTGTTATTATTTTAATTGATATCTATTTTACTAATAAAAATGATGCATCACTAGACTGGTTCGCATATCGGATTACTAGGGTAGGGTTCGAGCCCTGCTATAAACATGCAACATAGTTGATAGATCCATTCTGAAATTGTCTTGACAATCAGTTGTACAAGTACAGAAATCTCACTCATCCTTCCATCCTTATGGTAATAGATGTGATTTCAATACTGGCGAAAGTGGATTTAAGGTTATTGCTAAGATCGTAGTCTCATAGACCCTGGACTAGCCAGTGGACAAAACAGAGGGCGCTACTATCAATACTGGGTTATTAGTTCCAATTTTTGCCACGTTATGACCATAAAAATATGTCATTTACAGGAGGGCACTACTATCAATTTTATAAGTTCGGTTTTTTGCCATTTTTATTATGAAAACTGTAGGCAATAGGATCGTAGTGGTATCTCAAACTTGCAAGCCATGCGCTCCTGGTACTTTTCTGAATAGTCTCTAATGATGAAATACACACCGTAATACCTATTTCATAAGACCTAATTTAACTTGTGCTTGCTCTTGTTTGTTTGTGAGTTGGTTTGTCACGAATTTTCACCACTACCCTCAAAAGAAGTACGGATAAGAGAGATAGCATTATATTAGGGTCACATTCTAACTTAGTGTAAGAATGACGCTACGATATTATTGCACATGGATATTTGCACTAAATGTCATTGCCGGCGATTTTGATTGGCCGAGCTATTGCTAAAATTATTTCTATTGGTCATTTCAATTTTCCTTTAAAAAAACCGAAGGCAACGAGGTCATGACATTAAGTCCATGAAGCTAAATGATTAAGTCACATGGTTACCTCTGTGCGTATTCTGCTCTCCTGGTACTTTTGTGTTAAAACAGTTTATTTGTGACGGCATTTTCCAGGTTTCCTCGCACTCTTTGAAGCTTTCTTTGAAGCCTGCGAACATCCAGCCAGTGACATGCGTTGCCGTATTATAATAAATTACACAAAAAGTTAATTTTAACGAAAGTTGTATTTTGAATTTTTGCTTTTGAATTTAGGTTTTCGGAAGTAAAAAAAGTTGCACCATAGGTTAAACTGCACAACTTGTGGTTCTATAGGACCTTGGAAGGTCAGGACTGAAAGTCAATGGTTTACTAAGAATACAATTTTATTTTTCTTATTATTAATACGCTGATAATGTTCCTGATAGCTTATTAACACAAATTAAGGACTTATTTACCTATTTGTTATAATTTCTGCTAATTATCTGTAAATACGATTACTAGAGTTGATTACGTTATTCGTGCCCATGATGTTTCATGTCATTTGCGGCTTTTTCAATGTTATCTTCGAAAACACTAGGCAATAGGAACGTATTGTGTAGTGGTATTTCAGATTATTTAAGACATGCTCTCCTAGTACTTTTCGGCCAAATACTAACTTTCGCAAAATGCAGCGTAGGATCTGTGTCATAAGACATAATTTAAGTTGTGCTTGCTCCTGTTTGTTTGTGTCAAAAGAAGTACGGATAAGAGAGATAGCATTATAATAGGGTTTCATTCTAACTTAGTGTGAGAATGACGCTACGATCTTGTTGCACATGGATATTTGCACTAAATGTCATTGCCGGCGATTTTGATTGGCCAAGCTAATGTTAAAACGATTTCTATTGGTCATTTCATTTTGCCTTTACAAAAACCGAAGGCACCAAGATCGTGTCATTAAGTCACATGGTTACCTCTGTGCGTATTCTGCTCTCCTGGTACTTTTGTGTTAAAACAGTTACCCGTCTGTGGCTTGGAGCATCTGCTCCCAACGCACAGAGGGACGATCTTGTTGCACATGGATATTTGCACTAAATGTCATTGCCGGCGATTTTGATTGGCCAAGCTAATGTTAAAACGGTTTCTATTTGTCATTTCATTTGGCCTTTACAAAAACCGAAGGCACCAAGATCGTGTCATTAAGTCACATGGTTACCTCTGTGCGTATTCTGCTCTCCTGGTACTTTTGTGTTAAAACAGTTACCCGTCTGTGGCGCGCGGAGCATTATGCTCCAGACTCAAAATGGCCGCATCTGTGGCTTGGAGCATCTGCTCCCAAAGCACAGAGGGTACATATTACAATGTATTGAAATTTTTATTTTGTGTTACTATTCATAATATGGTTACATGTACGTGTTCACTAGGAACTGGGCTGTATTTGTAGCAATTATTTTTAAAGAATTTAGTTTGCTTAAACAACTTGCTCCTTTTGTTTTCCGGAAATTTTAGGGGTATATTCTATAAATAAAAACTAGTTTTTAAAGAGTCTTAGGAATAAGTATTTCTAAAAGCATATTTTTGGAGATATTGTGGATTCTAGATTTAGAAGATACCTAGCTAGTGTATCATCAATCTAGTTTTTTTTTTCAAAATTGTCACCTAGTCTTTTTGTGCAGACTTTTTATTGATAAGTGTAGGTACTTATGTAAATTATGAATTATTTCAGTGAAAATTAAGTTTTTAAATAATTTCGTGTGAAAAAAATGTCGATTTTTTTTTAATTTAACAAAAAATGTAATGCCATTCCATTCTTTGAAGTGGTCTTATTAATACCCTAGAGTTCCAGGAAATCAAAAAGAGCACGTTGTATTAGTATACCTATATTAGGCTGTTATTGTTTCTGAATCCTGATAACTTATTTACGAGCTTATCTACCTACCAATTTGCTAAGCAACTTAGTTATTAGCGATTTTGCTTAGATATTAAAATAAGGAAACGTCTTAAAGAAGCACTCAGTAGTAATAATACCCATGGATAATAAACCTAATACTGTACTAATATTCAGTAACATTGTTGTTGATTTTTGACATGACATGAACAGCAATTTTGTTGTTGATATACTTATAAGTAAGGCATAAAGAGTAGAAATTTTGCTATAAGCACGGGGATTGAACCCGCGACTTCAAGTGAAGCAGCAACTGCGCAAAATTGGTCATCTATCTGTACCCCAAGCCCCAAGTCACAAGAGATTTTTCTTTGTTAAGAAGACAAAAGGAAAATAAAAATAAAACACAATTTCGAATTTGAGGTATGTTATATTTATCGAGTTTGTATGTAGGTTATAACTACAATAAAGTACAGAAATGACCGATGATCTATTACAATGTCGTGAAAGTACACTAATCACAATTTCTCATATGTATTAATCATTTTCTTGTATACTTTTTAGGCATTCAGTAGGCACTAACGCATGCCTTTGTCGCTTAGTCTTTAATTTCTCAATATTTACAATAAAGAAATGTCACCATAAGATCAGATTATATCGTGTAGGTCCTTACTCAGTTGTAGATAATAGTCTATGGCCAACAAGAAGCAAGAAATTGTTATCAAGATAACCCTGGGATTATTGATATAGTTCCAAAATACTGGACTGTCCTATCGACGACATTGACAGTGGGGCGCCACCGTCAATACCGGATCGTTGGTTCCGATTTTTGCCATGTTGGAAACCATATAGTTGAACGATGGTAGCGCCCCCCTGTCATTGAGTTTGGTGGGACAGTTCAGCGTGGGTCATCTATATGGTGGATCAGATTTTACATGTTTGTTTTGACATTAAGTTATTTACACTGATCGAATTTCAATCCAATCTCATACAAAACATTGAACATCGAAAGATAAATAATATTAAGTAGGTACTAATAGGTAGGTAGTACCTACTTAGCTAGCTGCCAAAAATTCTTACTTCTTGTTGGAAATAAACAGTCAATGTCATGGACCTATTATAGGTCCATGGTCAATGTAAAAAGGGATTCGTTTAAGAAAATATCCTACGATGATTTTATAGATAGTTTACTAACATGGCATTTGTTATAGACAATTTTAGAATGCATTAAATAAGTACAACAAACTTGTCTTGATTGTGGGCACACTGGATTTTCCACATCAAGAGATATTGCCCCAATATATATTATGTTAAAAAAAATACATAATTAATATTTGACACGACAAACAACCCTTAACTAAAATATTAAATAGATTTAGCTGCAGATGAAATGAAAAAGTTTTAATGATAAATTTAAATTTTAATGTTGCGTAATTGTTTTTTACTTAATTGCATTACATTACAATGCAACAGTTTACAGTGCACCGGCTATTTTGAACTCTTTTTATTGCTTCGTATTCGTATATCATATTAATTAATCCAGAAATTAAGTTTACCTACCTAACGATATTAAGTCATCTGTGGTAACTTAATTTCTCGACTATCTATTTTATATTTAAGTCTAGAAAACATTTGGTTTTATATAAAGCAATCTAATCTATTTCCTCAGACAGCAAACATACACACAGTCTTCATTTTGTAATAACAAAAACAACGGAGTAAATGAAAACGGTAGCTAGTTTAAGAAATGATAACTTAAAAAATAAAATAACAACTGCGCAGCTCCAGCGATATATGACACAGTAAATAAGTAGGGCAAGTAATTCCAACAATCTTAATAAGTAAATTACAATACAATATTAGGATTGAGCATTACACAAATGGATGAGCCAAGCGAAACAACGGGTGCTCCTGTACCTACACAATACGAAGTCGGTGTAAGTGGATATTATACAATAATAGTGACAGAAGTACGAAATCTCATAAGTAGGATATCAGTCGATATAGCAAACAATACAATATCAGAAATACCGAAATAATTTTATGATAATTTTAGAAGAACAAGATCGTATTAAATTTTATAAATTTCTCAATATAGTATAAATATATTTACATCATTATCTCTAATATTCTTCATATTGGTGTCTTATTTAACGCACACTTAATTTATTCATTTATAAATAAAATATTAGACATTAAAAGATTTCTTATGGAATGGTTTTTGTACAAAATCAAATACAAATTCCACCGCACTGGTAGAAATAATTACAATCACATGTTTGCGATGGCGGCGCCGCACTCGTGCGCACACCCGGCCGCGACTAGCTGTACATTGTACGACTCGATGAAAGTCACACTTCCATGCCCGACAACCCATTGAAAAATAGATCCATCACTACTTAAATTTATAATTTACAAATAAGGTACTCTTTTAAACCGAATTACGATATAGGATAGTCCTCACTGGTCTTACGTACACCGGACCCGAGTCACTAACGTCACTAACCGCTCTAGAGCACTACGTCCCGTCACATCAGTCCGTCCATAGAAAACTTAATGGAATGAAGATTTATTGCTAGAATTACAAGATCACAAACGATTGAGGAGAGTCCGTGGCGCGAGCGCGGCTCAACAGTTGAAGGTGTTGGAGTGCGCGCAGGCGCGGTATTCGTCGCGCGCGTAGGCCTCCGGGATCACGGAGTACTCGGGCTCGCTGTAGTCGCTCTCGCGCAGCTCGCGCTCGGCGCGCGGGAAGCCGAGGATGGTCTCGGAGTTGCGCAGGTAGCCGTTCTCCTGCTTGCGCGAGTAGCGCGTGTCCAGGTTGCGCTGGAAGTTCTCCGGGTGGCACACGACGCCGTTCCGGTTGTTCTTCTTGTCCGGCAGCGAGCGCAGCGACCCGTTGTTGAGGTGGTGCGCCGGGGCGCCGTTGTTGAGCGTCATCGGCTGGTGGCGGGGGTCGCCGCCGATGTACGTGAATCCGTTGGCGGGGAGAGTGCCGCCGCCGCCTCCCGAGCGCTGCGGCCGCCGGGCCGAGCCCTGGCCGCCCGACATGAAGAACACGCTCGGGGAGGCGTAAAGCTCTAGCTACAGTTCCGTCACCGGAATCGGCCTGAGGCCGGGCGCGTGCTGCGGCGGCGCCGGGTACTGCGACGGGTGGATGCCCCGCACTATGCAGTCCTCCTCCGTGGAGATGGGCTTGTGGTACTCGAGGTTCTTGCGACCCTTGTTCCACTTGTAATCCTTCAGCTTCTCCTGCATACTCTTGCGGTATCTATACAAAATTAGCACTAGAGTGACGATTGTGGCCACGCAAGCCACGACGATTATGCCAATAATAGTCTGCTGCCGCGTGTCGTGGAGCATGCAGCCCAAGTCCTCAGCACCGAGGTGTTTCAAATTCCTTTCTTTTACATTGTCCGGAGCCGCACATTGAACTTGAGTGAAGTTTGTCTTTTCAGTTAACAATTCTTGAAGCCAAAGAATTTGACAATCACAGAATATGGGATTGTCGCTCAAATCCAGTTGTTTCAGCTCCTTGCCGATAAAAACCGAGTCACTCAAGGTCACAATAGCATTATCCCTCAGAGACACGTGCTTTAGTTTTGGCAAACCTAACAAAGTAGCTTCTTCGATGATTGACAATTTCTTGTTATTAATCAGAGTTACTGTTTCCAAATTAATGTTGTCCTCGAATGCTCCTTTTTCGACCCTCTCCAGTATTGGTGAGCCCACAATTTCAAGTAACTTGAGATTTTTCAAGCCTTTGAATGAGTGACTTTCTAACACGAAAAAGTCGTTTTGTCCAATGTACAATTCTTCTAATCTCGTAAGACCAGACAATTGCTGTGTCGGTACAACATTTAACCTATTTCCAGACAGGTTGAGGCTCCGTAATCCAGGAAGTCCTCTGAAAGCGTCTTCACTAATATTTGAGAGTCCAGCTCCATTCAAATCTAGAACTGCCAGCCGGTTCAGCCCAGCAAACGCATCGTCTGGCAGAAACGAGAACGCGTTAAGGCCAACATGTAACTCGGCGAGACTTCCCAGTAGACTGAAGGAAGTCGTAGGCACTGAACTTAGTTGATTGTCATCTAAATATAGTATTCTTAAGGCAGAGAGTCCGGCGAATGCTCTGGGTTCTATTCTAGATATTCTGTTTTGTCCTAGATTAAGTTCTTCTAATCTGGGGAGGGTTGAGAAGACTCCATTCGTGAGTTCCTCGAGGAAATTTCGTTTTAAGTTCAGTACTGTTAGGGAATTGAGGCCTTGGAAGGTGGTGTTCGTTACTGAGGATAGTTTGTTGCTGTTGAGGTGCAACTCTTGCAGCTTGCGTTGATAAGCAAAGCTTTTTATGGGTATGTTGACGAGGTGGTTCTGGGAGAGGTCGAGGTGTTGCAGTTCCGCGTAGAACTGCATGGAGCTGTCGATGGTTTTGATTTTGTTGTTGCGGATGATGAGCCGCTGGATGGAGGGGTTGAGCGCGATGGGCAGCACGTCGAGGCGGCTCTCCTGGCACACCACCACGAGCGTGTCGTCGTTGCAGCTGCAGCCGCTGGGGCAGTTGGCCAGTGCCGCCGCGCCGCTGCGCCACACCACCAGCTCCAGTGACAATAACACCACCTGGAATACAAAAAACATAACATTTTACCAAAGGAAAGCGAAACAAAACACTCAAGTTAAGCTAATTTACGAATTCATTCAAGGGACTCGGCTTTTATGAGAGCACGAGTTAACGAACGATCGAGTGAAAGCCCGTATTTTGTACTTCAATTTCGTGATGTCATTACGCTAATAGAAGCGCTGTTTGTTTTGGCAATAGAACTCCCCGTCGACGGAATTCAAATGATAGTAGGCGTCCGCGTACACCGTACCTTCACGTTACTCCGAGATACCTGGTATTAATAGGATGAAGGAATATAGTTAATGGCGGGCCCGTAAAAATAAAATAGAACCGATGTAAGACGAGAGGCGAGGTTCGCGGAGGCGAACGCAAAAGGGAAAAAAAAATGATATTGGAATGGGAATTTTGCGCAGTTTTAATTTATTAAAATGCGCTCCTCCGAGGTGCCTGGGGCAGCTTCTTTGCTTCAAAGACTAGCACTTTTATTACGTTTCCTCTTTTCAACAATTAACAGCGAGATCCGAGTGGGAGCCGAGATTCGACTTTGGAATTCCAAAGTCGACTTTAATTCTGTTACACTGAGATTTCTGATAGATGCGATGCCGACAATCCCTCGTCCTTTGGAAGACAAAGCTGAAAGTAGTTTGGCGCATAAGTAAGCTTATTAGCATTTTATGGAGCAGCGGGACTTGGAGACTCAATTGGAAATCCAAGATAGCATCGAGCAAGTTTCAAGTGTTTGTATTGCTTTCTTTGCTATCCGTACTCTGCATTCGTTTGGAACAAAAAATATTGACTTCATTTTCTACGTGAGTAGATTTCGATTGTTTTAAAATAGTTCACCGAACGCTGAGATAGCTCTGCTGGGAGTGTATTTATATGTGCAGCTGATACGAGTAATACCTACGTACTCGTGCCATTATTCAAAGGGTATTTTTTCTCGGTGGCGGGCGCGCAACCAGAAAGCTTTTTAGGTTGGCTTTTACGTCGGCTCTTAACACTGCTGAACACGTTTTCCGATGAAAATGGACGAAATGTGTGATACGTTACCGACATTCGTGCGTAGGTATCTAGTGTTTTTTGCGGGAACAAAAGCGTGTGTATTCGCAACATTTTGCATTCCATTTGCGCGTATCGTTTATGCGGCGTTCCCGGTGCAAATCAGAATCAAAACCCGATATGCGGCGTTATTTGCAGGCGGCGGGGCCGACACCGGTGAAATTTCCGCTAAAATCCAATAAACGGTGGCCGACATATTGCGATCTTGCCGCGGCCATGTTTTGAATGCGCGCGTTTTTTGGTGCATCGCGTCAGATAAGCGAGCCAATGGTTTTACAGCCTAGTGAATTGGTACAATAAAATTGTACTAATACCTATAAATAAATTACTAAGGTGCTTATTTTTGTGACAGACCGGTCATGTTTTTATGTAAGTTAAATTGCGATTTTAAACAAAAAATAGAAATAAAGCGTTATGAATTAAACCGAATAGCCCTTGTAGATTATAAGTACTAAAGAGTATAGCCTCGAAATGCAGGTGCACTCAAGGGCAAAGTGCAGTGGCCGGGTTATGTCGGCGCGGGCGCAGACGCTCGGCACTGACGCCATTGTTTTCTGACCGCACGCGCAGCGGACCCGCATGGACAATCTAGCCGTATTAGCAATGCGAATATGTAGTTTCGTAACGTCTAAAATCGAGAAAACATAATACTGATTTATCAATGCGAAAATAATTCTGTATGTAACCTTTTTTTAGGCCTAAACCACTGAAACCATTTTCATAAATATGAAATAGGTAAAACTTGAAATTGGCGAATGTAACATATCGAATTTCTCGTGGGCGATAGTTAAGTCCTATGTAATTTTATGCATCTTAATGTAGGACTTTTTGGAAAATATTAATTGAAATGATAAATAAAGACTAGAGTCATGTGAGAATTATAATGTTTGTAAGTAAATAAATAATAACAGTCCAAACTGATAAAGTTTGCTCACTAATAAAGGCGACGAAGACGATGCACACAAACTTTTTATTCCCACATTTCATCAACCGTAAGTGATTGGATGTTTTCCTTTCAATACAGCGTCGATCTAAGCTCGCGTAAAATTCTGAGCATGCTCAAAATGCTCAACACGCAACAAAGCAAGCAGCGACGCGGCATAAACTACTGCGACATAGTAGTTGACGAGCGGCTGTAATGAATTGGATCGACTTTTGTAGCTCGTAAACTTGAAATGAATTTTTGAGCTGGTAAGATAGGTTTTATGGGTTAGCATTTTCATATGAAATTGGCGGACATTGTCGGTGAAGATTCCAAACATTGACTAGCAAAGAAACGATTTCAGAAGGCTAGGGAAGAGCTTCGCAGTAGCTCTACGCGTTTTGAACAGACACCTAGGTACTATTGGTCTGGTTATGGTTATGGTCCCACATTAAGAGTGACATTTTCCTGCTTTCGTTTCTTGATAGGTACTCAAGATTTATTTCCCTGCACCTATTAGGATTCAATCGGAATAGGTACATACTCCAAAAATACATCTCCTGAATGCCCAGACGTGGAATGGTTATTATTACAGTCTGTTGTAAGCAGCGTTGCCAGTTTTTTTTTTCGCCAAGTCGGGACTTTCGTACTTTTTGAGTGAAAATAGCGGGATTCTTTCGTTTCGTTTCGTCAGAAGCGGGACATAGTAAAAAAACGTATATAATCAAAGATTTTCAAATATTTATCTTTTTATTTGACTTAAAATTACGTTTACGTGACAATAGGTAGCAAAAGTAGCTATAGAAAATGTATTTTAACAAAAAAATAATATTTTAAATCAGATTTACTCTATCGTTAAATTCGTCTTTAGAATAAAAAAACCGGCCAAGTGCGAGTCGGACTCGCGCACCGAGGGTTCCGTACCATTGATTTATGAAATTAAAATTATTATTTTTTATTTAAGTTATTAGTATGAAAGATTACGCGGTAATAAGCGGTTTACGATTTACGAGGTATTAAAAAAAAACTACTTACTAGATCTCGTTCAAAACAATTTTCGTAGGTAGTTTTTATAGTAATGTACCTACATCATATGTTTTTTTTAGATTTTTCATTTTCTTTTTTCCACTTTGGAAGCGTCTGTCACGCAAACTATTCGGTTTAGAAAAAAAGTATTTCAGAAACCTCGATATCATTTTTGAAGACCTATCCATAGATACCCCACACGTATGTGTTTGACGAAAAAAAAATTTTTGAGTTTCAGTTCTAAGTATGGGGAGCCCCCAATATTTATTATTATTTTTTTATTTTTGCATCAAAATCTTAATGCGGTTCACAGAATACATCTACTTACCAAGTTTCAACAGTATAGCTCTTATACGAGGGCGGCACTGAAAATTTCGGGAATCAAGGAAGTGAAACAACATTACTATTTAAAAATGTATTTATTGCTTTTTAAAGTATTCTCCGCGAACTTTGACACATTTTTCCATACACGAAACCAATCATTGAAGCAACCATTGCATTCGGAAGTTTGGGTCTCCAAAATGGCCGTTTTGTAGGCTTCCACAGCTTCTTCAGGTGATGAAAATCTCTGACCACGCAATTCATTCTTAATTTTAGGGAAAGTATAGAAATCATTAGGGCTTAGGTCGGGGCTGTACGGCGGATGGACTAATAATTCTATGTTTTCTTGCTCTAAAAACTCTTTTGTTCAGTGCGCGGTGTGAGAACTCGCATTGTCGTGATGGAGGATGATGCGGCGGTTGCAGTTCTCTTTACGGAGTTCAGAAACGACCTGTGGCAAACAAATGCTAGCATACTAATCTGCATTAACCGTTCTTTGTCCCCCAAGAGGAATAGTCGCAACATGGCCGGTTTTGGAGACAAACGTGGCCACCATTTTTTTTGCAACACTCCGTGAACGAACAATTTTTGTTGGCTTTAATTCATTTTCGAACACCCAAACTCGTGACTGGTTTTTTGTTTCGGGTTCGTACGCGTATATCCATGATTCGTCACCTGATACGATGTTGTATACAGCATTTGAGGATCCTGCATGTAATCTCCCGAGAGTTCTGACGCACCAAGTAACGCGAGCCGCTTTTTGCTCTTCACAGAGCGAATGCGGTATCCATCGGGAAAACAACTTTTTTACACCTAATTGTTCATGCAAGATTATTTGTATTTGACTCATGCCAATGTCTAAAGTTGCCTGAATTTCGCGGTATATCACATGTCGATCTTCTTCAATCAGCTTACGCACAGCATCAACGTTTTCTTAGGTGACTGCAGTTTTTGGACGACCTTGACGGGGATCATCACTGAGCTTGACACGTCCACGTTGAAATTCAGGAAACCAGCGATAAATTGTGGTTTTGGATGGGGCTTCATTACCAAATGCAGAAATCATCCGGTCAACACACTGTTTTTGTGTTAAACCACTTCAAAAGTCATAATAAATCATCGCTCTTGAATTTTCTCGAGTCAATTCCATTTTCTCAACGACTAAACAAGTTTGACAAGACCTTGTGATACGACCGAGAATCTTTTTTTAAATAAATAAATGGTATACGATTTTTAAAACCCTGGAGTTTGCAATTAAATAGATTTTAATATGACTGGAACAGTGGAAATATTCCATTCCCGATACTTTTAGTGCAGCCCTCGTAGTTTCGGAAAAAAATGGCTGTGACATACGGACGGACAGACGGACGGACGGACGGACGGACGGACGGACAGACAGACATGACGAATCTATAAGGGTTCCGTTTTTTGCCATTTGGTTACGGAACCCTAAAAAGAAAAAAATTAAAAAAGTTTTATTCTTTAGAATAATATGGCGTTCCAAACAAAAGTCTGGTGAAGTGAGTGTCTCTCTCCGAAAAGCGGGACCGAGCCTGTCCCGCGCGGGGCATTTAAATTTGATTTAAAAATCGGGACGTCCCGCCAAAATCGGGACGTCTGGCAACGCTGGTTGTAAGGAACGGTGACTTCCTCGTTTGTATTACACTTATTTTCAGCTTAAAAACAAACAACACAAGATAGCAAACAACCTGTAATTTTGCCCTGATTGGTCATCAAACTTGTTCTCTTCCGGCAGCTGTAAAGCACCCACGAGTCATATTCCCCGTTTCTTTTAAAAAGGTATTACCTCTCATTATTCATAACTGGAGGCGCTAGGAGGCACCTTGCTCATATTATAAGGGCTCGATTTAAATGCAAATTCGCGACCACCTATTTCGGACCGCACTCCGCACTTCTGATCCTTGGCGCTGTCATTAAAACGGTGGAAAAAAGAATGTTTTAAATTTTATTATGGACTTTTGCAATCTGCCAGATGTATTAAGTTAGATTTTATCTTTACATTTTTACGTAATTTTGTACTTATCTAGAAATTTTTTAAGTACCTTCGTAATCTGAAAATAAATTATTGCGATAAAACATAACGTTTTCTGTTCTAAATGTTATCCATCAATGAAATGCATACCCTCACGGAATTATTTACGGAACCCGCGCCCATCAACCCTTTATGGCGACACTCCTTTATTCAAATTGGCAAGTAAATTCTAGGGGATTCTGATTAAAAATGCGAGTTGCGAAGACGGCTGAGGGCGGACACCGAATTACAAATTCAGTTCGGAAATTAGGTCGGTCCGAATATCGTTATGGAGTTATTAAAATTATTCCGCCACTGCGATTTATCATATTTAACTTTGTACATTTTAGTAAAGAAAACATTAATTTTCATTTTGGGACGACGTCGGAATAACTCCGCATTAAATGTAACGGTGGGATGAAATTAAATTGTTTTTTGACAAACAGGCGTAATTAAAGAATAACTCTTCTGATAACATTATATTTTAAGCGAATATGGAATAATTATAAGGATGTTATTGCTTATTCATTAAAATATTTCAGAATGAGTAACAGAAATTACATAACAAATTAAAGACTTGCTAAGTAAGTTTTTGAGATTTTTCGAAGAGAGAATTAAATTATTTCGTACTTCTACTCCAACTGCACTGACGTCATTTTTTTTATTTTTGATTCGAAATACTAAATTCAACAGGATCTGTAACGAAAATACTTTGTCCTGGCCGCCGAGTACAGTCGTGCAGACGCACAATGGCGCTGGCCGCATATTTTATTCCTTTGCCTGTCAATATTTTAAAAGATCTACTCTGGAAAGGTTCTTTTCTTGGCATGTAACATGCAACCTTCCGTTGGTTATTTACCTTTGTTGGACCGGGTAAAGGCATTACGGTGCGGTATTGGCCATAGCTACACTGAAACTACACTACACTGTATTTGGTCTACATTTTCAGCATTTTGGTTTTACCACAAAGTTAAAAAAAATGATCTTTTGTATTACTATAAGTCAGTACCTGAGGTATTAGACTGGCTACCATAAAATTCTATGCCAAATTTCATCAAAATCGGTTCAGTGGTTTAGGCGTGAAAGCAAGACAGACAGACAGAGTTACTTTCGCATTTATAATATTACTATAGATAGTATAGATTGCATAAATAATTGAACAGTTTTTCGTAACCCAAAAACAGGGAAACAATTAGAAATCTAATAATATAGAGAACCACTTAAGGGGTTCAGTCAGACGATTGCCTCTGACAGAGACTGATGGCAGTGGAGGCCTAACCCGTGCCCGTGGATAGATACGTCACGTGATGAAATAACTTTTAATGACTAATGACTGCTGACTTTAATACGATGATCCTTCGCAAGTGGTTTTTAAATCTGTATAGGCATCATAAATTAAAAAGAACTCTTATGCCCGTTTTCACCATCAATCCCTAATTTTTAAGTGACCCCTATGAAAGAAAATTCCTGTTATGTGTTACCATAGGGGACACTTAAAAATTAGGGAAAACGGGCATTAGGCTGAGTTGCACCACCTAACTTTTATCGTAACTATAACGATAACCGGTGTTATTGTATGGAGTTTGACAGATTTTTGACGTTTGTCAAAATTAAAGTAAGATGGTGCAACCCAGCCTTAGTTAATAATAATATGATGGTTGACAAAAAAGTTGCACTTCAGGCGACTTTAGAAGCGTCCTTGTTGTTCAGGAGTTAAATAAATAATTAAAACAAATAAAAATAATTTACTGTCAGACGATATCTATAGTCCATACAGTTAAAGTGGGACTCTCTCGACTTTGAAACTCTGGGTTCGATTCCCAGAAGAATACGGTTATGTTTATCCTGGATTAGGCAAATCGCGCGTGGTCCTTACAACAACATGATTTCACCCTATTAATACAAACAGGCAGAACGCAGAATAACCAAAATATTATGATAGGCGCACCAGATAAACCCAGTTCTACACGGGGTGAAAACAGGCTGTTAGGGCGGAATGCACTGCCGTATCTGAACCAATCATCTATTAATTAATGCGGTATGTTTCGCGTGCTAGCAAGGGAGAACGTTATGTATGTATTTGCTATATCTGTGTGGAATTGAAATTCGTGAATTTCGTGAATTTGAAACCATACATACATACATACATAAAACAAGAAATCCAGATTATATGTCATATTTTATAACTTTGTTACTTATTTTATATTGTGATGCATCGTAGTTGCTACAAATGTTTATCCGTTCAAATATTTATTAACTTATTGAGCAACTGCATTTAAAGAGTCTCAGCATTCTCAATCCAATTTAAAAATAGCAACAAAAAGGCAACAATTGTTCAATCGTTCGATTTGCTGCAAACACACGCAGTTCCCGTTCCCGCCCGCAATCTCGCATCACGCGCTATTAGAGACTGCGATTCCACGAATTCACCCGCATGCGTCCGACCAGCATCTTGAGACACACGTCGCAATAATAAAGCCTACAGACCGCAGCTCCCGGACCACTGGTGATTTTAAAATAGCGCATTTCAGCCCGCTTCATTTGTCGCTCACAAGCGGCCGGCAAATGATTTCAGAATTATGCAGATTCCCAGCAGCCGTGCGCCGCTTTAATCGGGCCCGTTAATTGTTATACGGCCGATTTGTTGTTGCACAAATAGACAATAATTCCGGTTAAAGCGTAACTGATTTAATTACGAATACGTACGGATAAATTACGCGCGGGCGATATATCGCGGTGCGTCACTGCGTTATCGATATTTTCATCGCGATTTATTGGCGCGCCCTGTAATTGGTAAAGCGCACCGAATATGCTCGCAGCGGAATAACTCGCAGCAAATAGATTTTTGTGTGAGCCCGATTGAAAAGTGAATCCGGTTTTTAAATTATTTTTTATTCATAAAATGAAGAGTTCTCGAAATGGAGCAATTGTTGAAATTTACAGTGAAATGCCAAAACTAGCGGTTGCATCGCGAGGACGTAATTAACGCACACGAAACAAACTTTAATGATGGCCGTGACGCGGTGTTATTATTGTGACCGGTATTTTCCCTGTGACATAACTCTCCGCTGCGCATGAAGCAGGTAAACAAGCATTACTCCCGTGCAGAGAATCACATCTGTTTCAATTAACTCCGAACTTTGCCGCTTCATTTGACATTCATTAGAGTTTGTAAAAGCCTTTGAATGAATAATCCTTGAATTTGACTTCCAAACTGCAGCACTGTCAAATTAGCTGGTCTTAATTAAAATGTAAAGTGCTCACCACAAAAGTGTTGGAGAGAAGGAACCGCGCGAGGCCTCGCCCGAAGCGCAGCGGCGCCATCTGCAAAGAACGAAGCGGATTAACGGTGCACCCGATAATTTCAATCGAATGGCCGCTCGTTTGAGTTGCAAATTCGATCGACGAAGTCCGATTAACCGAGTGTTCTTTGAAAGGAACAAAAAAGGTCATCAACAAAATTGGTTGACAGGAGAAAAAATGGGAGTTAAATATAGGTAGGTCGCACGCAATAGGGTGTGACATGTTTTTTGACGCACCTTGGTCGGTCACTCATCATCGGCATTCGAGTTTCTACTTTACCATTAGTTCTAATAGAATTGACATTTATTTGTAAGATCAGTATTATGGTATTCATTCAAAAAGTAATAAACTAATACACCTGCAGCATAAATACTTCTCCCATATGAAGGATGTAATAAAAATTCCGCAACAAACTTGTGCCACGACAAAGTTTGCGCGATAGCGTGTTGTATCCAGTTTAGAACGCAGTATTGAATGAACTCGACTGCTAACTAACGAGTTATTTTTGCTACACATATGATGCTGATTTCTAAGGAAAAGTTGACGTCATATTCGCTTTACTAGGTATTCTACGTAAGCTTTATTATTTACTTCAATATTGTCATGTCTCTTACGATTCCATATAGTGTGGTGTATAAACTTAGGTCAGTTAAATTGGTAACAAGTGCAAATCTTAACATTTCTTCTCAATGAAAAAAATCCCGTGAAGTCTAATTCTTTCCATAATATTATGATAATACCTACCCTGTAAATAGTCGAGCGCACGCATGCAAGTGTCGGTTCCCACTAGGCGTGCGATTACCGTCGCCATGTTTATAACAATTTCATTAGGGCACTCGCAAGTCAGCGTAATTGCGTAGCGCAGCGAGGACAGTAAATCAAATCAAATCAAAAATCGGCAGTAATTTTTTTGAGAAAGTATGGCTCTACCAAACATCTCTTATACTGGTTATTATAGTTCAGCATTCAACAATTCCTTATACTGTTTTTCATGGTTCATTAATAAAAAAATGTTTTTTTAATTAATGAGAGTAACTTTTATGAGATGGAACTTGCCTGACTGGTAACTGGCCCTTCTTAGACGAAACTGTCAGACAATTTTTAACCGTCATTTTTTATGCAGAAACAAGCAGGTAATTGACTTCAATCACACATGATGTTAAGTTAGATGCAGTCTAGTCTTGCTACATACCTGCCCTGTAAACGCATTATTTACTTGATTTTGTATTTTGAGCATACACAAATCTTCCTACTACTTAATAATTGGCCTACAACTTCATTGGTATAATATCCTACTTCTGTATTAGGGCTGTGGTAATTGTGTGGTCAGTTCAAGAATCGGCAGCCATTATTCGCTTTTTAACCTGCTACTTTCCCATGCAATTTGCCGGTGTATAATTTCCAATGGGTTTTACGGCGGGCTCGTTAGGCCGCATGACTCGGGGGTTAACATTTATATAAGGATCTAATGCCTGTTCAGAAGTTAACACTAATAGACGTGTAATTTAGAATAAAAGCCGTGGGATTCGTTTGTTTGTCGTTGAAGTGAATGAAGACTTTACAATGATTGTGGATAACTAACGATATAACTACATTCAAATTAAGTGTGTTGAATGGGAATATAAAGTTAATAGTTTTTTAAAGTAAGTATCTATTAATTTCTCTTTTATTAACATGCGCTAAATTAACACTTAAAGAATGTAGAGATTTATAGATTCGCGTTCTTTAAGAGCGCTTTCACATTTAGGCGATTTAGCAGCGCGACCAACACGCGACAGACGCGCTGCCGAAAATTTCATACTATGTGACAGCGGATGCATGCCTTCACATTATAAAGACGCCGCTGTCGCGCTGCTGTCGCGCTTCTGACGCCCTAATGTGAAAGCGCTCTAAAGAGGTAGAGCTAAGATTTATAAAAAAAAAAGTAAAAATAGATCAGATCTTACGAGACTTTACGAGAGGCGTTGCTGTTATCTGTGTGCTATGGACATTAAATATATGCAGATTCGAAAGCAGACATTATGTTTGATACTGAACACCGCTGTTATACTTAGGGCTGATTTTTCAATCGTCAGATATCTTTTAACTGAAGAATAACCTTGTCATTTTGACATATTTCTCATACCAAAACTGTCAATGTGCCAAACTAATTCTTCAGTTAAAAGTTATCCGACGATTGAAAAATCAGCCCTTAGTTAAATAATTTACAAATAACTGAGAGTTCCTTAAGAATTATTAAAGCTCGAGAAATGCACTTATTTTCATTATGACTTGAGTTTACCTTGGTAAAGATATACCTTATAGCGCAGACGAGCGGTTTTAGAGCATTGAGGATTTTATATAGGTACCTACCTTCCTTTTAGGCTGAGGCTAGACATAAAGCCAGGTTTAGATGAGTCGTTTAAATTACCTACTCGAGCAAGCTACCGCTAACCAATGTTAGTTCAATGAGCATTTGCGTACCATAAGTTTATTTTACCGAAAAAAAATTTTAGAGCTACATGTTACCACAGAATAAGTAATAGTACAGGTACAGAAGGATTACTCCGCAAGACGATTTAAATAAATGCGAGTCTTGCTACGACGCGATACAGTGGAATTCAGCTCGCACAGCACTACGTACCTACAATTTTATTCACCTACAAGTTTTGTCTCTTTCTATCGCGTGCCTCTGAACTCTTCTTACGCTGTTAGGGTTGCTGTCTAGTAGTGACTAGTAAAAAAATAATTGATACTTATTTGTAATGAGGTACGTATGTAGGTAAGTACGCATTCATTATGGAAAACCTTGGGAGAGGCCTTTGTCCAGCAGTGGACGTCATTAATTGGCTGAAACGAACGAACGCATTCTGAGCAGTAGTCATGGTAGGTTAGGTTTCTATACTATCCTAAGAATTATTGATTACCTACATGGCCAACATACCTTTCAGCATCTTTTTGTAAGCGAAAAAAAAGATAAATCCGGTAGATTTCTTTTCGAATTTAAACACCCGAACGCCGCACAATAATATTTCTTTCTCTTTATGTCCATTTTTAAATAATACTTCGATCATAGAATTAGGTACTACAACGCACGCCAGCGTCCTAACGGGCGCGCGCGTGACACTCGACTGATATAATACCCGCCGGCGGGGCGCTTCGCTGTAGGTAATTATCGGATGTACCGCGCGGAGTGAGCCAGGCCTGATGTTACTCGTATTACAAAGAAGGCAGCTTATCATGGCATAATTCAATGACCACCATTGCAGCGTTTTTTTTTTGGAAAGTTTGCAGTGGATATTAGATGCCATTGTATTTTGCCTGATGATTGAACAACGGGGCTGCTCTTTCAAAGTTCGACATGTTGTTAACTCCAGAACTAGCCTAGGGCTTCAATAGCAAGTTCTGCTGTTCTGACGAGCTATTATGCGAATGGTTTGAATGCCGTCCACAACGCCGGCTGTCCATCGGGTCGGTTATTTCGCAGGGAAATGCGATTTTAGCGGCCGTTGTCCCGAATGCCGGATATCAGAATATTGCGACTACGCAGGCTCGTTGGAGAACGTTCTCGTGTAGAGCAAATAGGTTAGGTCGGGTTATGAAGTTGTTATTTTGTGATTGGACCTATCGAAGAACAACTCAGCATCGTTTTAGATAGTTTAAAAGTTGACAAATTGATGTAAATCGAATAATTAGAACATGGGTTTTTGTCCACGCGACAACTAGCTTGACATTCGATGCGTGATCAAATGCTAAGTATTTTTTTTATTTATTTATTACTTCACTACACTTTAGAACACAAAATGAAGTCGGTTAACACACAAACACAAAATGAATTTGTACAGGTTGAAATTGCAAGGGCAGTTTGACCATGCCTTCTGTTTAACTATTCTCTACGGAATCTTAGGCAGAATTTTTAGGGCGACCGCTATCATAGTCTAATAATACTTTTAAGGCATCTTTGGTTGTTTCATATACAAACATTAAGTAAGTTTGTGCTTCATCTAAGTAATAAAATCAAGCCTACATATAGTGTAGAATCAGCAACGACAATAATGTCCGCGGGAAAGCTTTGAGCTGCTAGAGTACGGACAAACTTCACTTGCCCCCGAATACTTGGCATGCCACATCAAGACGTTCGTTACTATTGATGTTTACTTCGAAGCCAAGTATTTCTGTTATTGTTTCTGAAAAATACTTTAGAACTTGCGGGAAAAGCCTTTTCTGTTTATGAATTATATTTGATGCTCGTTTGATCCTAAAAGGTAAAATCTAAGCTTGGTAGATATCCTTTGACTAAAAAGAATACAAAATTAATATCTTTCTAGGTAACACAAACATATCCTCCAATTACAGACTTATTTATGCTTTACCTTTAAAAAAGGTGTATGTTATGTTACTTCATCAACCCACCAATCCAATTAAGTTCAACACGAGTGTTTCGGCCGTAACCAGAATTATGTAGCTCTACAAATACGAAAAAAGCGTTCGCCATTTTCGAATGTGCGAAACTAACCGCACGCAGCGCAGCACTAAATAGATAACCCTTTCAGTGCGCGGGGTCTATTTGGGATCATTAGCGCGCGTCATCGGGCGCTCGAGGCCCTACACCGTACATCCATTTCCGTATACCCCGTTCTTTTTATCTCTTTTGCTCTACTTGGCAGGTTACCACGAGCGAGGGAGATAGATAAATGCGAAATATGGGTAACGGTCTTTCGGAGTAGGGCCTCAGAGTTGACGCGGCCTGAATGGCGCGCTATTCGCTGCGGAATTCCAGGCGAGTTGCTAACTTAAAACTTTTAGTTGGCGCGGTTTGTTTGCGGAGCCCGCTCGGTCATTACAACAGTGAGCGTGCAAAATTTCCGCTCTAAAGTAATTTGCTACGTCACTAGCGGTCCGAATTTAGGGAACAACGACCGAAACGTATTTACAGATGCAAAGCAAAACTGCGGTAATGACTACGCTAGTTTTGAGAAAAATCAGCTCTCAAAATAAGAGGACGGAAGGCTGTTACACTAAAGTCTGGTTTAAAGTGAAAAT